ATTATCATTTATCTAACTACAATAACTTAAAATACTTCGTAAATAACTGTTAAATAATTAATTGTAATATATTACATGCATCAAAATCATATCACTTAAGAGAATTTTTTTCTTCACAATTTAATAGGTTATCATCTTTTCAAATTTTAATTTAATTTAAAATTTTATAAAAAATGTTATTTAATTTTTTTTTATTAACAAGGATAAAATACCATTTAACTTTCATTAATTGAAAATAAAATGTTATTTTTAATTTCATCATCATTTTATTATTGCAAAATCGATTTTCATGGTCACTGAGGTCAATGACCTTAAGTGAATTGACCTGCATGAGCGTTGCATGGTTCGATAGGTGAGGTCATATAAACACTTTTTTCATTATTACATGTTTTTGCGTATCTCTAACAGAAACAGAGTTATCGCTGTTTGAAAATTAATTTCGTTTGCGGTTCCGTTCTTAGCATTCTCACACACCGCGTACCGCGCCCAAAGTTGATGATAGAGATCTGAGAGTTTCACAACTTAATCTCCATTACTTGAAGGGAACATCCCTAAAATCTCCATTACTTGAAGGGAACATCCCTAAATTTTTATCAAAATATTTTCAAAATAGCGGATTTTACGGGACATTTTGAAAAAACCAAAAACTTCAATTATCTCGGCTTCTCTTGGTCGGAGAACCAACATCCGGGTATGGTTGAACTCGTCTCATTAAATTCTACAACTTTGCTGTTGATTGCAAAATCATAGGTCAAAGGTCAAGGTCACTTCCGATGACCTTGTTTCATTCAAACTGGAATTTGAGCATCAAATGCAAACATTTTTGAAATTCTGAGATGGCCATTCAATTCTTCGTGAAATTTTACATACAATGTGTGAAAATGGCGAAGTGGTTTTTTCTCTAATTTATATTAAAATAAAAAGATTAAAAAACGTGGTTTTTTGGTGCTCGGATCAGCGATTTTTAAGAAAATCGAAAATAGCTCGTTTTCTGTGCGTCTGAGGCAAAAAATGATTATGTTCAAAATTGATCCCCATTAAAAGTTCTATCTAAATATGCAAAGGTCATTGACCTTTTGTAAACTTGGGTCAAAGGTCACCTTGACCCTTGTCCTTCAGTGAAAAGACCCTAATGTGTGATACATGGTTGGAAAGGTTTTATCACTAAAATAACAATGGTCACCATATTTTTGTCTCTGGCTTTATTTTCCACCAATGTAAGCTGATTATTTAATATATAATGAAAGAAAATGCGCTTTTTTCACAATAAAACCATCATAACTAGGTCGAAAATGAAGCCGGAGACAAAAATATGGTGACCATTGGTATCCTAGTGATAAGACTTTTCCAACCATGTATCACACATTAGGGTCTTTTCACTGAAGGATAAGGGTCAAGGTGACCTTTGACCCAAGTTTTCAAAAGGTCAATGACCTTTACATATTTAGATAGAACTTTTAATGGGGATCAATTTTGATCATAATCATTTTTTGCCTCAGACGCACAGAAAACGAGTTATTAAAGTTTTTCTTAAAAATCGCTGATCCGAGCACCAAAAAACCACGTTTTTTATCCTTTTTTTTAAATATAAATTTAAAGAGAAAAAACTACTTCGCCATTTTCACACATTGTATGTAAAATTTCACGAAGAATCGAATGGCTATCTCAGAATTTCAAAAATGTTTGCATTTAATGCTCAAATTCCAGTTTGAATGACACAAGGTCATCGGAAGTGACCTTGACCTTTTACCTAGGATTTTGCTTTCAACGGCAAAGTTGTAGAAAGTGAAAAGAGGAATTCAGCCATACCCGGATTTTTGTTGTGCGATCACGGAAAGCCGAGATACAGCCGTTTGAAATTTTCAAAAACCCAATTTTGAACGTCCCGTAGAACCCGTAAATTTATAGATATTGGGGTAAGACTGGGTAAAACTATATATTTTTGAAAATCTCCTTGCATGGTCTTTCAGGTCCTAAAATTTTGTAAAGATCGCACGACCCTTGCCAACGCATTGTACCTTTCACGAATTTTCGCCGAGCTGTGATATTGATTGAATGCAGAATGTCAAAATTCACTTTTTTTGTCATTACACATTTTGTCGTTTCTGTAACAGAAATAGAGTTATCGCTGGTTGAAAATTAATTTCTATTGCGGGAAACCAATTATTCAGTTTTTATAATATTCAGTTAAAAAGGTAACTTTTCATCAACAATCACACCCAAATCATTCCTGGATCCACCCAAATACAAAATTATTATTAGTGACCTCCGAGGATAGAAACTTCAGAAATTATATTTAATTTATTTTAATTGAAATAGATATCAAATTTTTAAAATTTTAAATAACAATAAAAAAGTATGTTTTAATTTTATTTAAAAGGTAATAAAAAAATTACACTGAAAATTAGTAAATTTAAAATTCAATGTTATTTCGTCTTCAATTATTTGAAATTTTTAATTAATTTTAAATTTTTTTGTAATTGAAATTAAAATTGATGATATTTTAATAAATTATTAAATAGTATATAGTACTTTTCAATTGTTTTCAATATATAAAATACAAGTTATAAAATAATATATTCTATTTTAACAAATAATTAAAATTGGTGTGTGTGTAATTTAAAAAAATTATTCTAATATGAATTAAAAAAATTATATATGATAATTATGACCATGCATTTCGACTATTTCTAGCCAACTTTTTTGTCAAATTGTTTTCCCACACTTCACCCTTAGAACCCTGGCTCACCCTTTGAGGAGTTAATGTTTCTGGCTATCAAATCGAAATGTATATGTCTCCCTTTTAAATAGAATATTTGAGTCCATGGCGATTATAATCAATTAATTTTAATTTCCAAAGTAAAATTTGGTCGTTTCTGCATCTGATATTTTCCATTCGACGATAAAAAAAAATTATTAACAATAATAATAAGGCACGGAATGTTAATTCTCCAGGGGCGAAAATTCACCACGCCGCCTCTGTTACGTGTTCAAGTATTATGATTTTCATGGAATATATATTAGTAACAAAATTTTTGTAGGTCTCCTCCCGTCTGAAGCGTGTCATACCGTAGAATTTATACAATTCATGGACAACTTGGTCGACTCGTTTAATGGAAGCTCGTATTCGCATGCAAAACCTTTGAAAGGCCGGTTAGTATCATCATGATTTTCTAGACGAATTTGATTGAATTTGTCTTTGACAACTGAGCTCATGCATTTGGCTATTGATCGGAGCCAAGTTAAATAATGTCTTGGAATTATTATTATTAAGCCAGAGAGGTTTAAATAATAGGTATCATAATTTTCAATTTTTTAGGCTGCATGAATCCTCTGCCCACTGGGATTTTTGGAATAAAGCTGAATTATTTGTGGGGAAATGGAAGTTCAGAAAAAAAGATGGGACAACAGTCTGGACGCCATCCATACACTCTCTTGTTTGGCTGATTCGATCAATGAAACTATTTTTTCCGATGATGCGTGCAAGAGGGTTTGAGTTTCTCTTAACAAGAAGAATTCAGCAGGACCCTCTAGAGAATTTCAACGGGGAAATACGAGAGCAATGTGGTAGCGGACATTCCCCCACAGTTTTGACTTTCTGCGCTTGCTTGGTTGGAGCTTTTTTTAACCTTTTAATGTATCTAAAACTCCACAATGAAAAGAAAAATTGTGAGGACGATGGATTAAGCTGCCGTGAGCTGGCACCTTATATTTTTGATGCATTTTTTAGAAAGGTACATTTAAAAAATTAAGAATGAAAAAGTAATGAAATTCTTTCCATAAGGTACAACAAAACCCCACCTTGCCTTTGGAGCCTGAACCATGCGAAGACAGTACATCTGATGAGGAGTCTCAAGATGCGGACGATGAACTCATTGACTTGCAGAGCCAAAGTGATTCGTATTTTGGAGGAGTCGCATTGAAAAAGGTGGACAATGTTTTGCATTGTGCTATGTGCATTGAATCTGCGACATCCAGTGAAACACTGCCCAGCCAGGTCTATACCATGTTTAGAGAGTATCGCGATAATCAGTCCAAACTGCTGTACGTTAGCGACAATTTCGCAAACTTTGTTTGTTCAAAACTGAGGAGAATTAAGTCAGAGCTCCATACTAAACAGAGTATGCCAAAAGATGTATTCAGACATATATATGACAAGGTTTTGAATGATGCTTCATGTGAGTTTGGTTGTTCACGTCATTCTGAACAATTTCTTCAAATATTATTTCAATATATTTTTAAATGTGCAGTGCATTGGTACGCCAAAGAAACTTTGAGGAGTAAAAAGAAGTATTCTAAATATTACATTATTTACTTTTAATTTTTTCAAACGGATACCTGTCTGGAATTAAGAGAATATTTTTAATCATTATTATTTCTATTAAAAAACACTTGCTATGCGGCCATACATACGAAATGTAACCCGTTAATTTATTTTTCCGCGTATGACTGCCAATAAATAATATTTGTTTTGTGCGTTGACCGCTGGAGCAAGACCTTGTTGAGCAAGACCACACATTATTTTTATTGTTGATTTTTACCGCCGCAAAAGTACAATCCACAAGCACGCCTTGATTCTGATTGGATGAGAGCTCGATCGCTGCGCCTCTAGCGGATAAAGTATTGTCAAAGAAATTTAACATTGAGTGTCCCATCTCTATTTACATTGTCTCTGGTTTGCTGTGTCCCACTCCAGCTGTTCTCTGGTCAGCAGCTCCCCCCACCACCCCTTTTTGCGCATCGATTTCGCAAAGAAGTCAATAATTGAGCAATTTTTTGCGTCTCTTCTCCGTCACCTTGAGCTCAAAGCTACCCGCGGATGCTTAAAATAGGGACCGCGATTTACTGCTGAACTGATTTTGGCACGAATTTCTAGCCTTTTAATTAAGAATTTGGCAAAATACGTACCCTGATTTGAGAATTTCTCCAAATACGCAAGCGTAGCGTTGGCCACGCCCCCTACCAGCTGTTGCTCCTGTTGTCAAGTGAACACTGAACAGTGGTTTTTCAATTTTACACACTTTTGAAGCAAACCGGTTTGCTTTTCCTGCAAATAAAGCTCACCGGTTTAATTTCTACGTTCAAGAACAATGGAATTAGTTGCGCAACCGATAATCGAGCAGAAATAATCGGATTACGTTTTGCTCCCCGCTGTTAAAGGTCCTCCGCGGAGAAGGAAGACACCATTTTTGAAAACAAAAGATGTGATCTTGTGATTTGCGTCGCAATTTACGGTTTTTTATGGAACCGGAGTCCTTTTAGAACGCAAAATGAGTTCGAAGGATAAGGACAAAACCCTACAGGACAAGCTGAAGCAATTTTTCCGGCTCAACAAGGGAAACGCAGGTCATTTAAGAGAAAAATTTACGGCAACACGAGCCGCAATGCCGGCTCGTGTTTTTATTTTTTTACGTCTGTTTTTGCCTTTTTTCTAAATATGGTCAATTTTTTTAGCTGGCACCGTTGTCGAGCGGTCGGACTTCTCATTGACCTCAGAAATTGAAATTGCTATCGGACCTCAATCGACAAACGTCAATGACAGGGTTAAGACACTGAGAGACATCAGCAACGTCGTACTGCAGAAAAATTTAGAAGAGGTGAAATTCTGAATCAATAATCATACGCTTTTTTTACAGATAATATCATTCAAAAGTTATGCAATTTTTATTTCAAGATTAAATACTTTGTTTCATTTACAAAAAATCAACAATAATGTAGTTAAAGTTTTATTTGTTGAATAGTTGGAAATTAAAAATATCTATGTACGAATAAATTTTTATTTTTTCTTCATCTTATTTCAGCATGCCATTGAAAAGCTGTGGTCCTTGGTTCAAGACCTGCTGCGGGAAGATGTGCCCAAGGAGCAGAGATACAACGTTTTCCAGTTTTTGTGTAACCTTGCACAAGGCCAGTCTGAAAAACTGGGAATCCTTAGGGCCCAGTTCTTCCGATTGGTTGTGCAGCATTCTCTGCCCGAAGACGTTGGAGCTCGGCTTGACCTTCTGCGGGCTTTGACTGATAACGGCAAGGACATTCAGTACATCGAGGTAGAGGTAGCACCCTTCCTGCTCTCTTGGATGTCGGAAGTAACACACGCCAACAAAACCAACGACCTGCTTTCCTTGCTTGTCAACGTGGTAAAATACAATGCTGCTTTTGTCGAGGATGATGTCATCAGTGGACTCATACAGTGAGTTAAAACTTTGAAATTAAAGTATAATGATAAAATAATTAAATTGCTTTTTTAGAAGCACCTGCTTTTTGTGCACCTGCAGCCAGCACGAAGAAGTTGTTCACTCCAGCCTAGCTCTTCTTGATGTGATTGTTTGCTACGCTCAAATGCCTCCAGAAATGTTGCGGACTTTTGTCTGCACTCTCTGCAACTGTGTGAACAACAAGATGTATTGCCTAAGTTGTTGGAAGGTACTAATAATTTTATTATTTAAGTTATGTCTCTTAAGCTCATTTTATTTTTCAGATCATGAAGAAAATTCTGGGAACCCATCTGGGCCACAGCACATTGTTTCAAATGGTTTCCATTTTGAAAGACCCCAAATTTGCCAACGCACCCCAGCTTCTTCGGGGAGCAGTTTTCCATACCAGCATGGGCATGTGGGGAAACCAGAAAGTTCCCTCACTCAACACTACAGTTTGCACTGTTCTCCCTGCCTTTATGGAGGTTTGCTCAAATCAAAAGAGACTATCCTAAATTACTAACTTTAATAATTTTGTATCAGGCTATTAAACATGGACATGCCATAGTCACTTACGAAGTTCTTCTCTGCTTGAGAAAGTTAATCGTCCACAGTCCTAGTGACTTGAGCGATCCAGCTTGGCACATTGTTCTTGGAATCCTAGAGATTGCTATGATATTGGTAAATTTATTGCAAGTCTCAAAATTGGAGCTCCATATTGATTTTTTTTACATCCTTTAGATTCAAAAAATGAACCCACCTAATGTTAATGTTGCAACTGTTGCTCATGACTTGCTCACTGATATTGAAGCTCTGCATGAAAGAGGTGATTTTCGAGGTGACGTCGGAAGATTTTTCAACATCATTGCTTCCTGCGCATCAACACGGCCAGTAAGAGTGTTTGGTTTAAAATTGAAATTACTTCATTCATTTTCTTACCTAGGAAATCTCAATCCTGCATTTAATTACATACTTGGCTGCCGACTTCACACCTACAAAGCACAAATGGCTGACTAAGTTGAGTGATTTTGTCGAAAGGTACTTCTGGCAAGAAACCAGGTCCAATATTAGGGTCAAGGTGCTGGACGTTATTTCGTCAGTGGTTCACGCCAATAGGTAATATTTTGTGATTACATCAAAAATATTTTCAAATTTCCTGCCAAATTTAGAGCATTGTATGAGGAGGAATTGCTGGAACGAGTATTGACACAATTGGATCCTAACGTGGCCAAAGATCCAGACCTAGTTGTAAGAAATGCATCTGTCCAGCTGCTGGTCGAGTTATGTTTGGAGTGTGAGAACAAGAGGTGCTTAGAACTTTTGGAACTGATTGATAAGGTTACTTAATTTGATGATTCAAATTCATTGTCTAATTTGCAAACGATTAGTTTTTGCAACGACCATTTGATTTGTATGATGCCAATTCTTTCATCATTACAAATGAAGCGGATATGATTGACGTCAAAAGTGCTGCCCTGGGCATGATAAAGATTTTTCAAAGTAAAGCGTACCAGTTGCCTTCGTCTCACGCAATTCGAGCTTACAAGTCCTTGGTCAACCACTTAGAGTGCCACTACAAGAGGCCTGCTGTGTTCGACAATTGCAGCACAATTAGATTTTTGGTAATTCTAACTTTACAATGAATTTTGCTTTCTTTAAACATGTGTTTTGTAGATTTTCAAGTGCTTCTTGCAAATCCGAGCCGATTCGTTGTACCACTTAGGAATGCCTGACCCAATGATTCTTGATTTTGAAACACCGTGTAGTGCAAAAAAAGTGACAAGATTTAGCCCTTATTTGGCTGTGGATCACAGGGATGGTGAAAAGCCTAGCGCAGCAGTAGTGTCTGCTGGGACGACATCAGCTTTTCCAACACCTACAGTCACTTACTTGTCTCTCACACATGCCTGTGGTGCAGTAATTATTTGTTTAAAAAAAGAGAAAGGTAAATAATTAAAAATTATTGGCAATAATTTTTATATATTTTTGTGGGTTCCAGACTGGAGAGTATTGACTCTCGTGTTGTCAGAGTTGCCACAAGTGATGCAGAACAAATCGCTTATTCTCTCAAAACATGGTAATGATGTAGAGTATTTGGCCAGTGCTCTATACAGCATGGTATGATATAGGAAGATTTTAAAAGCTTTCCATGCAATTCTGTATTAATTAATTTAGGTCAGTGAGATTAGTTTGGGCCTACCAGACAAACTGAAGAACCTTCCTCAGAAAATGTCGAGATCTGATTTGCAGTCGATGGTTTTACTTTCATTGGCCTCACTTGTTTCATACCCTCTTGACTCTTCAATGCAGCAGAAAATTGTGAAATGCCTACAAGTAAGGATATTTATTGATGTAATAAAAATGAATAATTTTCCCCATTTCCAGCTGGGATTGACAACAACTACCAAGTGTGCCATTGATTGCATGTCGGCACTCACTCTTTGTACACTGGACATGCAAGAAACAATGTACAAACTCTTGCCTGAGGTACTCCTGAAGCTTTCAAAAATTTCGACTACAGTCTTCATGGCAATACCAATGCTGGAATTTCTATCAAGTAAGCTAAAAGTTTAAACTCTTTGAATTTGTAATTGATTTTAATGCACAATTTAGCACTGACTCGCTTGCCAAAGGTATTTGGGTCATTTGTATATGACCAGTATTTGTCAGTTTTTGCCATCGCCTTGCCATACACAAATCCCTTCAAGTACAGCCACTTTGTTGTTTCATTGGCACATCATGTAATTGCTGTCTGGTTCTTCAAAAGCAGAATGCCGTTCAGAAGCAAACTTGTTGGCTACATCATTAAGGTATATATTTATTTGAGTCTTTGATTCAAATAATTATTAAATATTTAAAAGGGTTTGAAAAATAATTTGACCGGAGAGACAATGATACGGACGGAACTTGTAAATGAAGATTCTTCAAGTAGGAGGAGAAGTTCAAGTCTGACAGAACAGGGCAGCCGACACCACAAAGAAAATCTGCGACAGCGGATGGAAATGAAACCAGTCATTGACGAAACTATGATGCTTTTCCACACCGAGCTGACTGAAACGTGTATCGATATGATGTCGAGATATACCTTCTCTCGATGTTCTGCTCTGCCAAAGAGACCACCCACCACTCAGTGGCTCCTGAACGAGGGTCCGTCTATGACCTGGTTGCTTGGTCACAAGTTGATCACTGTCACAACAAGTAACTGCAGCTTAAAGGCCATCAAGAGTGGATTGTGTGACAAATGCCTCCAATCTTGCAGACTAGACAAATCTGGTTAGTATCTTAAATTGTATTTTTTAAATTATTATTCTAAAAAACATTTATCAGGTGCCAACACAAACTCGGCCCCGAGTGCTCCCCAAACGCAGCCTTCAACTGCAGCAACTAGTCCAATAACGGAGAAAGCACCAAGCCCTCCTGTGGAGAATGATTTGACCCCATCGCGTCGCCGTCACAAATCTGCAATCCAAGGCAGTGTTGCCCGCGACAGTGGAGCCTTGTTTGCTCCTAGGACCAAAGACGACCTGCATATGAACTCAAGAGCTCTAGATTCTGAGAACTCTAAAAGTGAAGGGTTTTTCGGTGTGTAGAAAATGAAATAATTTAGTGAATGTTGGATTGAAAAAATAGTTAAATCAGGTGCCCAAGTCGAGAAGTCTGTTGATTCTGATAGAGGAATGTGCACATGCTGGTGCCAAGGCTGGGCCGAAATTAACGTTAGGAGCGCTACAGGTAATTAAAATTTTATATTAGAATAAAAATTCACAAACATAAATAAACTAGGCAATGCGTCTTGGACAATGAGACTCCAAAACTTGCCCTACGTTGATGCCTCCTCGCCATCAACAGATTTTCCGTTGACTGATGTTTCTACTCTTTTCTTCCCTGAACTTGAATGCAAAGAGGAAGGCAAATCAAGGATAAATTCACCAGAGGTATTGATTTAAAATTCAAAATCACATTATTGTCTTCCAGCTATTAATTCCAATTTTTAAGATCACAAGCGAGCAGCCTATTTTCAACAATAGCATTCCAACTTCCCCAGTCGGTCAGCCACCACTGATGGAAGGCGCACTTGAAAAGAAAACTCAACAAGTACAGCCAGTTTTACCTAGGTAAGTTTTGCAAGTGTCTTTTTAATCGTTTTTTATAATTTTCCTCTCCCCACCAGTCCAAGCCAGGAAATAGCACCCAGCAGACCAACTTCTGAAGCAGTTCCAGTACCAGGTGCTGGCGGTGAGCCTGAAGACTCTGACGATGCGGTCGATGAGGAGGATGGAGCGGAGGGGGAGAGTAGACAAAGGAACCGTGTGAAGAGGTCAAACTCAAGCCCTGAAATGAGCAGCAGACTGCGGAGTCCTCTTTCGCTGCAACCACCTGCTCTTCATGCCACAAACAGTCAGAGTGGAGGAGATCTTGACCAAAGTGCGCCCCTCAGCCCGACCGAAGAGAAAAAAAATCCAAAAGTACCACCTGCGAGGTAGGCGCATTTTATTTAAAATCAAATTATGTCAACAACTAAATTAATCAGGGTGAGCTGTGAAGCAATTCCTGAGGAAATGGGAGGGACAACACCTCCTACTGCACAAACTATTGTGCCTTTGCTGAAAACCCAGCCTCCCGTTCAGACGATAGAGCCAAAACCTGTTGAACCTTTACAACCACAGCCTCCAGCAGTAGTACCTTCAACACCCCAGCCTCCAGTAAAAGCTACTCTTGCACCCATGAAATCAGCACCCATGGTGCCCGAGAAGGTTTGTTTGGCAAATTTTTAAATTATATTTTCTTAACATAATTAATTTTTAATTTCAAACAGAGGACTGAAAAGAGTCCTCCTCAAGAGACGAGGCCTGACCCAAGCACGCTGCCTCCGCTGTCCTTCCGTGACAGAGGTCACACTATATCAGTCATGAGCCCTGTAAAGAGACCAGATTTGAGTCTTTTAAGGAGAAATGCCGCTGGGGGTTCAACGCCCAGAGGTTCCGAACCATCAATGAACAGTGCAGGAATGAAGCCAAGGTAATCAAAGACCTGACTAAATTTAAATCAAAAGTTAATCTTTGTTTTCTTCAGCTTTGTATTCTTGCAACTTTATCAAGAGGGTCGACTAGCTGGAAAAGGCGAAAAGCCAATGTTGGTGCCCAAAGACATTGCGACCATGTCCATCAGAACTTTTGACTACATCCCACCTTACGAGACTCACAAATTGGGAGTTCTTTATGTTGGGGAAAACCAGGCAAACAATGAGACTGAAATTCTTCGAAATACGTCTGGATCAGTTCGATATACAGAATTCTTGTCTGTGAGTATCATAAACATGGATTAATTAATTTTAGTTTCTCACTTAAATATGTTTAATTAGGGTCTTGGTACTTTGATAAAACTAAAAGAAGTTGACCCCCAAACAATTTTCCTTGGAGGATTGGATGTGAATGGCAATGACGGAAAGTTTGCCTATATCTGGCATGATGCCATGACTCAGGTTGTTTTTCACGTTGCAACGTTGATGCCGACAAAGGAGACTGATCCGAGCTGCAACAACAAAAAGCTTCACATTGGTAATGATTATGTGACTATCGTTTTCAACGAAAGTGGCCAAGAGTACAACATGCATTGTATCCAGGTATATTCTCCTGAAATTTTTAATAATTTGTAATAGTGTAATGAAACTTCTTAATTACAGTGTCAGTTCAACTTTGCTTGTGTTGTTGTTACTCCAATGGGCCACGGCACAAATCAAGTGACTGTCAAGATTAAGGATGACCTCACAGAACACTTGGGTGCATCACAAGTGACCAGAATCATTTCTGACCAGAGCTTGCCCACCTTGGTTAGGCAGCTTGCTCTTCACGCCAATGTAAGCATTGTGCAATAGTTCATTTCAATTTATCAATTTATTTCATTTCAAGTTGGCTTCGCTTATTGTTCGTCACATGAGCAAAAATGTTCTGTACGCTTCAAACTGGCTGGAGCGGCTGAGGAACATTAAGAGGATCAGGAGCAGAGTTTTAACGAAAATTGAAGAGAGGAAGAAGGCAGCTGACACTCAATCAGGATTGCAGAGTAAGGACCCTGACGATTTCACCGACTATGCCGTTTACTCAGAAATGCCAGATACGAAGAACTAATGAGGAAATAATATAAAATTAACTGGAGGAAGCTAGGCCTGTGAATTATGAGTTTATGGTGGCTACACAATGAATTTTTGCTGTTCTTTGTACGGACTCGGCACGCGCTATAATGTTGCTTTTTAAAGAATATAAATAATAAACGGATAATGAAAAGTAATTGCTATTTTAATTTAAAAATTTGATTTAAGCAAAATAATTTTGCTTCTCAGCCGCTCTGATAAGTTGCCTCCTTGAGTCCTAGCATTATTACATTGGCGAAGGACGGTCAATATTGATTCTCCTATTCAACCGAAAGGGCCACACGTACGTACGAGGGCGCGAAGTACGTGCATTCCGCGCCACCGAGCACCGAAGTAGAGGGCAGTGGTGCCACCTGTGGAGGGGCGGCGCCACCAGCAGCTGGAAGCGGAGCAAAATCGATTTTCGGACGGCAGGCTGATATTTTCGCCGCGACTGGGCCGAAAGTGAGCAAGGTGGCGAGTGCAGGGACGTTTGCCGAAGCCGGGATGAGGTCGAACCAGTAGGCAGAGCAGTCGGCGACAGCCCCAGCGGCCAGTCGGCGTCGACAAATGCGCCGATAGTAGCCCAGAGCCCTCCGACAGCGACACACTTTGAAGGTGAGAATACGGCGCGCCAAGTGGCCCTTTGCTGGTGCCGCAGGGTCCACGACAACCCCCGTCCCCACAATCAAAAAACCCCTTTCGTCCGTTCCACCCAAGAGGATCTTAATTCGCCCCGGTGCCGTTCTTCGGCTCATTTTCGGGGCACCAATATGGCTGGCCCGGAGCGTTTTACGAGGGTCACTGCGACAGCCCTAATTTGACCTTTTAAGGCCTGATTGTTTCGGTAAACACGGTGGTTAACGACCCCAGTCGTTTCGAGGGAAACTGGCTGAACTTTTGGCGTAAATTTTGGCCATGATTTTCTAGCCGCGGAACGGAAATAGGACATTACATGCGAGTTGTTGTTTTGCGAGATTGCAAGAAGTGGTTGATTTGACAGGTGCGACTTTCTTTGTTTGTGATTCAATTAGCCGCCAGTTCAGAGTGAAATTCGATTATGCAAAATGTTTTGTAACGGCGGAAATCGCTGGTGCTTCAATTCTTACGACTCATTATTTGAATGCTATATTTAGTATCCTGGCCTTTTTAAAATAATAACAAAATTGCTTACAATTAGTTTTATAATTTTGAACCGCAGAATCATCCTACATTTATTTATCTATCTTTCATCGATTTCTGTGTTTTTTTTTTAATTTTTTTAATTAAAAAAAATTGTTTTAAAATTTTCAGATTATTAGAAGTTTTTTTTTATTCCTTCACTTTTAACGTTATTATTTATTTAATTAATTTTAATTATAAAATTGCACAAATTATCTAAAAGAGAAAAAATTTAATAAATTTATATAATAATTGATAATAATGTTAATTTTAATTAACTGGTTGAGTTCGTGCCTTGGCGCCGAAAGTGCGAAAACGAAAATAATCAGACGACGCTTGGGGCAACTAATTGGAAAGATGTTTGAAATGGAAAGAATAAAAAGAAAGGGATGAGCGGCCGCGTCGACGATAAATAATGACTCCTTTTTGGTGGCTATTTTTGATGTTTGTTGGCAGCAAAACAGGGAACACGCATTATCCCCCGACATGACATGATCCACGTGATTCTCTTTTTTAAAGGGTCAACTTTGAAGTCGCGCTGAATCCGACACTTGAATTTCAAAACTGCGAGACGGGAATCTGCGTTTTGGCAAATGAAAGGGCTCATTACACAAGTTCGTTTGTAAACCTGTGCGTCATCTTACGAGTAATTAGACAAGACATTCAGGCCCAAATTAAAAGTTGAGTGACACGCATTCAAAATTATTTAAATTGAGACCGTTGCTTCGATAATTATTTCTCGGGGCGAATTTGAATTGAAATCGGCGAAAGTTTAGCTTAAACTGAGTTAAAACTTAGGGTTAGTAAAATTTTTTGTTAATTTCAAAAGCTCAAAGCAAAATCAAGACTTGGACAAAAAATATAAAACTAAGAAGATTCGCTTTAACAATTTTTAATGTAGGCAAATACGCAAAATGTTTTGCAAAATATTTGTTGTTTTTGACAAACCATCAAAATAAATTATAAATTTGAAATAATATAAAAAATATTTCATTTCAATTTTTATTTGTTTGAAGAAATTGAAACTCAAGGAGATGATCATGGAAATGAAAATAAATATGGAAATGAAGAGATCGAGCTTTTCCTTGTTGCAAAGATTGTTTTTATTAAAAATAAAAATGGCTTTTGAATAAAAATAATTTTCGCAACGAGGAAAAGCTCGATCTCTTCATTTCCATTTTTATTTGCAAAATTATTTTTCTATAACTATTGGAATTTTGCTTGGAAGAGCTCAGAAGAGCTGCAGAAACTTGCAGCATTTGGCCTTTTTTTTATAAATAATTTAAAAAAGCAAAAGTAATGATTAAAAATTATATAATTGATAAATATCTAATAATTGAAGTTTGCATTTTATAGGCTAGGATTCAAGTTTGTAACATTTTTTTTCATTTACTGATATTTTTAAAAAGTATCCTCAATATGTAATTTCTAAACAAAATGTGTTTTTTTTTTTTTTTTGCAAGCCATACTTTTTTATTTCTGAATTTACTAGAACGATTGCTGCGTGTTCAGCTTTTTCAACCAGTTTTGAAAGTCAAATTGAGCTCGTGGGCCCCACCCATGTTTTTGGTTTCTTTATTTCGGGCTGGGTCGGTGTTGTCATCAATCGTGTTGTCTCTCGGCCGTTCTTTTTCGCCTTGGCTTGTCTCGCGACAATTATTAACTGCTTTTTAAGCGTTACGCCCAATTAGTTTTTAGCCCAAAGCTAAGTGAAACCGGGCTCGGAGCCGATTTTTCAGTTTTGTCGCTCTTTAATTCTGCCAGTTGAGCACATTTGCTTCCTGTCAGGAATCTAAAAAAGTGTTTTAAAATTCCGACCGAGTTTTTAATATTTTAAAATAGAAATTTTATACTTTTTTTTTTTTTAATTTTCAACCAACCTCATTGTCAGATCTTTGTATGTTATATTAATATTATTGTCGTTTATGTTCATGTGTCAAAATTGTTGCAAAAACTTTGAAAGGAAAAACAATTTTTGGTGAGGGAATCGTTGAATAGTTGTACAAAAAGATAGGATTCAAAGAATACTTCCTAGATCAATTGGACGTCTCGGTTGACAAAGTTTTTGTTGTTATTTTGCTATGTTTTCCTTTTTTTTATTCCTTGAAACTTGATAATTTGTTTTGCAATCGTTTTATAATTTTTTCTTTAAATATCCAAATTTATTGCACACATTTTGTGCGCAAGAATCAAGTACTGTCCTTGCAGTAAACATTCGTCTATTTCTATAATTCCTATAATTTGCAAATCTTCGTGGCACCTTTGAGCAGACTAAAAATATACTCTACAGAGCGGTGCAAACTTTGGGGTCCTTTCATGGAATTGGATCGGACGGTCGGTCGGTGTTGGACAAGGAGTCGTGTTGAGATCAAACTTTTCCATGCCCGTCAGCATACAAAAGCATCATCCATCGCGCCGCGCATTTGCGTCCGCTAAATTTAGAGCTCCGACGCGCCTGATTCACAAAAGAAAGAGTCCCTCTTTGCTTTTCTCTGTTTCTTCTTTTCTGCGTCCGCAACAAACAAACAACCCTAACTGAAACGACGACGTCACGCCTGTGCCGCCAGCGTTTGAAGTAAAAATACAAAAACTTCTCTGCACGAATGGTTTATGAAATCGCCACTGGTCCTCCTCGACGAAAAAAATAACTTGGTAGTTTTGTTTCGGAAATAAAATTTCATACTTTTTTTGAATATTAATCTATGTAATTCTTCATTTTGAAAACAAAAATCATTCTTTTTTATTTTAGAGCAATTTTGTTTTATCTAAAATAAAACCACTTCTTGTTGAATTATTCTGGCAGTAAAATTGAACTCTTTTCTCAGCCTTTCTGTCTGCTTTCTTGCATTGTGTATTTAAGGTTTTGCATTGAAATAGGATCGCATGAGGCGCTCGATTCTCCGCGACCATACGGGAGGAAGCCTTTGAAAAGTAAAAGGCTGAAAACAAACGGCCGTCGTATTAATCTTTCCGCGGCCCGTCGATCGTGAATTTTGCCACTCCAGCGACAAGCAGGGGTAAACAAAATCTGTTTATTTATCCGAATTTCAAAGAAAAGATAAATTCTGTAATATATAGAGGAGCTAATATAATCCTTTGGAATTATTATATTGTCCTTTATACGACGAGAGATCCTTCAGTTCAAACTGTAAAATGGAAAGATCCACAAAATCTCATAAAAGTATTAAAGTGACCAAAATTTATTAAGAAAAATACTTTTTCCATACACTTGATTCCATTTTTTTCTCTGAAAAAAATAGTTTTAAATTTTAGTTTTGTGTTTCTAAAATTAAATAAATTAATTAAAATAAAAATTAAAAGGGACGTTTTGCCAAAGAAGAGCTTTCAATGAAAAAATCTTAGTTCAAGCAAACAAATTTTAATTGTTTTGAAGAGATTTGAGTTTTCAAATAAAAAATATTTAATTAAAAATCCTCTTCAAAGAATTTTTTTGTCCTTAATATGAATCGGGAAATTTTCCGATTTCACCAAATAATTAGAAATTTAGAAATCACACAATGAGTGAAATTCAACTAAGATTCTCCTTTTTGTAAAGTATTTTAAATCTTAACCTAGAATGCTAATTCGTTTATTTAGAGAATTTTATTTAATTGAGATCAAGCCAAGTTTGAACGCAATCGATTTCGCCTCGCGCCGGTTTGAAAGAAGAATTCAAGACGTCTGGATAGGGCTGGCGACAAAAAGGGACACCTGTTGTTGCGCCGTTGGCCAAATTTGGCGCCTCCGCCAAACGACCTCACCGCTTTGCTCTTTCTCTGCTGCAACAACTTCGGAATCAGTCGTTTTATCTCAACGCGTGCATCGTTCCCTCCTTGCCGAGCACCGGCAATTAACTCGAGGAATTACGCGTGCGGCTGAATTAAAGCCCTTGCTTGTTCCAAATGACGCATGCGACACCCCCGCGCACCCCGCGCCCCTGCTTGATTACCCGCCGCAGAGCTCGCTCGCCCACCGCTCTAGGACCGACAGATTCGCGCGCGCCTGCCCATTATCTTCGCTAATCTGAATTCCTCCTCGCTCGCTCTCTCGGATTTACGTAGAAAAAATAATCAAGCGCTGATTTTTGCGTGCATGTGCCGTTTTATTTCAGTTGAGCTGAGATTAATTATACTCGAGGGTTAACCGAGCGTGATCGGAATCCAGCGACTGGAAGATTATCTGCACAATCTAAGCACGCGTTTATTTTACTACGACCTTGCGCAGGTATAAACTTCATATTGATCGATCAGAATTAGATATGAAAACGAAAATTAAACACGCGCAGTGACTTGCACTTTGCTAAAAAAAATTGTCAGAGAACTAGAAAATTTAAAATAAAAAATAAAAATTTTTATTTATGAGTCACTGTAAAAGAGAATAGAAGGTAATATATAAATTGATATAATTTTCGTTTTAATTTTGTTTTTTAAATGTTTTAAATTCAAAAATAATTAGAGATTTTTAAATTTAAAAACTTAATTGACTGTTTCTTGACTGAATGAATAACAAGGATTTGCTTGTGGTTTTAGGCCAAGTTTTTAGCCAATTAATTGTGATATTAATTTCATCAATGTTCATGTTTCGGCAAAATAAAATTAGTAGTTTGATCTGAAAATTTGTATTGATGTTGGAAACGTGTCAGTAAATTCATATCAATTTATCAGTTACAAATTCTAACAATAATGTTTTTCATTCATTCAAGAGAAAAATATAATATTGAATTTGATCTCCATTTTCTTTAAATCCATTTTTAAAATTTGTTATTCTTCAATTTAAGTTTTTTCCCTAAAAAATTGTAACCAATTTTACTGCAAAAATTTGACAAATTAATAAGCTTGAAAATAATTTGCCGTCAAAAAATTGTTTTAAATTTTTAATCTAGATTCACTGATTGTATTATAATAAAGTGTTTTTTTTCTGCCCTGAAACTGATACAGTTGTCGCTTCGTAACAGTATCGCTGGAGTGCCGATTAGATCGGAAAACGCGGCATTAAAAGTGACATAAAGCACTCTCATCTAATAATAGAGCCTCTCTAGCGTCCTTTTCCGTTCGCCGTTTGTATTTTTATTTGCTCGAGCGTCCAAAGGCCTCTCGCTCGCTTCCTCTTTCGCTGTGCACGCGGTGTGTAATTCGATTTGACGCGATGCTAACTCTCGCGCCGTGGAGCACCACTGTCAAGGATGCGAACAAACAAATCGCACATAAAAATGCTACCGAGAGCAGGCGGCGGCGGCGGACCAGCGTTTAATTTATTATGCCGGTCGCATCATTCCAACTCGTGATCTTTCCCAACCGTGCAGTAAAGAGGCTCATTATATGCATTACGTACGCTTCTGATGCGTTTGAATTCTGAACCCAAGTTCAATTAAATCCAATTATTTTTTTAATGGCGATGGACTGAATTTCAAGTCGGTTTCAACATAAATCGATTGAGAGAAAATACTTTTCTACAATTTTTTTTATATGTTATAAATTTTTTTAATATTTTATCAATTCTAAAATTTCTGGTAAAAAGTTTTTTTTTATGAATATGACCACTTTTTATAATAAAAAATTCATTTGCTGGAATATTTCTTAAATTAAACTGAAAATTCTGAATTGACCTTTTGATATTTTCCAACTCAGATTTTTTACTAAAATTTTGATGGAATTTTTTCCAGATGGGGAATTCAGCGACGAGTCAGGCGAAAAAAGGCGACACCGCCGAGTACGTGAAGGAGTACCTGGAGCGGGTCAAGGAAGAGTTTGAGGAAAAATGGAAAAAGAATCCGACCAACACGGCGGCCCTGGACGACTTCGACCGCATCAAGACGCTGGGCACGGGTTCGTTTGGCAGGGTGATGTTGGTACAGCACAGAGCCAGCAAAGAGTTCTACGCGATGAAGATCCTCGACAAGCAGAAAGTCGTCAAACTCAAGCAGGTAAACCTACGCAGAGTTAATTAGCGCGAGGTCCATTTGCGCCGCTAGACAAATAAATCCCCCAAGAGATTTGCGGCCGACTGGAATGCACGTGGAGGCAAACGAAAATAGGACATGTTAGTCAGCGTGTCCATTGTGAGCTTCGAACTTAATTTATAACTGTTCAGATGCAGTCAAGGGGCACTAAATCAGCTTCAAATTACAGAGTCTTGCCGAAAATTTTAAAGTAAAATAGAAAGAATTTATAAAAAAAATTAAAATTAATTTTGAAGTTTTTAATTTATCAATTCTTAGAGATTGTTAAGATACTTAAGATTATAAATGAGGAATGTTTTGAGTGTGTAAAATTCATTGAAGTACAAAATTTAATTAATACTATTTTTTAATTTAATTAAAATTAAATAATTTTTTGAGTTAATTTAACTCATTTTCTTCATTGGAAGTCGCCATACTTGGATGGCAATCAATATTTTCATAATTTCGCCGAGACCAATTTTTGCCGTGCGATAAAATATTCATCTCCGTTCTGACTGCTTGCTTTTTTAATGATGATTAGTAGTGGTGACCGTCGAGTAAATTACTCGAGCCGGCCGCCGACTCGTCTCAATTAAGTCTCAAAAACAAAGGATCATTTTTCACTTGGAAGGCATCGAGTGCGTTGACCTTAATGGTTCGCAACAATGATGCTGACAGATGTTGCGAAATGCCTCGGAAACGCTTGTTTGCGACGCTAAATTTAGCCGACGTGCAGAAAGAAATGATTTTTAAAATAGCCGAGACCCAAGAAACTTTGTCCTAAGTACAGAGCACACAATCAAGAAGAGATGCCAGACTGACCCACTAAGCCTTCCCTTTGGCCGCGGGCAGCCGCTCCAATCCTCTCTGATCTTGCGAGACTATTATATATTCTTTCTCTTTTTATATATTTATTTTGATTTGCTCATTGTGTGTCGTCCAACCGGTCGCGGTCTAATCTGATGAAACGCTCCAACATGAAATCTGTAATGTTTGAAATTAAGTGCGTGATTGATTGTGCTGTTTGTGCAGAGAAGTTACACGCTCGTAAAAAAGGCGAATGATGATATTAAGTCGGTAGTATAAAGTCGTGCCAAGAAAATAGTTGCAACTCACAGTCTTTTTGTGAGCGTTAGAATAAGCGCCCCAACTTTTTTCCAGCTATTTTTCTGGCTGGCCTAGATTTAACTTCAAGAATTAGTCCTTTGGTTCTTAATCCTTAAAAATATGAACGCCATTTTTCAATTATAATTAAATTGAATGAAACAAGACATTAAATTTTGTCTATTAATTCAAAATCGATATTTTTTAAATTTTGCGTATGGTACAATTTTTTTCCAGGTGGAACACACGCTGAACGAGAAGCGAATCCTGCAGGCGATCAGCTTCCCATTCCTGGTCAGTCTGCGCTTCCACTTCAAGGATAACTCGAACCTGTACATGGTGCTAGAGTACATCCCGGGCGGCGAGATGTTTTCGCACCTGCGAAAGGTTGGCCGCTTCAGCGAAACGCAGTCGCGCTTCTATGCAGCGCAAATTGTGCTGGCCTTCCAGTACCTACACTTCCTCGACCTCATCTATCGTGATCTGAAGCCAGAGAACCTGCTGATCGACAGCCAGGGCTACCTTAAGGTTCAAATCTGATATAAAATCATTTAAATATTACTCCACTTCTAAATTAAATCAACAGGTTACCGACTTTGGTTTTGCGAAAAGAGTAAAAGGTCGGACCTGGACGTTGTGCGGCACCCCCGAGTACCTCGCCCCTGAGATTATATTGAGCAAGGGCTACAACAAGGCGGTGGACTGGTGGGCCCTCGGCGTGCTCGTTTATGAAATGGCCGCCGGCTATCCGCCCTTTTTTGCAGACCAGCCCATCCAGATCTACGAGAAGATCGTTTCGGGCAAGGTGCGCTACCCCTCGCACTTCAGCTCAGAACTCAAGGACCTCCTGAGGAATTTACTTCAGGTACGGGCAATTTCAATTACGGAAAAATTAATGTTCAATTTTATTGAATTTGTATCAGGTTGACCTCACGAAGAGGTTTGGTAATTTGCGCAACGGCGTCAACGACATCAAGAACCACAAGTGGTTCTCGTCGATTGACTGGATCGCCATTTACCAGAAAAAAGTAGAAGCCCCGTTCACGCCACGCTGCAAGGGTCCAGGAGACACGAGCAACTTTGACGACTACGAGGAGGAGGCGCTCAGAATCAGCTCGACAGAAAAGTGCGCGAAAGAGTTTGCCGAGTTCTAAAGTCGCAACGAACCCTGACTGGCCCACACAAAAAGGATAGCTAAGAGAAAAATAACATTGCAGGATTTGGATTACGAAGAAGGCGAAAAGCGTGAGAAATTCAGGGGTTGGGTGCGCCGCGGTGACTTTTTTGCTGCTACATTCCTCTGCCTTTTGTTTTTGTTGAGAGTTGTTTTGATTTATTGCGTTTTTTGCCCCGCCTGTGGGGAACAATCGCCGAACAAAACGGGTTTGATCAATTTTTGAACCATTTCCAGTTGGTTTCGATTTTGTTGGTGCGCGGCGCCAACCTCTCCCGCAATGAAGGGCGGTCTAGTGAGCGACTTAGCTGTTAGATTTTTGTACTGCGAGTCACCAATGCCGCTCTCAACCCAACCCCCACCTGAAACGGTGCACTAGCAGAGTAAGGGTTCTGGTGTAACAATCAAAGATATCAAAACTGAGATACAATCTAGCGGCAAGCCGAGCCGGCGGGCAGGGAGCTCTCCAAAAGGCGCCTCCATTCCTTAAAAAAGTTATTACGGCATAATTGTGCACGAGGTGGACTTTCCACCTGGACGATTTCTTCCCTCAACTCTGCTTAATTTAATAATGTGATCTCTTGTAACAAAAATCTCTACAACCTCTCCCAAGGTTCTGCATTTTTTTTAACAAAAATCGTCCAGATGAGTTTGTCTGGCTCTTTCAAAAATTTTAACGCCACGTTTTCTGGACATGCAAGCGCCTTACTAGCAGTGGCCTTTACAGGGACGCTGCCTCCCCACCGGCCCTTCGGCGAGTCGCGAGCTAAGTAAATGTTGTACTAAAGAGATTCATTCATTCGTCCCCTTCCGACCATTGACCATTGAATTAATCCTTGCTAAGATTAAAATAATAAATGTTCTATCCGCTCTCTGTCTGCAAAGATGGTCGTACTAAGATCTGTAAAACCGAACCAGAAACAAACCACCCACTGTTATCAAATCAATGTGCTGTAGTTAACGCAAAAATGGTGAAAAATTATACACAAGGACTTGACTATCAAGAATGAGTAAATCAAAATGCTGTCCCGTGTCCACTTATCTCGGAGGTGCATTCGTGTGTAGGCAAAAAAAGTAAGGAAACAAACTGCTGAGATCAAGAACTTCTTTAGAAAGAAACTTATAAATTATATGATACAGGACAACAACTGAACGAGCCGACGAGTCAATCTGTGTTCACTCTCTATCTATCTTTCCTACTGCTGAGCTGTTGCTGAAGTAAAATTAAATAAGAAATGATGAGTTTTGTCGACCGATTTTTGATATACACAAGTTAATGACACTTCCCTTACATATTCTGTAACTGCTCTCTTCTTTAAGACCCGAGGAAAAATTAAAAAGGCAGGTTGAAAATTTCCCTGGCTCGGTCTATTATTCTCACGGTCAAAATCTCAGATTGAGCCGCAAGTTCACAATTTCGGCCTGCCCCCAGCTACAAAAAGAACTAATATTCCTGTCCCTAAAATACTTGAGTTTGTTTGAATCTCGCTTGCCTCCCTAAGAGGCCAAGGATAAATTTTGTGTATCACTGTAATTTTGAACCGTCATCAGTAATTTTTATTAAAACGTGAATAATTAATTAATTAATCATGGAATAGTTGTCTCTCCTTAACAGACATATCTCTCTCGATGGCTCAAAAATCTCCGATTGTTTCCCAACTTTATTAATATTTAGCGACCAAAACACATGTGAGCCTCTATTTGTTGCTGATTAACCGATTTCTTTGTTACAACAATAACTTGAGGATTGAGTTGCGGAGAAGGGCTTTTTATGCGGACACTGTGGAGGAAACCAGGCGAGCCACAGAACTGACAGAACCCCTGCTGGGAGAATTAAAAAATTAAAGCCACTCTCTGAAAGCCTAAATTTTCGAAATAATCTTGGAAATGCTCTACTAAAATCTAATTTCATGGGCCAGAATTAAAACTTATTTGCTGCCAACTATAAACTCAACCAATTATATTCCGCGTTACATTTTTCATAATGGGCGTCTTGTTGTGTCATTCCATGAAACTACTTAAACTTGAGAGTGGTGTACATTTTTTCCAGATAATTCTTTTTTTAAAGAGCGCTGAATATATAATTTTACAATCACAAAATTAAAGTCACTTATCAAAATACATTTAAAAAAAAAGCAAAATGGATGTATAGCTCTTCTTGTGATGTAAATATAACTTTGTGAATATAACTGAGGCGAGAAACTAAAAATTCAGCAAATTTAACACTCACACACACGATGGTTGTACATGAGAGATCATGAAAACTAATTACTTGTATACTTTGTAGCCAATAAGTTGCAGCTTTTTTTAACACAAACAACGCGCGTTTTAACATACAAAAATCTCAACTGGACAAGTATCTTTATGTAAATATTTTTTTTAACAGATTATTATGTTGTGTTAATTAATTAAATTGTTGATTTTTGTCAATAATAATGTGATGGATATTTGATAATATACTCTATTGTAAGGAGCAACAATAAGCAAGATAGTCCGCAGTCAAGGAAGTGTTTTTGACTTTTTGATCTATGCCATTTTAATTTAAATTGATTTATTTCGTTGAATATGTTGACTAATTTTAAATTGAAATTCCTCTGTTTACTAGTCTGACCTTTTCAAAATTCTTTGCGACGGAGTTAGTTGTGATTTGTCGGCAGTTCAATGCATAATTATTATATATTAAAATATTCATTATATTGAATGTTAAAATGTTCAAATTTGATCAAACATCCATAATATTAATATAACTATTTTGATTATCAGCAAATTATTCTCACGCGTATCAAAAATGTAGAACGGAACAACTTAATTACTTACAGAGCAGAATTTTCACCCTGTCTGTCTTTCGAGCTGATGAGATTTTTGGAACGAGGATCAATAAAATGTAATTAACTGTTTGGGTTGTGGACTACAATTATAGAAACATGTGCATGACTTTAAGAAGCAAAATAATAATAATAAATGATCTGCGCTGGATGTATTTATTGGATAATTATTTTTCAATTATGTGGAAAATCTTGTATCACTATTGGTGTGGCAGCTTCTAAATGTGGGAGAAATTCTTTAGATAGGTTTGAGACGTTTCCGTGATCATGTTCTATTTAATAAGCAGAAAAAAAATTAAAAAGAAGAATTAAAAGCAAACACGTTCACTGTGCAAAAAACTTTATAAGTTTTTAAAATCTGTGGAAGTTAACTGCTGATAAAAAAGATTTAATAAAATCTATATGTTTGAGACAAGACAATTTTCATATTTAGAGCTATTATTAATTACAATGATAAAGTATTTGTTTTCTGTAATATTGTACTGAAGTCTTAATAAATTATGATTGTTATGATCCCCAAAATGAAACACGCTGAATCTCGTCATTTACTTTTAACCTTTATTTTACAAATCGTCTTCGTCAGACAAAAATCCACTTTCTTCGGCCAGTCTTCTCATCTCTTGGACAAATGTTGGCATGCCTTGGCCAGTTTTTGCAGAAATTGGAACGATCATGAATGGCTTTGGCTCCCCAGGATGCGCCAGAAATTCTTCTGCCTCTTTTTCCAAAAGCGGTAAATTTTCCTAGGCAAAATAAAAAAAATTAGTATTTTAAATTGTTATAAAAAAATCCTTAATACCTGTGCAAGTTGGAGGTCAATTTTATTTGCAGCAATGGCCCAGCCTCGTTGTTGAGCCACCGATTCACTGTACTGCCGAAGCTCCTCTCTCAGAGTGTACAGCTCATGAAGAGGCTGTGGCCAAGGTTGAGCCAGGTCGACTACAAACACAAGAGACAAGCAGCGAGTGGCGTGTCTCAGGAATGAGTGGCCCAGACCTCTGTTTTTGTGCGCTCCCTGAATAAGCCCAGGCAGATCTGCAACTATAAAACGGTTTAATAAAATTTATTTACTAATTGAAAAATATATTTATAAATACCAATTAATTTGCGATAATCGTTGTATGGAATGACTCCGAGGTAGGGACCAAGAGTTGTGAATGGGTAAGATGCCACCTTGGGTCGAGCTCTAGTAATCGACTGCAGGAGGGAGCTTTTCCCTGCATTTGGAAATCCAATCTGAAAACAATAAATGAAAATTTAAACCTGCAACCTGGAAGAAAATTTGTAAACTAGGTTGGTGTTAAATTTTAACAAAAAACGCACAGGCAACGCTTTATATTTTTATTTTGGAATTAAGTTTTGCTGCACCATTTTTTTTTATAAAATGACATTAATTCTTTTATGTGTAAAACCTGAGACGCCACAGATTAAAATATTTACCCAAAAACAAATATACATAATAAAATGCCCTAAATAACACAATGCATAGAAATTTATGGCAGTTTATGCACAAAACTCCCGTTCACACACTTCATTTTTTTAACTTAAATAAAAGGTCACTGGCACTCGACTGTTTCCTTTTCAATCACTGGAAAATGGAATGAATTTGCAAATCAAAAGCAGCACCTACCTCTGCATAATAATAAAATTTAAATTAAACTATGCAAAACCCTAATAAATTTTGCACGAACTTGCTGCTTGTCACAGGATAAAAAAATCAACAATCTTTTCCGTTTTCTCTCGACCAATTCACCCTCGGCACAATTTTCATTTCTGAGCAGTCACATAATGATCTGTGGATCCGTGACGGAGGCGGCAATGCTTTTGTGGGGCAGCACTTGGCCGCCGTTGATGTAGAGCTCGTCTTTGACGATCACATCCTCACCGAGGACTGTGTTATTCTCCATTCGAACCCACCGGCCAACAACTGAGCGCCAACCAACGATGCAACCCTCTAGCCATGAATGCGAGCGAACTGTTGCACCCTGACAAATAAAAAGATTAATGGAATTACATTTGTTTCATTAGTGTAAAAAACGATGATTTAAAAATTCCAAAGAATAATTATTGGAAAATGGAGGCCAAAAATGAGTGAAAAAGGCATCTGCCATAATGTGGAAATACTGGAAAATGTTCTTTTTTTTTCTTTTTAAATAATTGCTTTCAACTTTCCTTTAATTAGATTCAATTAATTTTCACAAAAACGATTTTTTTCAATACTTGATTAAACCACAATTTTATATTGAAAGATATGTATAAATAACTAAGAAAGCCCAGATTGTTAATTATTTTTAAATACCTTAAGAATGACGCTGCGTTTGACGCAGACGCCGTCCTCTACTACCACGTCTGGCCCGATTGCAACGTTTGGTCCGATTCTGCAGTTTTGCCCAATTCGAGCAGTTGGGTCCACAAGGACGTTGCCCACAACCCCTGGACCGTTGTACAACGTTTCAGGGTGGTTTTGTCGCACAGAACCAAGGTACAAAGCAAGTCCGGTGAGGAAATCCCTGGGCTGGCCGACGTCCATCCAAAAACCAGGCAGTTCCATCGCAAAAAGGGCCCCGTCAGCAGCCATTTGCGGAAAAACCTTGAAGTTTAAAATTATTTTATTAAAATTGAAATTGTTTAATTCAAAAATTGTCACCTCTTTTTCAATGGATGTGGGTTTCAGTTCTATCCTGTCAAGAACTTTGGGGCTCAGAATGTACATGCCGGCGTTAATCTTGTTCGAAACGAACTCCTGCGGTTTCTCGATGAAGCTCTTGATCCGTCCGGATTCATCGTCGTAAACGACGACGCCGTACTTTGAAGGTTCTTCCACTTTGGTGACGGCGATGGTGCCCTCGCCGCCGTGCGCTTTGTGGAAGGCGATCATCTCCTTAAAGGGGAATTCGCAGATGATGTCCGAGTTTAGAACAAAAAAGGGTTCGTTGGTCGGTGTGACCAGCAAAGGTCGCGCCAGGGCCAAAGGGCCCGCGGTGCCCAGCGGCTCTGATTCGAGTGAAAACAGAAGTTCAACCTGAAAATTATTGCGAGATATAATACTATTTTTTTTCCTTTTTTAAATAAAATTTTCCTGTTTTTTTTGAAGTAATTTTCTAACGCGTATTTTATTTTACGTCACAGCCACATAATTTCGCATTTTGTGGTGACATCAAAACGGAGCCGTGTAATCATAGTGAAAATCCCTGACGCACTAAAATTTTATCTTTAACTCAACTGCTCAAATTGCAGCTAATGCTATACATTATTTATTCAAGTCTCTTTCGCATGAGAAACGCGAGATTTTTTGAAAATTATTAATTAACAATATATTTCAAAACAAAATTTTAAATAATCATTAATTAAAATTTCAGTAATTTTATAAATTGACCAGAAGATAAAAATTTAATACAATCACTTCTAAAAATATTTTAATTTGAACATTAATTGACTAGAGAATTTAATGAAAAGTTAATTCAATTATTTAAAATTAAAAAACAATTTACCAGTGTTTTTTCCTAGCATTTTATAGCTTAAATATTTAATGGAATTTTGTGTCTTTGTTTGATATTAATCAAATATTTAAATTTGGTTCATTTAATGCTTCAAAAATTAATTAATCAATTGTTGAACTGTATTTTTTTCTAATTCATATAATTATTTCACAGTCGAATTTAATTTAATTTAAATCTTACCCCAAGTTTTTCGGCTTCGACAGTGAGTTGCTGTTCCATCTGCTCGGCTCTGTACGAGACGGCGAGCACGACCCTGCGAACGCCGGCCTTGACCAAGGCCTCGATCTGGTGCAGCAGCATCGGCTTGTTGGCGAATTCGACGAGCGGCTTTGGCCGACTGAGGGTCAGTGGCCGCAGCCGAGTGCCGAAGCCGCCCACCAAAATCAACGCGGTGCTCATTGCAAGTTCGCTTCGTCTTCAATAATTCAGTCCTTGACTTCCCGTACGTGTGGTTGTTCGGCCGATCTCGTTGCACTCACGTTGCCTGCCTCTGCCGCCGTCGACGTCCACATCAACAGTACACGCCACTCCGGCCCTTGCGTCAACAAAACACAGCTGACGACACTTATTCCATCGCCGCACACGCCCATCACACTCACAACTGGCCCCCTTGCTGCGTATGCAGCACGCAATACACGCGAGTGTAATTTTCGTGGAAAAAAGTAAAAAAATCGTAATTCACAGATTTTGTAGTTGGGAATTTTTCAAGCAATAAAAATATTAAATGAAATGAAAATAATTAATAAATTTGTATTTTTCTTAATTTAATGATATTTAAAAAATAATCATAATAATAATTTTATATTACCCGGTTAATCAGAGTTCAAATTTACTTTAAAAATTTTTTCCTGACTTAAAAAGTTTCTCAATCTTTTTTTTCATATTGATTAAATATAACTCGATTGAAAATTGAAAAATCTGTAAAAAAAAATAATTCTATTTTGTGCCAACTGTTTGCCCTTACTTTTTCAATGAACCAAAAAATTTAAGTCTCACCAGTCCTATGTGTGCCATGCTCCTAATTTCCAGGGAAAGAACTTTATAATCTCCCTCCATCCCAAGCTCAGCGATTTCAGGGGTCTGATTTGTGTCTGTGGCAAAAAATTTGTTGCCCTTGCCACCAGCTCCTCCTCTGGCAGCAACAAATTTCACGCCGTCCTCAGCCAAGTCCATGATTTCTTTGCCTTCCTCTTTAATGATGGTCCCAATCGGAACCTGCAACAATTTTCTTTTTAATAAATAATTAATATTTATTCCTGATATATTTGTTTCAGGAAAAGTTGTCAGGAAAACTTAAATAGAAAAATTAATTCAGGCTTATTATAAATAAAGGTTAATTTACTAATATAATTATGTACCTTTAAAAGGAGGTTCTGCCCATTGGCTCCGTGAAGTTCCTTATTTTTGCCTTTGATTCCTGGAGGCGCCTTGATGTCTGTCGAAATATTATTCAGTCCGGACACGTTGGCACAGGCCTGAATCAAGAATTGAAAAATAGTAAATTTATTAAATTTAAACAATTTTAAGAAGTTTTACCTGAAAAATGACGTCCCCTCCGTTTCCGCCGTCACCACCGTCCGGCCCAGCCTCGGCTTTGCTGTAAGTTTGAGCAAAAGAAACGCAACCATCGCCACCTTTTCCGGCAAACGCTTTGACAATCTTAAAGTCGACCAGCGCCTTCGGAGGAATGAGACTTTGCGACTTGCCCTTTTTGGGACGCAGCGCCTTTGGACCCGACGAGGATGCGAATCTCAACAGACCGGGCAAGAAAAACACCCTCCGACACGCGCAATACATTTTCCTTGTAAAAGAAGAAAACGATTCAAAGGTACGATTGCAATAGTGCAAGGAACGATTGAAACACTGAAAGAATTTAAAGATAAAGTTTTTCAGGATATTATTTTTACAAAGCCGACACAATTTCTACATCAAAACCAAATCAAAACAATCCCATGCTGTTTTGGTCAGGCGCCCCACCTCCCTCTTTCTCTTAACCAATGAGATTTGACCTCAATTTGCGGGAAAGAAGCCAATAAGCATAAAATTTGATAGTTTCGAGCCGATTTTGAGTTACAAGAGCGAAATTATCGGAAATTATTGTTATATTAAAAGATGCTTCAAATAAAAAAATAATCACAGTTTTATTGAAAACAGACAGATTTAGGTTTTGAATTTCAGGTCGATGCACAATTTTTCCAATTTATATTCAACAACAATGGAATTTTTCAAACTTAATATTTAAACAGATTTTAAAGTTATTCCTTGGGCCAGGCAACGAAACGAATGCGTTTTTGTTGGAATTCCTCTTGGCCCGTCGGATTGCGAGCAGACTTTTTCACTCAGCGGATGGCAGTCTTGTTTCTCACCTCCCCAGTGGCCCTCAAACTTGAGCCACTCTGGATCGTCCTCCTTTGGTGGCCACGCCATTATCTGCAGACCTTGCCAAGTACGCCACATTGTACCGAAGCCAGTCTCGTCCTCGAGGGCCGGAAAGGAAACGTACTTGTGACGACCTTTGAAAAAAAATCTGATGAAAAACAAATCTTTATCAAACAGTAATATCTTACCCGGTAAGGTCCATAGCCCGTGTGAACCTTTTGCAGCAAAAAGGACAGGACGACCGCTATCCAGGTTGAAAGCGCTTTTAGGGAATCGCGGTGTTCCGATTTTGATGCCTTTCCTCACTTCGTAACCCTTGAAGTTCCAGATGCGCTCGCTTTGAAACATTGGTGCCAAGTAAAGGGCTCCTGCTTCATGAGTCGAGACATACATGGCCAACGGTCGCAATCCTGACGCCTGTTTTAATGAATCAAAATAATTAAAAGAACACGTTTTTTTAAATTAAATTTACCGGGAAGGAGAGAGTGACGTGTTCCCAATCACCTAAGTGACTGCCGTATCTCTTCACTTTGCCGAGACAAGCTTTCCGGAGCCACGGAAACGGCATCGGACCAAAGGCGCCGGCCGAGATGGTGCAAATATCCTTTCCCTGGGAAAAGGGGAAGAAGAGCCAGAAGGTGATCTCGAACGGCGACTCCTCCACTTGACTAGCTTTGAGTTTGCTGCAGCAAGAGCTGACCACCGCATACACGGGCACAGAAAAGAACTCTGGGTTATGGCCGTGCAAAAAGGAGCTCGAATTTGACAGCAGAGTGGCTAATTTTTCAGACAAAATTAAAATTTTATTCATTTTTTGAAAGGAATTATTAATTACCAATTGGTTCTTTTGGCTCCAGAAAGGTGTTTCTGGACTTTGGTCCAGTTGGCAAACTGAATTTTCCATTTGTATTCAGATTTGCTTTTGTGTGCTCCAGAAAATCAAGTGTGCTGCTGGGGAAAAATGTTTCTTCTGGCGCCAACCATATTACGGGTGCAAACTTTCGTGCAGCTCGTTCAGCTAAAATTTTTACATCAAATTTTAACTTTTTTAGTGGAACTTAAAATTTTGTGCATTGACATTGAAAAATAAATCATGAAACACGCATAAATAAAGTATGGCTTTTCTGCGTGGATTTAATATTTAATATAACTCATACAATCAAAATAAAATTTTTCGAACTATAAAGAAATTTGTGAATTTCGTAAGCGGGAAAATTAAACATTTTAAATATCAGGTACAATGAAATATCAAAACTGAAATAAATATTAAATTCCAGCTGCTAATTTATATGAAATCAATTACATATTTGTAAATACTATTTTCTTTTTACTTTTAGTCACTTAAAGTGAAAAAATTGTATTCAATATTTTGATTATGGAAATTAAATGGATTTTTTAAATGAGCTAGTTATGCATTATGCATCTACAGGAAGACAGAAATTTCACTTTCAGTCAACAAGCGACAACACTTTGGAATTCAAGACTATGCTCTACATTAATTTGCATAATTTGTGGTCATATAATATGCAAATCAGTGTCGTCTGATGGTCTATGTTACTTGAGATTCCGCAGGTGCATTGCAAAAGTGCAGTCGCGTTATTTGAATAGCGATTATTTGAGAGAAAGTGAGCGACACGCCGATTGCTCAAAGGCAGCTTTAAATGGTGCAGTGTCATTGCCGATCGTGAGTCGACAACAGATCGAGAGTGAATAGATGAATAGAGATATGACGAAGCTATTGATGTCAAATGGGTTAAATGTTTGTCGTGAAGCTGAAGAATAAATTAATATAAATAAATAAATAAATATCACTAGAGATATAAGTAAATAATAACAGTTTTTGACATTCACATTTTTTAAATTTTGTGTTGACTCATGAAGAACAAATAATGATAAACAGTTTCATTTTTTTATTGTTAGAACAAGGAGCTAAGAAGAAAAGGTTTCAGTTCGGCGATGAGAAAATTATTTTTCTCGGACAATAGGTGGATCAAATCAAATGATGGTTGTAATGGAAAAAGGTGCGCATACCTCTCTGCAAGAGTGCCGGTGAGAGTGGTTTGCAGTCGGCGAAGGAGCCGCCTGTTGAACTGGGACAAAAAATGCAAACGCCAACGAGGAGCGAACAAACAAAACCACGCCACTCATCTTCTATGCCTGCAATCAAAAAGCGTTCAATTAACAATAAAACGCGGCGTTCCGTTCAGCCAGAGAAATTATGCCACTTTCGCACGAGAGGGAAAAGTGAATCCAACGAGGAGATCGGAATAAAAAAAAATCTTTTCAAAAATAAAATAACTCACAGGTGCTATTTTATAATTAGGAATTTTTGGGATAATTTGATATTTACAAAGCGTGAAGTTGTGTCGCAAGACGACCACAAAACGTTCTTTGTTGAGATTGAAAAACTAAATTAGCACGAGATGTGTATTTTTACGGTTGCATAACTCCTCGCGTTATTATAATTACGAAACAGGAAAGATTCGGCAACCAACTGCACAGGCGGCTCTTAAATGAGTTAGCGATTTAACGGCAGAAACTTTCGCCTTCGGTGTTTGTACAGAGACATATGAATAATTTCAACGAGATTTGTACCTATTAGGTGTATAGAAATTCTGTGTTTAAGAAATGGAAATTAACTAGAATCATTTACCGGCTTGCAATTGCCTGCTTCCTTGTACCGTTATTCACTTTTATATACAGTGCATGATCCATGAGAGCGAAAAATCGCGCGCACTTCTTGGACCACATTCTTTATGTGGTCACATATTTACTTATTCCTGAATTTTTCTATCACTTTTAATATTGATTTAAAAAAGTGTGAAGTTTAAATGAAAAAAAGCATTTGTATCAATGTTTTAAATCAATGAAATTTTAATTTGAAACATCAAAAACTAAAATTCAAATGTGATTTAGAATAATATAGTATGATATCAAATAGTAAATTTTAAACTTGCCCATGGATGATCATTCCCTGAAAATTGCAGCGAAAATTTTTGGCTTCCCGTTATGCAGCGGTGGTTGGGTGAGTTGATTAGGATCCTAATGAGGAACGGATCCTTTTCTGAAGAGAGGAGGACGCGGAGTGCTTGGCTCTGCGTTTGGCCAGAATGAGTTTCAAGTCAAGTGCATGTCACCACGACTCACTGACCGACCCTTCCACCAGTTCCACCTTCCGAGCGCGCGCCTCGCCACTTTACTTACTAACCCATTTTGCACCTTTGCCTCAATTTCCAGTTTTCTCAAACACGTTTGAACAGTGGAAAAAAGAAAACTTCTCTACAAGTCTCATATATTTTACCCTCATTAAAAAATGTATATAATATTTAATGTAGTAGGCATTAAATTTAGTACCCTTTTTATACAACCAGCACAAATAAAATGGTAAAATTTTAAAGTTTGAGCGCTGCACCTACTTTTAAAATTTTTCATGTAAAATAATACTTCCTCTAAGCTGGATAAAAAATGGAAAAAAATTTAAATACATAAATAAATAAAAATGAAAAAAGTCATCCTGGGCTGAAGTGCTGTTGCACATCTTTACTGTTTTAAATTATCCGCGTTCTGTAAAATTTTAATTGCAGTTTTCCGTTACAAGCATATAAAAAAATACTAATAAAATGTGCTTTTCATTTTAAAACTTCAATTCCTCTAATGAAAATCAATATACAACTTCAACGATAAACTTGAAAATTATTCTACAGGACGAATTAATCATACTGCGTGCTGAATAGTGGCAGGCGGCGCCGATTGCTTTACAACTCTGTTAGGTTGGTAATCAAATTGCAGGTCATGTGTTTTGGTTGAGCTGCTAATTCTGTTCTGTTGAATTGTTATTTTTCTCAAAATATTGTTAGAGCTACTTTATTATTTCAAATTTGGTTAAATAGTCATGAAGGAAAATTAATAATTATTAATTCAGCAGCATTTTTAGCTAAATTAGCTTCCACTGTGATCTATAAGACTTTAATCTTTTACGGTTTGTAGCCTTCTTGTATTATTGGGCGGACAAAAAGAAACAGTTCATAATTATTTTTGATCATTTTTTAGAATAACAATGGACTACGAATACGAAGAATCTGCAAACAGGCAAAGAGCCCTTCAGGGCTATGCTATCTTGGAAAGGACTTCGCAATCCTTGGCTAGGTCAGAACAAGCTGCACTTGAAACGGAGCGTATTGGCACGGAGGTAAATTATAATGAATTAACCTAATTTAAGTACATACTAATCTTAATGTATTTTCTCAAAGGTGCTATCAGAACTAGAGAGCCAAAGAGAATCCCTGCTAAGAACAAGACAGAGACTCGAAGATGCAGACGAAGAGCTGAGTCAGGCTCGAAGAGTGCTTAACTCGATGTATAAAAATATAATTGCGAACAAAATCATCTTGTGCCTGATAATAATTCTGGAAATGGCCATTCTTGGGGGATCTCTTTATCATAAATTGTCGTAGCTATTTAAAATCAACACATTCCCTTCTATATCCAATATTTTTCATGCTATTTCTTCATTTGCAATTTAATTATTAATAAAAATTTGTAAAATATGAATAAATGTTAAATATATATTTGTAAGACTAAATTAATTGCACTCATTGTATGTTACAATTATCCCTTTGTTTAAAATAATAATAAAAAAAGTTTAAATTTCTTTACCTTTTGAGATCAAGGTGTATTAGTGCTGTCTGAGAGCTCCTTTCTTGGTGGTGTGTCCGTCGTCAGCCTTCTGCCAGGACTCCAAGGGCTCAGGCTTCTCTCCCGACTTTTCCTCTTCAAATTCTCGTCAGGGCTTCTTCTCCTGCTTCTTTTACGAGAGCTGCGGCTCGATCGGCGGGGTGAACGACTTCTACTCCTGTTGCTCCTACGACTATGGGACCTCCGGCTCTTTGAACTGGAGGCTCGGCTTGATTCTCTCTCTGGACTCCAGGAATTGGAGCTGCTGGCAGTGCTTGCTCTTCTGACAGGACTATTCATAAACAGCCGTTTTGGGTTCACAAAAATGTGCAGAAAGTTGCACGACCGTCCTTTTGGACATCTGCCATAGCGGAACAGTCCTGGTAAAAGGGTAGTGTAAATTTCAATAAATTCATTTTCAACTTCTACTACTTACCACAGACGGCATTGCGCCAGTTGGAAATATCAACAAACAAGGGTTGGAGCCGTCGACCACCAAACCACCGTCCTGAAAGATTTCTGCAAACACGTAGAGCATCCCGTTCATTTTGCAACTGGACGTAGACGTTTCCTCGGAGGTGAGGCTCAAAATTGCAGCATGTCAAGAATCTGATAACCCTGCCCAGCTTTTCCACTTCTGAGCAGACATCTTCAAAAAACTCACTAATGTAAAAAATTAAAAACAAATCGAAAACAAAAAATTAGCACTAACTTATAGTCATTTTGAATTTCCGTATCTGTGTATTCCAACGAGCACTCCTGATCTCCAGCTTGTGAGCCCATTGGTGTGACCAAAGATGGATGGGTGAACATGGAAGGGATGAGCACAGTACAGCTAATTGATGGTCTGATGTGATTTCTATGTAAAAATGCTTCATGATTACTAAAAATTACTAATTTTCGAAATAATCATACCTCGAACAAGCATCGTTGAAACGGCACGCGGCTACTTTTTGAAAAAATGGACAAGTCGGTTGAAGAGGATTTGATTCAATGCTGACCCTCACCTCGTCAGGAAGTTCACAACCCTAAGTAATTATTTACAAATAGATTCATCTAATATTTAAAAGAGCAACCTTTTGTAAAAAATCTTCAATTTTCTGTTCTCTAAGTCTGATGGCCTCCTCTTGCATTTCCAGTCTTTCTTTTTCCTCTTGCTCTTTTTGTCGCTTTTTCTCTTCTCGTTCTTGAATTTCCTTCAGCAACTCCGCCTGGGGAGAGCATAATATTTAAAGAAAAAACATTTAAATGCACAAACAAGTAAACCTTTTGTCGGGCAATTTCTTCGTCTTGCTTTTTCCTTTCCAGTCTTTTCACTTTGAATTCCTGCTGTGCTCGCAGCTCCTCCTGCATCCATTTCAAATTATTCTTTTCACTTTGAAGCATTTCCTCTGTTCTAATTGCTTCATCTGCATCTTCCTGCTCTTTCAGCCAAGCTTGAGCACAAGGGTTTGATTCAGCTGCAAAATATAATAGGCATGATTTTTTAAACAAAATAAAAACAGGCACCTATAATAGAAAGATATTTGATCCTTTTGAAAGTAATTTAATTAAAATCAGAGAGTATATAATATACATAATAAATAAAATTTATTATGTACATTTAATAAAATGAACATACCATTTAAAAGCTCTTTTTGTCTTTCCTTTGCTGATTTTTGCCTAATTTTCTTCCTCCTTTGTTTCTTAGCTTCCTTTCTCCATTCTTTGTGCCTTAAAAACAAATTGTGTACAACCGATTATGTATTTACACCATTTTAAAATAAAATCTATTATTTATCATACCTCCCCATTTCCACGAATCGATTAATCCTTTCCTCAGCGACTGGCAATATAATTATTTAATTGTGTAGTTGGCAAAAATTAGTACTTTTTGCAGAATGCAGGACAAAAATTTGATTTGAATGACGTTTGGAGAAAACAAGCATGTTCTTGGTTCTTGATACCGCTCAAGCCATTCATATTGTTATTTTTGTGCAGTAAGGCGACAAGCAAGAGGAAACAACAAAATGCAAAAAATCGCAGCTAAATTTGTCAAGGATCAAAACAAACTAACTATGTTTATGTTTACATAAACTACTTTTCGCTACTTTTGTTTACAAAATTGAATGGAGCGCACTGCGTTGCGCGAAAGGCTCAAGCCGTAATAACCAATCGGAACGTTGAAGTCGTAGAACCCCCTCTCTTGATTGGCTAAATCATTTTAAATCCAACCAATCCGAACAGTGATCCAAGAGCTTAATGATTGTTGGTTGGGTGGAAGCATGACTCGACTTCTCCCTAGGTTGATCCGCACCTTGAATTAACAATTGTGTTCGGTGGGTTCCTTGTTTAAAAAATATCATTTCTGCGGCAGTTTCCAATGCGATTTATTTTTTTTTAATATATATGCCATAATATTTCCTGCGCATTCAGTCTCACTATGTATATTACTTCCACTACTTTTCAGTAAGAATATTATATCAAAATAATAAAGTAACTCAATTGAAATGTTCCTTGCTTATTGGTTACCTATCAATAAAATTTGTTTGAAGAATACCAAAAGAATGCTTTGAATTTCCTAGCAAATAAAGGTTTATTTGATGAAATGGAACAGAAGTTTGAAAGAGTCGTACAGTTTATTCATTTTCTTCCGATCGGAGACGGGCATGGGCGTTCGTCACTCTGATGGAGAGTTGTTGGGCACGTTCAACAATCTGTTTCCTCTTCTTAGAAGAAACTGCATGGGCAATTTCCGCGCAGTACTTCTTGTTCTGCATCATCAAGACCTCCAGCTCCTGCAATTTCAAAATAATAAGTGAAAAATGCCTTTGTGTTGATACTATCAAAGTATAAAAAACGTATACTGTTAAACAGAATAAATTATAATGTATGTTTGATGATTTTTGAAGGGTGAAAGTAATAAAAAATTATATTACCTTCACATTGTGGACAAGGAGCTTTCTGAAGCCCGACGGCAACATGTGTCTGGTCTTTTTGTTGGAGCCATAACCAATATTTGGCATCAAATATTGGCCCTTGAACCTTCTGCGGACACGGTTGTCAATACCCTTGGGTTTCCTCCAGTTTCTCTGTTAACATAATAATCAAATTAGGCACAATGGTACCAATATTAATAAAAGGGACCTACTCTGAGCTTGACATATCGGTCAGACTGGTGACGGGTGAATTTCTTGACCCTCTTCTTGACGATCTCCGGCTTATATGCAGGGCGGATCGTCATCTAAAAAGATGAAAACTTAGATTAAGTTTAAATTGACATGTTTTTAATTGCTATTCCTAGATATTTTCAATAAAATGTAAGACGAGTGGCATCCAGTCGGGCAAAAGGTGTGCAGGAGGCATGCGACACGTGGTCTCGTGGCATATTTTCATGTCGAATATTGCCGAATATATACATTATTCGAGATATTTTTCACTCTTAATAGACATATTACGTTAAAAATAGTTGGATTTGATATGATTTACACTTAAGAACAAATTATTTATTTAAAAAACTTACCTTTATTAGTGGAAAGCTCACGCACTGTCACTTAAAAAGATCCTCACACGCCGAAACAAAGATGGCTGACAGGAACGACGGTGCCGACGGTGGCTCCATCGCGGTCAACCCGGAGAATTTTCCCTCCGAAAAGGGTTCACTGACCATACAAAGCTAAGCGCGCGAATTTTGACAGCTCGGAATTCAATTAATTTTCACTTGTCCGTCCAGTTATTAGGGGAATCTTGGTATGGGAAAGTTACTTTTTGATATCAAGTATTAAAATTAAGGTGCAAAATTAATCAAAACCATATCCTGGGAAAGAAATTTTGAAAATTTTAGTTTCTCTTTTTCAAACGAAGGTCGCATTCGCGGAGCAATCGGAGACTTTAGAATTTGCGCAGACGGGACATTGTAAACGAAAATACGTTTCTGCGCATGTTTAGTATGTTGAGATTTTTTTAATTCACCGTCGTTTGCAGACCTTTCTGGATGAGCCTCTGCCTGCGAGTCGCGACGTCCTCAAGTCGCACAAAAATTTTCACTAAAATTGAGCCGTATTCCGCGAACAAAACGGATTTCCGGACTTGACTGGGCAGCCTGAAGACACTAGATGACTGACTCTAATTGAAGTTCATCTCTGGGGGTTCGCGCTGCACCGGTATTAATTAACAAAACTTTGAGGTAAGCAGACCATCTCAAATGCATACGGGAAACGAAATCAGGTGTTTCTACAATGTTTGATAAAATGGTTTCTTATTTGCATCAGGATAGTATAAAATTTAAAAAGATCTGTTAGCAAAGCTAATTGTTATTCTATGCTGCGATTCTGATTAGTTGTAATTATAATTTTTACCACTTTTGGGATTTTTTTTTTTATCAATTTGATTAAATATTTTAAGCCCCTGGTAGAAAAATAAAATTTAAAGAGGTAAATTGCTAATATGTATTTGTTTTTTTCTAATTTTATTAAAGAATTTTTGTGTAAGTTATCATTATAATACTTTTAATCATTTTTATTAATATATTCAGCTCAAAATTCATACTTTTTTCAAACACTCTTTCTCCAATACATATAAATACATATTATTTATTTTTAAAAGATAATTGAGGAAATGTTTTGTGTGTGGGTTTTTACATATTTTTCTGCAATTTTCATTATCAAATTTTCTAACACAAATTTTATCGCCCTGACAGGTCATGGTCGCCACAAGGCAGTCTAGTGGTCACACAGGAATATCAGATGGCCCCTCAACGTCGTCCAGTGAGGGCAAGTCATCGAAAAATGAGCCCCCGTTGGCTCCCACAGCTACTCTGTTTGACCTTCCACCAGAAATCTTAGACAAAGTGTTTGGCTACTTCAAGTATAAACAAATCAGCCAGCTTAGAACTGTAAATTCCTACCTATTTATTTGTGCTTAAAAATAACAAAATTAATTAGGTGTGCCGGAGCTTTGACGAAGTTAGCAGCCGCTTGTTGAATACTGGCTTTGCCAGACTGCAGACCAAAATGATGCAGCGTTTCCAGAGTATCAAGGCGCGAATGCCAAGAAGAGAATCGGCTCGCAGAAACCACCCTTTGGCATGCGAATCTGACATTGTTGAAACCATTCACATGAGGCTGACGCTGCTGCATATGACTTTCGGCAAACACATTGAACGCCGTCACTGCTGCTTTTTCCCTGGCGAAGTAAAATTTAAACGAGTATATTAATTATTTTAATGTTTTAATAATTATTTTTATAAGATTTTGGACGAAGTGAATCGTATCCTGAATTACATCGAAGCAACTTCAAAACTCACGAGACCGTACAAAGTAACTGATGAACTGTTTGATCTTTCCACGATGGCAATGGAATATTTTAAAGACAAAATTGAACCCACCCTGCCAGAAATCTCTTACTTTGATCCAGACTTCCTGGAATTCACCAACAGTTATCATCAAGGTCATTTTTATGGAGTTATTGAAATGTTTTCATTAAATCAAATTTTATTATCAGCTGGTAATTCCTCAAAGTACACAATCGATTCACCAAAAGGTGATGAGAGTCCTTCGCATTGCTCGTCTGCCACCCCAACGACTCCTCCCACATCCAGCCAAGCCCTTGCTTTGACCAGAACTGCCGTTGCCATGAAGAAAAGGATGAACAGAATGAGAATAACTCTGCATAGGTACACTAGATATATTGTATTTTAATATTAATTAATTAGACAAAATGAAAATTATAAAGGACCAATACTCAAATGACTGCATTGAGACGAGAAGTCCGAAATTTGAGGAACAGTAATGCTGAGCAACGAGCCCAGCTAGCTGAATGTAAAACTAGGATTGACGAGTGTGATAAAAAGAACGAAGAGATGACAAGGAAATTTGGCACATTGTTGCAGGTAAGAGATATCTTTAGATCAAATAAAAAATAATTATATTTTTGCGTCCGAGGACTAATAGTTATAAACCGAAGAACCTTGAAAATGTCGAATTAAGATGTGAAAATAAATAATTGTAGCTTAGACTTTATAATCAAGATTTCTATTGTCTAGTTTTTCATAACCATTTTTTTCCCAGGAACTGAACAAGTGCAAGACTGAATTCCAGTACTGGCGCTCAAAATCTCCAGCCATCACTTGTGGCAGTTGCGGTCACATTGTTCATCCTGCGCACGAAGCAATCCCTGGCCAACTGTGCCCAGTTGCTGGACCAAGCAACCAAGGAGAGGCAGCACAAGCTGCTGCTCCTGTTGAAGAGGCTGCAGCCGCAGTGCCCACCTCTTCTACAGCCACCGCAGATGCTCCTCGTGCTAAACGGAAACGCGAAGCTAGTAGTTTAGACTCAAAAGACAGTCGAAAAAGCACCCGTGGCCGCAAGAAGTCTAAATTTTAATAATATGTTAAAAGAACTGAAATTTTATTCTTGGTGTAATAATGAGTGTAGGGTGGATTTTAGAGCAATACCTCTTAATTAGTGGTGGTCTTACAATATTCGACAAAATATAAAACTGGCCAGGTATTTTTTATTAAACACTTCTATTTCAATCTTTTGACTTAAAAAATTGTAAATAGCCGAGATAGAAATTGCACGAAAAATCTTTGTTTCACGCCTTTTTCATATCACGAATCTCAGAAGTTAAATTCATTTATCATCAGAGGATTTGAACTAATTATCTTAGAGATGCCCTTGTAGATCGCAATGCTATGAATCTATGCTTTCCTGTGTCACATTTTCAAATTGTAAACAAATCAATTCAATTTATCGCAATTTATAATATGTTATGTGCCAAAATTCTAAGTATGAATAAGGATGAGAAACGAAAAAGAAACGGGCACTTAATTTTATTTTTTTTTTCAAGTCTCTTAAATGCTAAATTCGTGTAAGCTGATCAACTGTGAGAAAGAGTATTTCTTTGGCCAATAGGTTGTGCCCTTATATTTCTCAATGGTCTTATATTATGTGTTATTTTATCTCTCAACTCAATACGCAAGGTCAATCTTTAATATCTATTGTCAAAATTCTTATGTAAGTACATGCAAGGAAACCTCTTTAAAAAAATAACCCCCAAAATTAGAAAGTTGAAAATTTATTTCTTTCCGTGAAAGGTTTGCAATATTAGATTATTTTGTTCTTGTCCATAATTTGCTTCAAGCACAACATGTTGATACTATTATAATTTGGTCGTGAATTAGTTGGTTTAAGATCCATATTGACCATTTGTGAATAAAAAGTAAATAACCAATAATGAATAAAGCTCATTGATAGAATAATTTTAACGGACGTGTTTGTTTTATAATTCTGCGGATATTTTCACAATAGGAGGTTAAATTTAGTAAAAGTAAAATCAGTAAATTAAATTTAAAAAAAAAATTCAATTTTACGCAACGCAGGGTCTAAACGAGTTATATTTTTTATGCCAATCTTTATTAAATTTATTGTGCAAGCGCAAACAGAGTCAATATTGAAAGTTGGATTCTTGGTGAAAATAATGAATATAATTTTTTTCCATAGAACCAGAAAATCTTTATCAAATTTTATTTTTCAGGCGCATTAAAAACCTTAATCGAACGCGCTGGCTAAAACGAGTCAATATTAATAGTTATATATTCTCGGTGAAAATGAGGAATTTAATTTTATGCATAGAACTGCTATAATCTATTAAATTTTTTTGTTCAGGCGCGCATTAACAAAATAAATATTTTCTATCATTTCATCAAAAATAAACTGAAAGTGGTATTATTACGTTTGTAGTGAAATTAAATACAAATTAAACGTAAGTTATATGAATTCCATTGAACTTTTCGAAGTTTTCGAACTTTTTCTCAAATTAATTCTATTATTGCAACACAGGTCCAATAAATAAGCATTTCTCGCGCCGTTCGTGATAAACATCCGCGCCTCGACGCAGTGGTGTCACCTGGCGGAGTGAATTCAGGAGCATGACACGATGGACGCTGTGAAGGGTCGTGGTGTTTTTATTTTAATTTTAGCCCTTTTCTCAGTCAGCTACGCAGGTGAGTCCTACACAAATTATAACTAACAAATATTAAAGTGTAATGCAGCAATTTTTATTTGGATATTGCCAGGAAATGTGTAAAAATTCGGCGTGTGAAGTCGGTGTTTACCTACGGTGCCGCCCATTGGCTTGTTATTTTCACAGTGATTCACACGGAATTTCACCTCAGTATTTTAGCCCAGTGTTTCGCACTTGACCATTTCTGCAAAATAAACTCTAGAAATAGACCAAGGGTTGCGAATGTGCGAATTTTTTGCACCGTCTGCGTTCCTTAAAATTTTTCTCGTGCTTTGTTCGCTAAAGTCACGCAATTTAATCCGTTGGGAGGTCGGGGTGTGGCCCCTGAAGGTATGCAAAAGCGACCTGACGGTAGAGTGATTCACGATTTCAAAGTTCGTAGATTGCGAGGCTTAATTTAAAATGTTAATGTGCGAAAGCCCAGAAGGCTGAAAAGCTGCAGAGACCACGAGACTCTTGTTGTCAATTGCGCATGAACAAAAATAATAAAACTCCTTCTCAATTTATGGAATGCGCAAAAACTTATATAAGACCTGGATTAATTAAAAATTTAAGATATTCGAGAATTTTTCATTTTTTAATTATCATTTTTGTTTCTAGATGATTATGACTGCAATGAACCCTTGCTGGAAAAGGCATCTTTTTCTGCGACATCAGCTCTCAGGGACAGAGGAGCTGAACAAGCACGCATAGATGGTAAATAATTGCGAGTGTTTTCTCAAAATATTAGTATTTTGACTACTTTATAGGCACCAGTTATTGCCGCTTGAGTATTTTTTTTTTATCATTATAAGTTGGTTTGAGTAAATTTAGAATTTTATTTTTTTATAAAGCTTTAATTTAAGAGTGGTTTTTTAATTTAAAAAAGAAAAATAGTTATGAAAGAAAATATCTAAAATAAAATATATTTATATATTTTCTAGATTTTTTAACAAGATAAAAAAAATGTTGAAATAATTAAATAATAATTTTAACCACTCTTGAATGGCGTATGTATTTTGATTTTGTGTGCGTGTCCCTTGTGTGCGAAAAGGCAACAATGCGTGGTCGGCGGCCAGCTCGGATATGGAGCAGTATCTTGTGTTGGATCTGAAGGAGCCGATGAACGTGACTTCCATCGCCACCAGGGGTAGGCCCAAGAAGAGCGAGTACGTCATGGAGTACACCATCAGCTACGGCACTAACGGACTTGACTACTCCGACTATAAAGAGGCCGGGGGCAACGTCAAGGTTTGTAAACAAATACAAAGAGGTTTTTGAAGGGATGAGAAAGAATGGATGCGCATGTTGAGTTTTCTTTTTGGTTCCTTATTGCACAAGTAGTCTCAATTTTGCCTCAATAATCAATAATTTAATACCATGAGCTGCAACTAAAATTTCAGGTTGAAAAGTCAATTTCTTTGTGAATTTTGCAGAAAATTAATCGAGCATTAAAGAAAATAAGAAAAAAAATGATATAAATAATTATTTAATTTTAACAAATTTTTCATAAGAAACAATTAGTCTAAAAATTATATTAAATCTTTTCTTTATCTTCAGACAAAAACCATCAATTGGTCTGTAACTGAAATTAAAAGATTTAAAATTGACTTTTCAATTTTTACACTTCTTCTTGCTTCCTTACTAACACTTGGTGGCGGTCGCACTGTCCAGGGGGCTCTGCGTGGACGTCAGACGAAAGCTCGTACAACCAGTGGGTGCGCTTTAAGCTGCCCAGGCGTAAAAAGGTGACGGCGGTCGCCACTGCTGGCAGGGCTCGCACCAAGGAGTACGTCACTGAGTTCATTCTGCAGTACGGTGACGACGGCGAAAACTGGCAGTCGTACATATCTGCCTCTGGAATTCCTCAGGTAGCCCTCGATTGAGCCCTCGTAACCGCTTTCTCACTCAAAATTACTAACAAACCCGCACTAATAGCATGCGTAACAAAATAATGAAGCATAGAGGCGTTTTTTGATGAATTTAAATTAATTTTAGACTTTTACTGGAAATTGGAATGGAGATGATATTCATCGGAACAAGTTTGAAGTCCCCATTATCGCTCAATACATTCGAATCAATCCCACAAGGTGGAGAGAGCGAATTTCCCTCCGAGCCGAGCTCTATGGCTGTGATTATGGTAATTTTTTAAATCGCTTTTATTTATTTTTAATAATGCTTTGCGATTCAACCAAAGTTGCCGACAACCTGCATTTCAACGGCAGCAGTTACGTTCGATGGGACTTAATTCGTCACCCGATTTCCGCCTCCAGAGAGACAATCCGGTTCAGGTTCAAAACCAACCATGCTGACGGAGCGATTTTATACGGCCGAGGCTCGCAGGGTGATTATTATGCTCTGCAGATGAGAGATAACAGAATGCTGCTTAACATCGATCTCGGTAAATGAACAGAATTTTAAAAAAAGGATCGGTAGTTGAAAATTTAATATCAGGCGCTGGAGTGGTGACCAGTTTATCTGTGGGAAGTCTTTTGGACAACAACCTGTGGCACGATGTTGTCATCTCCAGAAACAAGAGGGACATCATGTTCTCAGTTGATCGAGTAGTGGTCAAGAGTGTAATCAAAGGAGACTTCTCCAGGCTCAATTTAAACAGAGATGTAAGGGAAAAATAATTTAAAAAAAAATTGAAATCATTTTATTTAAATAGCTGTTCATCGGAGGTGTCCCCAATCAACAAGAAGGTCTTGTTGTCAACAGAAATTTCACTGGGTGTGTTGAAAACTTGTACCTGAATGCAACAAACTTCATCAGCGCAGTTAAAAATCCGCCAGAGGATGACTATCACTTCCACTTTGAAAGAATCAATACATTATTTAGCTGTCCTGTAAGTTTTTATTTTATTAATAAATAGAAGTTTCACTTTTCATTTGTATAAAAATAGGAAGTACAATCCTTCCCTGTGACGTTTTTGACGCGCAACTCGTATGCCCGCCTGGCTGGCTATGAAGGGATCAAAACCCTTAATGTATCCCTGTCCTTCCGCACCTACGAAGAAAGTGGAATGTTGATTTACCACAAGTTCACTTCTGATGGATACTTTTTGGTAATTACTTGATAAAATTATAATGATGAAATTTTTCTATTTAAATTGTTTTCAGCTTCTACTTGAAAAGGGAAGGCTAAAAATTGAAATCAAAGTGAATGGTCCGAAAACAATTTTGGACAACTTTCCTGATGAGACCTTCAATGACGGCCGTTGGCATCAAGTTATTTTAACGATGAGTGCAAACACAATTATACTCAATGTTGATGAAAGACCGATGAGAACATTGAGGCAATTAGCATTCTCAACAGGAAGCCACTTCTTGATTGCAGGTATTTTTTTCTTCGAGCTTCACTTGAGAGTGGCTCTTATGTTGATGGTATTTTACAGGAGGTAGATATGGCACGCCTGGCTTTATTGGGTGCATGAGAAGGATTTCCATCAATGGAAACTATAGACCCCCTGTTGACTGGAAGGAAAATGTAATTATTTTATATTATTTGGAATTTAAATCTTAAAATTTAAACTTTATTTTAGGAATTCTGTTGCAAAGATGAGGTAGTGTTTGACTCATGCCAGATGATCGACAGATGCAATCCCAATCCATGCCAGCACAAGGGCGTTTGCAAACAAAGTTCCAAAGACTTTTTCTGCGAATGTGCTGACACTGGGTACTCTGGAGCAGTTTGTCACACTTGTAATTTATCTTTATTTTTTTATTATAAATTCTATACCATTCACAATATTTTGAATCAGCTCTTCACTCCCTTTCGTGTGCTGCTTTCAAAGAGAAAAACTCTGTTGATCAGAACTCGAGGATTTCAATAGATGTTGATGGAAGCGGTCCTCTGGATCCGTTCCCCGTGACATGCGAATTTTTCGGTAAAATATTTAATTTTGTGAATTAACTGCATCACTCATGTCCATTTTTACAGCTGATGGGCGTGTTTTGACTTTGGTTGGACATCAAAATCAGCAACCCATCAGAGTCGATGGGTTCCAGGAACCTGGAAGCTACTCTCAGGACATTTTGTACGAAGCCGATAAATATCAAATTGAGGCTTTGATGAATAGATCCCTCAGCTGCCACCAAAGAATCACTTACAACTGCAGGCACTCTAAACTTTTCAACACTCCAGGTTAGCTCTATTTTTTTTGTCCTATTTTACATCCAACAATATATTTGCAAATTTTAAAGAAATGGAAAGAAATTCATATCTTGGTGAGTGTTGCATAAATTAATTTGAAGCACTGGATTGAGTGATTTTGTTGCAACATAACCATCTTGTTATATAAAGAAAAATGATTTATAGTTCAGCTTTGTTATCAATTTTTAATTAATTTTCAGCCACCGAGGACACATTTAGACCGCTTACGTGGTGGGTGTCGAAGAACAATCAAAAGATGGATTATTGGGGTGGTGCTCTGCCTGGTTCTCGAAGCTGTGAGTGCGGAATTTGGGGCAACTGCATTGATGAAAGAAAGTGAGTAGATATTTTATTTTCGAAACAAGAATCCATTTATTTAAATTTATTTTTAGATCTTGTAACTGCGACGCAGACTTGGATTCATGGACTTCTGATTCAGGAGACATCACACAAATGGAGCACCTTCCTGTCAAGCAAGTGCGAATTGGTGACACTGGCACCCCTCTGGATGAGAAGGAGGCCATGTACACTTTAGGTCCTTTGGCTTGTGAAGGAGACAGTAAGTCACCCCAAACTTAAATATTGGAAATTTCTAAAATTAAAAAAAAAAATCTCAGGTTTGTTCAACAACATTGTCACTTTCCGCATCAGCGACGCAAGTATTAATCTGCCAAGGTTTGATATGGGTCACATTGGAGATATTTATCTGGAATTCAAAACAACCACAGCCGATGCTGTGATTCTACACAGCACAGGAGAGTCCGACTACATCAAGCTCTCAATTATTGGTATGATGAAATTAAAAATTTCTGATTATAATATAAAAACAATAATCTATTTTTAGGTGGTGACCAGCTGCAGTTCCAGTACCAGGCAGGTAGTGGTCCATTAGGTGTCAACGTGGAAACTTCCTACAGATTGGCCGACGACAATTGGCATTCCGTCTTGGTCGAGAGGAACAGGAAGGAAGCTAGAATTGTCGTAGACGGAGCTTTGAAAGCATCAGTCAGAGAGCCTCCTGGTCCTGTCAGGGCACTGCACCTCACCTCTGACCTTGTCATTGGCTCCTCTGTTGACTACAGAGACGGTTACGTCGGCTGCATCAGAGCTTTGCTTTTGAACGGTGATCTTGTCGATTTGAGGAAATACGCTGAACGAGGAATCTATGGTAAATTATTAGTTTCAAAAAAAAAAAAAATCCATAATAATAAATTTATGTAAAAGGTGTTACTCCTGGTTGCGTTGGAAAGTGCGAAAGCAATCCTTGCTTGAATAATGGCACTTGTCACGAAAAGTACGATGGCTACAGCTGCGATTGTAGGTGGACGGCATTTAAGGGTCCTATTTGTGCTGATGGTAAATATTTTTGTAAAAATCTAAAAATTTTAATTATTGTTCTCATTTTCAGAAATTGGAGTGAATTTAAGATCTAACTCTTACGTCAAGTACGATTTCATGGGAAGCTGGCGTTCAACAATCTCAGAAAAGATACGAGTTGGTTTCACCACCACAAATCCTAAAGGGTTCCTTCTCGGCTTTTTCTCAAACATTACTGGAGAGTACATGACTATTGCTGTATCCAACAGCGGTAAGAACTTAAACAATTTAAAAGGAAAAATTGGAAATTTTAATTTTATCATCAAAAAGGTCACTTGCGAGTTGTGCTGGACTTTGGTTTCGAAAGGCAAGAGTTGATTTACCAAGGCCATCACTTTGGTCTGGGCCAGTATCATGATGTCAGAATCACCAGGAGAGATTCTGGCTCAAAGTTAATTATGCAGGTAAAATTTTAACCCTAAACAAGAAAAACTGGATTCTTACTGCGCAAGTTTTGTATTATATAGGTTGACGAAAACGAGCCTCAAGAATTCATATTCAACATCAAAGCCTCGGCTGATGCACAGTTCAACAACATTCAGTACATGTACATTGGCAAAAACGAATCTATGACTGAGGGCTTTGTTGGCTGCGTGTCCAGGGTGGAGTTTGATGACATCTTCCCTTTGAAGCTTGCTTTCCAAGAAAATGGCCCTGCTAACGTTCGTTCAGGAGGAGGTAAGCTCAAAAATATAAACTTCAATTCTTTAATATACATATTACGAATCAGACGCCTTGACTGAGGACTTCTGTGGAGTTGAGCCAGTGACCCACCCACCTCCTGTAAAGGAGACCAGGCCCCCACCGGATGTTGACAAAGACAAACTGGAGGCTGCTTATAACCGCACAAACTCGGCAGTTCTTGGAAGTGAGTAGCGTTTTTAGTATAATTGTTAGGGAACAAGAAACTTTGATTCCTGCTGCCTTTTTTAAATTATTAATTTTCATGTAATTAAATAAAAAATTAATTTCTTGATTTTTTAGGCATTCTGGCCTTGATTTTCATCGCGCTGCTGGTCATGCTCTTGCTGATTGGTCGGTATGTGTCCCGTCACAAGGGCGAGTACCTGACCCAGGAGGACAAAGGTGCTGATCAGGCCCTCGATCCCGACGAGGCCATCATCAATGCTGCCACTGGACACCAAGTGACCCAAAAGAAGGAGTTCTACATATAGAGCGGACAAGCTAGTGAGCCAAAATATAGCAGACTTTCTTATTGCCCCTTCACTATAATCAACGAGCATCCAGCTAACTCCTTTTTTACTACGATGTCAAGACTAGTGCTAGGTTGACTCATGTTAAACAGTATTTTCATCTTAACGGAAAGGCACAATGAGGTTGTGACAGACTGGCCGACACTGATATTATCATTCCTTTATTTTTCTAATTTGACGCATATTTTTTTTTGCAATTGGGAATTTTTTTCCACCGCAGGACTAGCTGCATACTTATTTTCTTTCAGAATATTTTTAAAATTATTCTATATTTTTGACTTAATATTTAGATGAACGAAATCAAAGAATTTATTTATCATTTAAAACGATTCCATCCATTTTACTGATCTGATTTGATAGCGTGTAAATACTTATATCTTTATTTTGAGTGTACGTATTATGTTTCATTCCACAAATCTAACAATAAGTTGTTTACAATTCATTTCAATTGATTTGTTGTTGTGTTTGCCATACTATGGTCGAGGAAGTTTGGAGTAAGATAGGAATCCATAATCATCACAAATTTAACGTCATACTGATATTATTATACCAGGATATTACAAGTTAAGTACATACATCTAATTCATTATAATTTTTTGGTGTTTTGGAAAAAGTGTCGTTCAGATGTATTATTACATTGTAAAGATGTGTTTATTAAAATCAAGGCATATTATATCGAAATTCAAAATCCAACTAGAGGATATTTTTATTGTTGCTAATAATTATGTGTAAAATATTTCAAGAGTCTCCCATATTGATCTATCCAGCAGATGCAAGTCACTGCAAAATTCATGTAGTCAAACAAAGTTTGATATTTTTGCTAAACTCAATTTCCTCAAGAGTGCTTTGCATAAAGAAATTCTATGAAATTGCAAATTCCTGCATCTTCGCAAGAAATGAAACTAAACAACAGCAATTTGATGGCCAATTGTTTAAAAAAAATCAAAACTTATTTGACTCCGCTGTAACCTTTTGGATTATAAACATGTATGTTGTGAGAGCACAGACATACACAGAACTACCGCATTTGGACACTTAAAGTGTTTAGAATAATTTCAAATCTAGTTAAAATTCATGTACAAGTCTTTGGCTGAAAATGTTAAAATTTGGGAAGTTGTGAATGAAAAATTTTTTGTTGGTCTAAATTAAGGAAGTAAAAAATAATTTTATAAAAAAATCTTGTATGCAAAATGTTGAAATAAAAATTCATGACTCTCAAACCAAAATTTGAAGCATCCTTAGTTTCTCCTTGAAATAAAAACAACCTCATTTTACATCATTAAATTTCTTTAGTGCATTTTTTAACTGCATTGAAGAGATAATGTTGCTTAGTATTGATCAAGGCTTTGTCATAAGCAGTTTCTCCTTCGGCGTTTTTCAAATCAGGGTCCAAGCCGGGCCACGAGAGCAGCAGCTTGAGACACTTTTTGTCTGATCGGCAGGACGCGGCGATGTGCAGGGCCGTCTGGCCGGACCCACTGGCCGCGTTAATCGGCGCGCCGTGCATGAGCAGCTTGATGGCGCACCGGTGGTTGCCCCACTTGCAGGCCGAGTGCAGAGGCAGCCATCCGTCGGTGGTGGGCAAATCGATGGGCGCCCCCTTAGAAAGCAAAAAGTCGACCATCTCCACCTTGTTGCTGTAACAGGCGCGATGCAGTGGCGTGTAGCCATCGCTGTCTTGCGTCCGGATCAGTTCGGGGTTTTTCTGCAGAAGTTCTTCGGCGATCTGCATCTCGCCGGCCTGCGCTGCCCACAGGAAATCTTCCTCCGGAGAGGCGTCTGTGGGTCTTGGCTCGGTGTAATCATGGTCGCGAAAAGCGTAGTTTTCTGGGTCAAAGATTTCTTCCTCAGGCGGCTCAGGGTAGTCTGAACGTTCCGCGTCTGAAACGTCAAGCCATTCGTCATCTCCACTTGCTGAATCCAAGTCTGACATCTCTTCACGAGAAATGGAGAGCCTGAAAATTGTTATTTTCTGGATATTAAATACCATAGAATATTCTTAAATGGACATCAAGTGTAAGCGGAGTTTTTATTTAATTTCTGTGGAAAGTGCTGTGATTTCTTTCTAATGAATTTCTTTCATTTTAATAAATAGGATTTTTTTCTTTGAAAATGATGATTTCTATTTAAATGTGTATTACATTTTATTTCTCCTCGCTAATTTCACAGTTTTAATTTTTTATATATGCGTATCAAATAATGAAAACAAAATTATTGCAAAAAGGCCGCAAATATTTGGCTGAATTTCAAATCTAGTCATAGTAATAACTTTGGGTTAATTTCCAGTCTTTTTTAATTAAGTTTATTCATCACGACACAATAAACAAATTGAGTTTTTCAACCGTGTCTTCGTACTGGTGCACATTCCGCATGTGCACCTTGATGGACGACCTCTGCGTGAAGCGTTTGGGGCAAAACTTGCACTGATAGGGTTTCTCGCCGGTGTGCGAGCGGATGTGCACCTTGAGGGTGCCGGCGGCCGCGAACGCCTTGCCGCAGAACTCGCACACGTGGTTCTTCTCGCCCGAGTGCACCACCAGGTGCAGGTCGAGGCCGTGCGACGTGGCCAACTTCTTGCCGCACAAATGGCACTCGTACTGCTCCTGCTCGCCGCAGTGTCGCTTCACGTGCTTGATCAGCGTCGGCTTGCGGATGAACGACGCGTCGCAGAAGTCGCACTTGAACTTGCGCCGCTGCTCGATGGGCACCTCGTGCGTCTGCACGTGGTACCTGAAACCGGTCGAGCCTTTGAACTTCTTTCCGCAGATCCCGCACTCGTAGATCTGCTCGGGTCGGCCACCTTCGTGCTTGGCCAGGACGTGCTCGCTCAGCTGCAACCTGGAAGGGTACTTTGCGTCGCACCGGTCGCACTCGAACGGCTTCTCCAGGGTGTGGTACCGGCGCACGTGGATCCGATAGTACTCCTTGACCAAGAAGCCTTTGCCGCAGTAGCTGCAAACGTGCGACCAGTCCTGCTTGTGCTCCCTGACGTGCATCGTCAGGGCCCGCTTGACTGCGAACCTTCGGTCGCACGAGTCGCACGCGTACGGCCGTTCCTTGGTGTGCACCGAGCGAACGTGCTCGAGCATCGAGCCCTTGTCCTTGCTCACCATGAAGCACTCGCTGCACGTCCACTTGGTGTCCTTGAGCGCCACTCGGTGCAGGTTTCGCTTCAGGTGGCTCGCCAGGATGAGGGCCGTGTTGAAGTTGGCGCCGCACACGTGACACCGAAAAACGACGTGCTCGGCCCGGTGCTGCTCGAGTAGGTCGCCGCTCGAGAACATGATGTTGCACTCGTCGCACGTGCGGATGCTCGTCTCCGAGTTATCCAGTCGAATCCGCGTCCGAGATTTGGGCTGGTTTTTCGTGATGAGCTCGAGCACCGACGACGGTCCGGAGGTGGACGCCTGCAAATTTAAAGTGGCGTTCAGTTGTTCGGTCTCTTTCATTTTCGAATTCATCTCGGCTAATTTCTCGCACAGCGACTTCTGCTTTTTTATATTTTCCATGTTTTGCATTTTCCTCTTTTTCGTCTCAGGTTCTGCGGTAGCCTCTGCTTCTTCTTCCTGGTTGTTTATACTGAGTGCGTCGCCTGCTGCGTCCAGAAAGGAAAATTCGTTCTCCTCGATGGCCTCTTCCGCTTCCTTCATTGCTTTGTCCAGGGAGTTGGACAGCATGACTCGCAGGCACTCGTCGGTCCGCTGCATCAACGTGACAAACTCGTGGATTGAGGCCAGTTTGCGCACGCACGAGGGACAAGCGCCCGTTGGCAGGCCGTCGTCAACGGACAGTTGGAAGCGCAGCACTTGCAGGTGCGTGTCGATCTCGCCGGAGCAAATGTCCTTCAGCTCTTCGCTCGCCGTGCCGCAGATCCGACAGAGGCCAATCAAACAGGACGACGCTTCCATTGCTCCTGAAACTGCATTCGTTATCGTGAATCGTCGGACACAAGTGGCGGTTCTTCTTTAGAAATTTTATTTATTTCATTGTTCCTTCATTATGATTATATTTTCTTAACCTTGTCCTCTGGTAAAAATTATTTCAAAATAAAAACGATTATATAAGTTTTTAAATAAAAATTACGAAGTTCTCACTTAATGACTCATCTTTTTATTATTAACAAATCTTGTTTTTGAATGACAACCTTGTTTGATTTTCAATTACAATCAATATGCACCAAAATTAGGTGGTCTGAACTGAATTTTTTAACCGAGAGAAAAACTACTTCACTAGAGTTCAAGCTTTTTAATCTTATGTCCAACTTTTCAAAATCAATAAATATGGCAAATTTGCAAATTAATTTCAATCAGTCATAGTTCATAAAAATAATTGAAAAAGGAATGGCGATTTTTTCATTAAGTTTCCTTAGCTTACTCTAACAGACTGAGTGTAAAAATCGCAATCACAATTCATCTAGCGTGCCGTGCGCTTTGACAATAAGGAAACTTTGGTGTAAAATTTAATTATTCTAGTATTATTCATTCCATCAGTTGTTCGAGGCGCACAAGCTGAAGTCTGACATTATCGTGTTTGGAGCAATCGTGTTCAAGCGAGTCCAGCATGTTTTTGAAATTTCTAGAGCACTTTTCGCAGCGGTAGAAGGGCATACTGTGGGACACCCTAGTGTGCAGCATCAGATCTTGGAAATTTGCGTACGAGTTGGAGCACCGAACGCAGCAGAAGCGCGAGATTTTGTCTTCCGATTGAGGAATCAGCGGAACAGATTCCTCCACTGGATCTTCCATGTCCACTTCCATGTCTTCATCAGACGGTTCACTGGCAACCTTTTCTTGCTCAAAGGACACTTTGCGAATTTCTTCCTCATTTCTTTGATTCTTGCAGGAATTTTTGTGAGCCTTGATCTGCACATCATAATTGGGACTGGAAAATGAGCTGCTCTGCATCAAAGGGTAGTGGTTTTGGCGAAAGTGCACGGTCAGACTAGCCGTCGTCTTGAAGGCCACACTGCAAATGTTGCAGATGTACACCTTGTGATTTTTGTCAATATTGTAGCACATCTGCAACATTGCTTCCGACTGCTGATTGATGAGAAGTTTGCAGGACGGACACTTCCGCAACTTGATTCTCCTGCGTCTCTTCAATAATCCTATCCGCACGTCTTGCAAATTCGCGTAGCAGTGTGGACAGAAGCTGTGCATTTTCAGCATGTGTTTGAAGACGTTCTCCTCTCGGCTGCTGAACAACGGACAAATGCTGCAAGTGAACTGTTCGCGCATGTTGCCGTGCAAACCGATTTGGAAGTGCTCTTTCAGCAGCTGCTCGGAAGCGAAGTTGACCTTGCACGCCGAGCACTGCCAAAACTGGTGCCCAACGCCCTTGACAACGTGCCCTTTGTACTCAATGGAGCTGAGGAAGAAAATCCGGCACTCGCTGCACTGCCGCACTTTGTCAGCACAGTCCGCCATCAGCTCAGTCGATCGCTTCTCGTCGTCAAATAAACTGCAGTGGCTCAGATCAGGATTATTCCACAGGGACATCAACGCCTTTACGTTTGGCGTCTTGTCCACTTCAATGTTGGCTTGGAAGAGGTTTATAATCTGTGAAGGATTGTTGGTGCCAAGGTCTTGCCGATTTGGGTTTTTGGGTGATGCTTCTTCGGCCAGTCGGATGACAGCAAGGCCTTCAAGATCTTTGGAGGGCAATTTTGACTTCTCGTTTTGTGGTAACGAGGGTGGCGGAGCCTGGGCACTGTCTTTGGGTAGGATGAATCGAGATGAATTTTTTGCAAGGTTCCCGCTCAAGACCGGTGGGGTCGGGGCAATTTGCGCAGGTGGTGGAATCGGTGGAGGCTGTACATTTTGAATTGACGGTGGTTGGGCACTCAGGGTACTAGGTAAATAGACACCTTGGACGGGCGAGGAGATTGGAGTTGACGAAACAACAGAACTAACAGGAGATGACACAGTAGGTCTGTAAAATTGCAGCACTTGAGGGCCAAGCCCTGGTCGGAGGATGAAACGAGTCGGCTGCTGGTTGGCTGAGGAAACAGGTTGCATCGATGCTGTTGAGGTCATGGGGGGAGTTTGTGTGGTGTTGTTTAGATTAACAGAGTTAATGATGAATTTAGACGCAAATGGTTGATTGTTGAGAAGTACAATTTTCCCATTCGGACGTGGTGTTTTGATTACGTGTGGGACTTTATTCTTCGACCGAGGTTGTGGAACCACAACTTGCGTGTTAGCAACTTTACTCGGGCACTCGTGCATATGTTGCATCAAGCCTTCATCAGTGAGGCGAATCATTTTCTTGCATCTGCCACACATTTTAACAGGAGCTCCCAGTTCATTTTGCACAGTTGGCTGTACAGGTTGGGTCGGTATGTTGGGCTTCATCAGGGATGAGATAGGTTTCAGTTTTAATTGTGGCTTCGGAGGCGGTGGCGCTTCAATCTGAGGAGGCAACTTGGAGGAATTTTCGTCTAGGTTAATAACCTCTGGTTCAGGGTCTGGTGTTGAAATTATCGAATCCACTTGCGCTTGACTTTGTGGCTTCCCTTCAGTCAGATTTTCCTTTGGCTCAGTTTTTTCAAGAGATTCCTTTGGCATATTTTGAATGACTGACGGCCTCCTGGAGGACGAAGCTTCTTCAGACTTGTTAACTTCCTCCACACTTTCACCAGGCTGAGTTGCTTGGCCTTTAGTCGGAGGGTCAGGATTTTGCTTCGGCTCAATGAAAAATTTGTCCAGCATCTCATTCTGCATTTTGAGCGCCTTCTGGACAAACTCGTGCGTCAAGTTAAGTTCCATCACGCACGGTTTGCAAATGAACTCGGGCAGTCGTCGGTCAAGCACCAGGTTGAGAGACAACAGCATACGGAACTTCTTGGCCACTTCGTGCGAGGTGTAGATCGACTCCATGTTGTCTTTGAACACTCTGGTGCCGCATGTGCGACACTGGCAATATTCCGAGTCCATTTCTTTCTGCAACGTGAAATGCATGCTCCAGTTTGGTTTTATTGGTCTTCTCCCGTCCTTGCAAGCAACATTGCACTTTCTTTTCTCCTGATTTAATTAAATCGAATATTTCCTATGGGGATTTACTACACTGTATTGTTTAAAAAAAATTATGTGTCTTCAGCAGGAGCATAGATGAGAGTGAAAATATTTTTATAAGAAGATTGCGACATCAAATTTTAATTTACCCTGACAAGCGTGTAATTGTTTTTGTTTAGGTTACAATGAAAAGGAAGGACAACTTTGCTTCCCAGGAAAGGAGACTTTAGATTGAAAATTACCTACGAGAAATTCAAGTTGAGATGAGATAATAGTTGTTGTTCTAATTTGCAGTGGATTTCTAGCAGGCAATTCTGTATCTGAAATTAATGCAATAATCAATAAATAATTTGATGTAGAAGAATTTGTCAAATTATTGTTTATGTTTTGAATTTTAATTATTATGAATAATAATATTATAGAAGGCAACGTACCTGGCTACGTAGTCTAGAAGCATCAATAAACTCAAAGAGCGTTTTCTTCCAGCATCAACATTTTAAGAAATTGTGCATCCCCTGTAAAAAATTGTACAAAATACACATTGATCGTCCTTTTTGCAGGCAACATAATTGTATATTTTTATTTTCAAAACCCCATTTCATTATTGCTTCTATGAATAATAAATCTTAAAAAGAATTATGTGGCTACTAAATTGCAATTGAATTGTTGCCAAGAACTCTAACGAACGGCACTTTGGCCAATTTTGATCAATTACCATTCACTCCTTAAATTTTGGCTGAGATCCTCAAGGTTGGAATAGGTTTTAAGTGAATATTGTAAGTTAAAAATGGATTTCTCTCTCCAAGAGCAACCGACGTTTGCTTTTTCTCGTCGGGCCTCGCTTTGAGACTATAAAACTATAAACAAACATGGCGGCTTGCGCACGTCATGCGATCGTTAGTTTGAACGCTTGAAGGCGCGATTGCAAAAAAAACCATGCTTATTTAATAATTTTTGCAGGGTACATCAAAAGAATTTAATTAAAAAGAAAAAAAAAATTAACTAGGAAATATTTATTTTTCTAAATTTAAAACCTTTTTATTATGGGAGATTATTCAATTACAATTTATAAATTTATTTTGAATTCTTATAAATTAAAGCAACCTTTCTTTTCTTCAATAGGAAATTAAAATTACATATATTATGACAATATTTACTCATCCTCCACAATTCTCGTCTTTTAAAACAAATTTATTACTCATTGTACGCATCATAACTTGAAAATATGAAATCCACATTTTAGAAAATCCAAGGAAACAATATCTTCATCCATACTGATCTATACTTTAAAAAATTCTATTCTGGTATCATAGAGACTTTTCTTCCACTGAAAAATACATTATATAAGCAATATTTCTAAAAAAAAAACATCCTAAATTTAATACCGTTTCTTCTCAGCAGCCTTCCTATTTCGTCCACTCCTCCTCAAGCTTGCTTCTGCAATAAAAGTAAAAATATAAATATAACATTTTGCAAAATTTAGCATTTTTTATTGATTTACCAGAGGTAGTAGACTCTCCGTCCGAATCAGAATCAACCTTCCTCTTTCGACTTTGAGTAGACGCCTGACTGGAAGTTGACTTGTCAGACACAACTGAGCTACTTCTGGTGCGCAATTGTCTGGTAGTAGCAGGTACCGTGTCAATCACAGCAGACTTTGAGCGATGGCGAAGGTTCCTTGCAGCCAATGGCGTTTCTTCGATCGCAGGCATGTCTCCACTGGGTCCAGGTGTGACAGTGGCTAGCTTGCGAGGTCTTCCTCGACCATGACGGGTAGGACTCTGCGATTCCTGAGAGGAGGTCTCTGAAGATTCAATCTTGCGGAGTCTGACTGGTCTTCTTGAACTGGTAGATTCTTGAGAAGATTGCAGCTCACTTTCTTGTGATGGCTGCTTCAGTTTTGCCTTAGCAGCTTTGGTTTTTGACTCTTTAGATGGTGAAGGCTGAGTCTTCTTGGTGGCAGCTTTTGGCTTTGCAGCAAGCACGGAGAGAGGTGTTTCCTCGACTTCTTTAGCAGTTTTCTGATGCTTTGTTATAACTTCTCTCGGTTCTACCTTTATTGATTTTGAATCAACCTTTCTCACTTCTGTTTCAGACTGTTTACTTCCAGCAACAGCTATGCGCCTCAGTTTTTCAGATTTAGGACCTGGTTTTTCAGCAGCTTTAGCCACGGCTGTTTTTTGCTTCCTATGAACTGGTGGCTTTGCTTCTAAAAATTTAGAAAGAAAATATGAGTAAAAATAAAGTGATGTTTATAGTTGGACTAATATTACCTGCTGGAGGCTTGTCATGCACTCCTTTATTAGTTGTTGCAGCCTTTTGGGGCTTCTCCGGTTTTTCTTCAATTGGTTGAGCTTTTCTGACAACTTTGGACTTTGACTGCTCTGAAGTGGCAACAAACTTGTTTAGCTGCTCTTCAATCTTTTCACCCAAAAGTTTACTTCGCGGAGTTGGTTTGGTCTTAGCCTTCTTTGCTGGCTCAGGTTTTTCAGGAGTCTTTGCCTCTTCTATTGAGGAAGTCATAGGAGACGGAGTTCTCTTCCTCTTCGGAGCTTCAGGAACTTCCAAATATGAAGGGTTGTTATGACGACGACGCAATTCTCTCTTAGGAGGTTCTGAGACTTCTGGAGCAGCAGGTGGCTCTTTCTGAACTTCTTCGATTGTGGTTGTTAGTTCTTCCTGAATTACTTCAAAAACATCAGGTGGTTCTTCCTGAATGACAGGCGGTTCTTCCCGAATTTCTTCATTAATGACAGGTGGTTCTCCTTGAATGGCAGGTGGTTCTGCCGGAGTTACTTCAAGAACAGCAACTGGCTCTTCCTGGGTTATTTCAAGAACGGCAGGTGGTTCTTCCTGAATTTCTTCATGAACGACAGGTGGTTCTCCTTGAATTTCTTCATGGACAGCAGGTGGCTCTTCCTGGACTACCATGGGAACAGCCAGTGTCTCAGCCTCAACTATCTCAGGGCTAGGCGTGGAAGGAGACTCTTTTTCAGGTTCATGCACTTCCTCCACTTGACCTTCTTGAAGTGGTTCGTCAATAGCTTCATCTGGCTCAGTAATAATAGGCTCACTTTCTTTATCATGGGGTATTATGTCTTCTTCTTGATTTTCTTGGACTGCTTCTGAAGTTTCAGTCTCTAGTATGTTCATCTCAATAACTCCCTCCTTAACATAACCACAATCCTCATTATGGAGACTAACATTAAAATCTGACTTTACCTCAGCAACCTCTATTGGCTCGGAATTGTAATTTACTTCTTCTAGCTCTGGATTACTAAATTCTTCTACTTTTGGTACAAGTGGAGACTGATTTTCAATATTGACATCATTTGAAGGCAAAGATTCGTCACTTTTAGTGGGTAAAACTTGATGTTCTTTTACTGCAATCTCTATGTTTATATCACTTTTTGAGACCACTTCAGTAGTAGTGGTAGTAGAATAGGCACTCTCTATCACAGATATAGTAGTGGTTTCTTCACACTTAATTTTGACAGATGTATCTTCCCTTATTCTCTGTTGAAATTTCACATTAGATTATAAAATTTTATTTGATAGAAACTATACATACCTTTTTAGGAGAAACACTCATTCTGCCTCTCTTCAAGGGTGAATCACCACTACCGCCAGAAGATAAAATCACAGTCTTGTCTAGAGTAACATCATCCTCTGAATCGTCCTCGTCAAACTCAACAGTTGATATTTTTCTTGCAGTTGTCTTTGCCTCGTGCTCAGATTCCCATTCCCTCATTTCACTCTCAAATGTAGTATCAATGGTGCGGAAAAATACAGAATCAACAAGCTTATCAGCTGGTGCCGAAACTAAAATTTTTTATAACAATTATCCAGTACATAAATAAATTTAAAATTCCATACTTTCAGTAAAATCTGTGAGTTCTGAAGTTTCTCCTGGTCCAGGATCCTCAATTTCGTCCTTCATAACTGACTTATCATCCTCTTTTTCTTGCTCTGGAGTAATTTGATCAGGGCTTTCTTTCACTTCCATGGCTGACAAGCTAAAAAAGTTTGTTTGTGGAAATTCACATCAATTTTTTTAATAACAAAGAAATTACCTAACTTTAGCAGCTCCAGCATCAATTGACTTTTCAGGAGTTGTAGGCAAGAGAGTTTCAATGCCAGAAATATTGGACCCTTCGTCGGCCAGCTTCAAATAACTTCTTAAAGGTCTGCGAGGGCTCGGTCGTTGTGGGGGTTTTGGCAAGGAACTAAGATTTTTAAATTTGCATTAGAATATCAATGTGTTGGAAGAGGATTGTAAATGATGATACCTTAAGTCAACGCAGCTGCTAGTGGACGGTTCAGCCTTGGGTATTGGTGGCAAAGGAGGTGGTTGCCAGAACTTGCTCGGAGAAAGGTCTTCCTCGTTGAGATCATCTACTTCCCTGGGCATAACTAGAGATCGCTCACCAATTGTTGATTGCCTCCTTTTGGTGATGGGGCAGTATTCTCCTTCTTCCTCGTCAACAGTTATTGTTTCGTCCAGACAAGAAGTGAAACTCAAAACGGTTGAGTTTGGAGACTGGGGACCGGCACTGACAGAGTAAAAAGAGTCGTTGGATGTGTTCAATGGAGAAATGGGTGACGTCTTTATGTCATCATCGATTTGGCATTCTAACGGCTTGTCATCTTCGTCTTCAGAAATTTCCATTGTATTCATAGGTTCAGCTAATATGTTTGTAGCAATGTTGTTCAGATTATGCCTTTTCTGGGTAGTGCCAACAAAAGGTGCAATCCTCTGAATCAAAGGAGTGCAAGTCTCAGTCTCAGTTACATATGTACTGGTGACTATGTTTGTAGCAATGTTGTTCAGATTATGCCTTTTCTGGGTAGTGCCAACAAAAGGTGCAATCCTCTGAATCAAAGGAGTGCAAGTCTCAGTCTCAGTTGCATATGCACTGGTGACACTACTATGAGCCTCTTCAAACAGACTGTCCACAGAATCTTCGAGCAGAACAGCACCAAACTTTGGTGTGGGCTTTTCAGTTGTTTCGACAGTAAGAATTTCCTCCTCTTCTTCCCTTGGAGTGGACGCATCATTAGGATCCAGTTCAACAGCAAAATCATTCACATTATATGAAACGTTGCCACATATGGACGACGAAGACTTTGAAATAGGAGAACCAAGGATCTCTGCCTCGTTTGTTCTTTCCAAAAGGTGGTAGATAACAGGACTGGGATTCGAAAACTCAAATACTTCATTGCGTTCAAATTCTTGTTCTGGCTCTTCTGATGCAGCTCCATGTGCTGAAAAGATATGGTAATTAAAAGTAAATTGACCACATTTGAATAAAAATTACTTGACTTCGGAGTTGAAGCTCGAGGCGACTGGAACTCAAATTGCACAACATCCTCAGTGACAGGAGAGCTCTCTGTACTACTTGCCGATAACTCGCCTTGATTCGATGTTGAAATTGGTTTTGGAAGTTGGAATCTTAGTCTCTTGGGAGAGGGTGAAACAACTAGAAAGAAAGAAAAGGTTTATAAATCTAGTTTTTCCAAATGGAAATATGTCCAATACCACTAGATAAGTGCAGAGGGCTTCCAGCAGGAGAATCAGAGTTCTGCATTCAGAGGGACAAAATTAGGAAAAATTTAATTCTTTATATCAATTTATTATTATACCTTCAATATTGATGGTCCTGCAACATGATGCAGAACATGAGCATGAGTTGGAGTACTGCTGGTGTATTTTGTGATTTTAAAGCTGCTTTTGAGAAACTCCTGAACCTCGTCAGATTTGATAGGCTGGCACCTGAAAATTATGCGTGTATCAAATTTGCAAATTCAATATCAACGGGTCTAACCTCTCCCTGATAAATATTTCTGGCTGTCTGTAATCCATTATCTCGTCATTGTAAATTCTACTGCTGACAACTGGGAAAGGGACGAAGTTTGCTTTTCTATTGGCGTGAAACAAGAAAAATTAAGATAAAATTTTATGCTTTGCTTAGAGCGATTAAATGTATAAGTATACCCAATCTTTTCCTCAAGTTGGGCCATCAAATTATGAAGTTTATGTTTTTGCAAGTAATATCTGAGCATCGAAAACTCTTGTGGATTCAGTAAGAGTTCCTTTGCTACAAGTTTCTCAAGAGCTCCAACTTGATGTGTCCCTAAACCATAAATCCATGTCAATAAGAAAGCTTTTAATAATTAAATATTCACTTTTCAAAAAGAAAGCATAGCATTCAGGGTCAAATACGCCCGCATTGGTGGCACGAATCCATTTAAAACATGGAATCACCAAGTTATTTTCCAGGAAGAGAGAGGTGACAAATTTCTTCTTGTCCATGGTGTCTGTTTCGAAGCCAATGCTTCGGTAAACATTATAGATTTCCTTGGCACTGCACTTAGATTGCAAGTGAGCGAAAACTGTTTCATTCCACGACGAATCCAATTTTTCCGATCCAAGACATTTTAGAGCATCCTATTTAATTTATAATTTATTATACGAGCAATTTAAAGGTAAATGAGATAATTTATTTACATTGAGATTTCCATGATCAATTGCCCACAGGAATTGCGAGGTCACTATTTGCTCTGAGCAGTCTGAAGAAGAGATCATTTCCTTGTAGCCTACTGCGAGTGATCTAGAGAACAAACAACGTTAAATCTTTCCAATAATCAAGGCGGCGCCTTAATTTTACTCATTCATTCTTGAGGCCTTTGTGATGTCAAATAAGAAATAGAGCATGAGGCAATGCTTGTCCCTGATGTGAGGCTCATCAAGCAAGAGAACAGAAAGTATGGAGTGCATAGAAGGTGGGGGGTATTTCCCATCTCCACCAAGGGAGGTCCAAAGGTCTTTTAGTTCATCTCCAAATCTTTCCACCAACAGATCAACCAGATGCTCACCATCTTTGAGCCGCCTATTGCAAAATATTTTTTAATAAGGAATACATTATTATTTAAATTTTTTAACAAACCTCAAATTGTATTCGTTCTTAAGAAGATCAAGCCTTCTCAGACCACTTTCAGCAGAATCTGGCAATAGGCGACAGGTGCAGAAATATTGGACGCAATTCAAATATTCGTTGACCAAGTTGAGTCCTTTGATGCGTAGAGATAATCCTTCCATTGCCTCTGGTGAATGCAAAAGGTTCTCCCTCTTGACGTGAGTGAAAAGTTTTGTGATGGTCTGCAGATCATTCACATACTGGTTGTGGCTGTTTTTGTCACTCTGTGTTAACTCTTGGCCAGAGTAGAGCAAAGTTACTATAGCAAAAGTTTCAATTAAAGTAGCCATGAGGTAAAATCCAATCAAAAACTCACCCAAATCATCAGATTTCACTTTGACGTCCTTGGCCTTGTTCCATGCCCATTCAATAAGGTGCTGAGTTGAAAGATCTGCACTCTCGTACTTTCCATCGAAGAACTCGGTGGCACAACGCCGCAGAAATGATAAGAGGTTGTGGTTGACGGCAACTTCATATATGGCCTCAACCATTTTCACCTTATACAACAGCTTTGTTCAATCGAAAAACGTAAATTACTCAAGCAAAAATCATGCATTAAATTACCACCAACACCTGCGTTGGTACTTAAAAAAACTATTCTTATAAAATTTCTACCTTTGAATAAATTTTCTTTGCATCGTACATTCCTTCAGGCATTAGGCCAGCAACCAGGCACTTTGTAAACAAATTGTGAGGTTCCATCAACTCCCAGGGTTTCATTTCATCAACCTTGTCGAACAAGTAGCTTTGAATTCCAGGAAAGTCTACCCTGACTATGTTTTCACTTGTCATCATCAGCATAGCTAATATTGAATAATGAGTTTAGGGAATCAAAATAAATGCAAGGAGCTCACAAAAAGACGTGGATGCCGCATAGCTGGTTACTTCTTCATTCAGTTGCCAAATGTTCTTCTTGGTGCCTCTGGAGCAAACTTTGGCTTCTAGGAGGTAGCTCCTGCCTATGTCTAGCTGCGAGTAAGCAAGGTAAGAGGAAGACGCAGTTTCCAAATCTGATATGAATGCTTGCTTGGGCATCTCCTCAGCGTACCACCTGCCGAGGTCGAAAATCGCCGACAAGTATTTTGGATGTGATTTTGTGCGAACATCATACTCAGTCCAAACAAACGAGCAAAGACCAGTGCAGTTCAAAGTCGACAAATCTAAAAAATTATTATTAAAAAAACATTTTTATTTTATGAATTTCATTGTCTCACATTGGTCGTTGATATCAATGCTAATCGGAGACACAGAAACACAGTTGGTTGTGTACTCATCACCTTCGTAAGAATCTCCAACTTTGTCGAAAAGCACACGAAACATGCAGTTGACTTTATCCAATACCTGATTAGAAAAAATTTATAAAACTCCAAAGCAGCTGCAAATATTTGAAATCAACCTCGTAATCACTTGGACTTTGATCACTAGATTTGAACACAAGACTATGCAGGTATGCCGAAGCTACTATGTTTCGGTCTCCAACAAGACTGTCTCCTGCCGTCCCATCCTCGACAACCCACACGTAAATCCATTTGCGAGGATCATCTTCTGGTAACATGCTCATAATGTGTGAAATTCTGCTGCCAGTGGGCTCTCCAGAATACCTTGAGGGTTTTTTTTTGGTTACATGAATTTGTTACAAAACCTTTCAAATTTCTTACAGCTTGCTGATGGAGGTGAGGGACCAAATATCAAAATGCCCAGTGCTGAATCCAACGATCAAAATCATCGGCTCCTGGCAGAACTGCATGCATGTCACCTCAACGGAAGCTGGAAATTACATACATGGAAAAATAGTCCAAATATTTAAAGCAATAAAAATTACAATCAAAATTTGAGTCCAGTACAACAGCCAAATGCTCTCCTTTGGCCGAATGACTGTTGGCATTCTGCACAATCGTGGGATCGTCACACTTCTTGGCTGGGATCATGTTCAAGTTTGTAGGGTTGAATTCCTCATGTCTCCACCAGTTGGAATTATTTGCCTGCATGTCAATCAGTAGGACTTTTCCTCCAATCTGGCCAGCAGCAACCAACCCGCTGGTGGCCCTCAGAAGAGGGTGCAATTTATGGGTAAACTTGGAAAATGCTGAGCCGTGCATGATCACATTCAGGGTTGTCAGGGGCTGAAGAAAGAAGCTTATTAATGCAAAAAAATTCAAGCTCATAGAAACTTACATGTTTCTTGACTTTGATGCTGTGCATCACCTTCGAAAGGCTTAGGTCCACACAGCACAACAAACTTCTATTCCTGTATGTGACAGCGCAGCAGGCTAGAGTGCTGTCATTTTGAAATTCAACAACAGCCTCAATCTAAAATGATCTAGATTTATAAGCATAAAACGAAGAAAATTTTTAATATTACAGATGCATCCTCCTTCAAATTTCCTCCAAAAGTGTACTCCCCAAAGGTGATGCCTGTGGCAGAATCATATCCAATCAAATGTCCATCCTCTTGCAGCCATTTGTAGGCAAACTTCAAGTCTGAAAAAAATGCATAAACAAAATTTCCAAGTTTTTAAAGCCAGTAAAAAATAATTAATGTTGCTAATGTGTTTTTATTACGCATTCATTAACCATATCATACCATTTCCAAATGCGCCAAACTTCCTTTTCTCCTTATGTTCCTTAAAACTGCCCAGAGCATCGCTGTCCGTGTCTCTCAATGGTACCTCAAAGGCAATTTCAGAAGGAAGCTCGTTGGTCATGAACATCTGCAAATCAACAGAATAAATTCAAAACATTTCTGGAATTTCTTGTTTGACGCAAGCCAAGAAAAATAACTACATAACATGAAACATGTTCGACAGTGATCGATCGAGACGTTTTTTTGATAAGATTTATGCAAACTAAAGAAATAATTTGTGTTTATAAAATGCGCACATACCTTTAAATCGTTAAAAACCTAATTTTGGAGACTAATCATCGTGAAAAATTGGTAATTTTAGCAGTTATTCGCGAAAACACATGTCTTCGGCCGCCAACCGACTCCACTTGTAAACTTTAAAAACAAGCAGAAGCAGTGCTAACAACCGATTTACCCTAACAACCAACAGAACTGTCTTCTGCCAATACCAACTTGATAGCCTCTATTACGTAGCAGTGATGCAAGCTATGCAACCAGTTGGGCAGAGTTGTTTACGGAGTTGCATAGCTTGTAAAATTGCAGGTGTTTTTTTTTTAAATTTTGCCTCGTATATGTTAATTTTTTTGTAATGACGACAGCATATTAAAAAATGATTTTTAATTGAATAAGATTTTTTTCATTTCTGATTTAAATTGATATTTTATTTGCATTTCAACGACACTACTATTTCTCTGATGGCCGCTTCTGCCGCAATATTTATATCAGTATGATACATAATTTAACCTTTTACCTAAAGAAGAGATAAACTTCTTCAAATGACATATTGAATTTTTAACTCATTTTCACCTTATTTTTTCCCACATAGCTAGCTCACATACTTCAAGGATTAAAACACACTCGGTCGCATATCTCATTACCTTTTTTACAATTTCATCAGTGTGAATTAATAATTATTAAATTACCGACTATCTCAGCTTTCAGCTTTTTACAATTCTTTGCTAACGCATTGTAATTCTATAATTTAATATGCTCTATTCTGCCCTTTTGAATCAACTTTATAATAATATATGAATCACAAAATTATCTGAAAGTGCACGTGTTTTGAATTATTCCTCTTATATAATAAGCAAAATTATAATTTTTTTTTATAAATTTGCATTCATTTAACGTCTCACCATACTTATTTACATGTTTTAGGTGTGTCTATTATACAATTTATTTGAGAATGAACAAGCACTCTAGCATAGCTATCTCTGGTGTTTCTGGAAACAATCAGAAACGATATATTCATTAATTACACGTATAGTGACTGGCGTGTCTCGAATTGATCAACAAATTCAGACAGGAAATAATTCAAAAGAATGACCAAACGTACACTTTTGACGCGAGAGGATGATAGGTTTGCTTGGAGTACATATTGCTTATTAGTCAGAATGAAATAAAAAATTCTCATTCTTCAAAGCGACTCATTTTTTTTCTTTCTTAATAAAATTACGCAGAGTATACGCGTTTTTCAATTCAACATTTAACAACGAGATTAATTAACATATTGCCCCTATTAGGCATGCATAAAAGGAGCAGGGCTCTTTTGCAATAAGTCGAATTATCTATTCAATGATATTATTTTTAATACATGATTCAATCACCATTCATTATGATCCGCCCCAACGAGACGAAATTTCTCGATTATAATTTGAGAACAAGTATGCTCCGTCACTCTAATTGGGCCAGAGAATGAATTCTTGTGACCACCGCCGACTCATTATTGCAACACCTAAATTGACTATTTCATGACATACAGTAATTAATAACAACACGAAACAAACGACAAGATCAACATGCTTTAAAGCTCCACTCGTACTCTCCTCATTTGCACTTGAATGGATTTTCGGAATCAAGAAAACAGTGCCGCGGAACAAATTACACGCATTTCACTAAATCGTTTGAATAGTAATTCCACGCCAAATTTTTCAATGTTTGGCACTGTTTGCTCAAATCGTTTTGGCATTCATTAGAAAATAGTTACTTCCACTTTCGGAATAAAATCATGCAGAGAATGAGCTGTTTTTTGTGTCTGTGGCGAGATCAGTTGCATCATAATATGGCTTTGTGAAAGTAAGAAAACGATACAGTGAAAGAAAATAAAACAAACCAAAGTGATTGCATTGTTATGTATTATGGCTGAAGGTATATTTATATAAGAGCGGAACGTAAACAATGATTACGAGCGATCGAAACGCTATGTGTAGTGACAAACAAATACGTTTTTTTTTAATTAAAAAATAATTTCACTGCACTAATTGACACCTGCGGACATGTCAATCACTTACTTCCGTGTTAGGAAACTTTCATTTTATAAAAATGAAAATGCAAAGAAGGCGTAATAGATAACAATTAGTTAATCAACTTCTTAAATCTATCGATTGATAACACCGTAACGGAATCATAAAAAAGCACAATTCTAGCCACTCGATATTTTGATCATTACAAGGGATAAATAATTACTTTAAATTCTTTTGCGAGTAGATGAGCAACATTGCTAACTTCTTTAACTGTAGTGATTTGGTTTTGTGATATTTTTTCTTTGTAATTCTGTCTCAAACAATTACAATCCCTAAAAATTTCAAAGTGAAAATAGCCAGTGACTAGTAATATGTAATCGAGGAACAAGACGTCTCTTCCAAGTAATCGACGGCATACCAGAAAATTTTGTGTGTAGCTTGCACTTGTTCAAGCACTCATTTCGACATTAATTTATCTCTGTTTAAGAGGGCGATTCGTCTACTTCTGGATTGGGCAAGTTGTCTATATTCTCAAGTTTTAAGTTTCAAGGTGGCGGCGGCTGCACATGCAAACAGAAATTTTATTCGAGTTCCTACGAGGTCGCGCAAGCCAATGAGGGTTTTGGGGGAGAAGGATGGATTCACAGCAGTTGGCTTAGTCAGTTTCAGCCTTCATTCCTCGAACTTCGCCCACATTGCGTTGCTGGAATGCAAATTTTTAAATGAAGAGAAGTTGCGGAATTTCACTGAAACTTACCTGGTCCAACTCCTTCTTTGTTTCGTCTTCGATTGCTCGGATATCATCCATAGTAAGCCCAAACCAACGGTCCATCCAACAGAACACTTGTCTGGATATGATCAAAATTTTCTTTTACAACTGTAAACATCAAATAGATTATACAAACCTATGGAAATTTGTGAACAGTCGTCGCTCTGACTTCTGGATAAAATTCTCAACGCGACCTTGGACTCCAAACCACTTGAACTCGGCAGTGACAAGCTTGTAACAAGTCATAACAGGATTGACCTGCAAAACGATGTAATCGTCAGTTGGTTGCTATATTATTTTGTCTCTTTCCTTTCCACCTACCTCATTTTTCCACGTTTTACTAACGAGAGGACCTCGACCCGTCTTTTCCGACTTGAACTTTTGAGGGTCCTCATCCCCCTTGTAGTCTGACGCTTGAACAGGGTCGTGAGCAATGTCAATGTGGACCACTTCGCGCTGCTTTAACCTATCTTCGGGCAGCTGGTGCACCTGCATTGGAATGAAAAAAAATCTTTAAAAAAAGCTACAAAACAACACAATTGAAACGTAAAATGAAATGCGGGTGCGAATTATGCTGCTTGTGGACGTTATTGAGACTGGCAGAAAAGTCCCATATATATGTAGTGAGTTAATTTTGTCTTTCAGAATTGCCAAGATTTCTTTTTTTTTTATTGTTAGTTAAAGTAATTTAAAAATGTTTATGTTAGAATACTGGACAATAAATATTAAACTATTGAAATACTGGTCGATAAAAATATCACAAGACACAAAAAAATTAAAATGACACTTTCCACCCTTTTACAATGTTTTTTTTTTTAATCATTCTTTGCATAAATAAATTTGAAAACTGCGATGCTCAAGTGAAACATTATTTTAAGTTGGAGCCTCGAAACAAAAGTGGTGATTTGGAAATTAGTCCAAAGCAGCGTAAAACCCGTTAAAAATGATAAGCATTCAAGCGCTACAGGTGCGTTTGGCTCGGTACAATGCAAAGCTCGAAGTTGATGGGAGTGCGAGAGAAGGAAGAATTCACGTTTATCTGAGGCTTTGAGACAGAGTGGGAGTTAATATTATTTCTGTAGGTTTGATGAAAAAGGATCATGCATTAGCGTTTGTGCTTGCAAAGGGAAGGATAATTATGAGAATGCATGATGTTAATGGCAGAAGCGTCAGAAGTAAGTTCCGACTTACATTCTCCTGCTCGCCCGTATCACCCAAATGCAATGACTCAATGATTATATAAAAGTTTTCCTTCATATACCCGGGGTTCTAGTGTTGAAAGAGAGACAGAGAAAAGACTCGGATTAGAAACTTTCGTAATAGAAATAAGAAAATGGGACGTGGGGCCTAGACTAGGGGAGGGCTCGAGTGGAAAAAACCCAACGGAAAGCACCACCGCGCGCTGTAGCTGAAAGGAATCAAACGCAACAACAATCGGCGTCGGCCGCTTCACTCACATTGTGCTGGTCGCCAACATCGTCACAGTGCATTGTCTCTATCACAATTTTAAAGTTCTCCTTCATGTAACCTGGATTCTGAAATTTGTGTTAGGGCACGCAATTTTGCGTCAAAATCAATTTGCAATCAATCATTAACTTAATTGATGTCACTCGTAATAATAATAAAGTAGGAAAAGTCCCACAGCTGGTCTGCGGAAGTTGGAAAATACAAATCGTGGGGAAGAAAAATTTAAAAATTTACACCGAGATGGCAATATTGCGTATAGTAATTTAAGCTCATAAATTATATTATTCAAATTTTGTGGGTCAGGGTTTTGCTTTCAAACTTACAGTAATCACTGTCCTGCAGTAAGGATAAGCGTTCCACGCCTCCTCGTGTACTTCTAGAGATCCCTTGGGTGCCAACATCCGGATGAATTTTGGCACTTTACTGCGAACAAATGAATTAAACTATTAGGTTTTGAAGGTGGACGGTCGAATGTCCCACAGCATACATTTCATCGCGAAGCAGGCAAATATACCAAGTTTTGGAATTATACCCAAAATAACAGGAAACAAAAAAATATTCCTTGTAATTCATTAGCAGCAAGTACAAGAAATCAAATTAAATTTTTAAAAGAACTAAAATAATTACTATTGATAAGTGAAAAATAAATTTGTGCTAAAATTGCAATTCATAGTGAATTAAGTGGTATTTTTACCAATTTAAAAACATTAATTATTTCATAAAAAGATTTAAATTTTTGGTCTTTACCTATTTTGTTAATGATTTTTTCCCAAAATAATTTTTTAGTTTTAAATTTAAAATATTAAATTTAACCCAGTAAAAAAAGGAAAAAAATTATTTTGTGTTTGTGGTAAACAGAGGAGATAAGTAAACCAATTGTTTCGCAGCAAACGTTTCAGTGATTTCTTCAATCAAAAACAGCCACGCAAAGAAACAGTCCCCTTGTGTATCTTTATTCGGTAACAAAAGGCGCTGAATTATGTATCTCTCTAGCCGCGCTCTATTTTTAGCCTAGGTCGGCGAACTGCATTGACTCGCGGTTGCTGCAGCAATCAAAGAGAGCGTAGTACGCCAATGCCAATTGTCACTCTAGCAATCGATCGCAGCCGCCACTTGACCTGCCCGGCGAAATAACAGAAAGGAAAGCAATGCTGAAAACGCAAATTGGTCGGGCACGTTAACGAGAGTGTCCCTTTGTTTGTTCCCGGATAAAGGGAGAGCAGGTGTCGGGTTTTTGCCGACAGCCAGGGAGGTGAATAAATAGAAAGACGAGCGAGCGAGAAAAAAAAGAGGAAGCACGTGGTCGACGTGAAAATCAATACGGCGCACATCTCATTCGTGTTCCCGGCACCCGCACTCCCGCAGACGTCAATTGATCAAGGCACGGGAAACCGTATAATGTGGTTGTTTCGTGCTGCTGCATTTTCGATTCATTAATATTCACGTTTCTGTCTGTGCCACCGTAAGCAGTGCGAGAGTGTTTTCGGGCAAACGCATTTGCATGTTAAAGACACACCGAAAACGAGGCTCTTTTCATAAATGGGCTCTTTGAGCGCTGACAGTCCGAAGCGGACCCTACTTGAAATCGTTTGATCTCCGCATGGAAAACGACGAGTGGCTTTTATGGGGAATCGTTTGTGGTGGAGAAAAATGCGTTGAATACTGTACAAATAACATATTACATTACTGATAAGATAAGAGGAGTATTTCCTGTTTTTATAATAAAAAGAAAATTATCTTCATATAGTAATAAACATAATACAAAGCAAAAAATTATTTAATTTTACCACAAATTATCCTTATTTGAGGCACATACAAAATAAAAATCACTCTTGTTACGTTACTTTTCAATTATATATTTTATATTTTTTTATTTCTTTCAGCAATACAGAGACAAGATGTCATCACTGCTACTCATTAACTCTGGCCCTATCAAAATAGAGTCTGCACCGAAAGCCACACCGGAGATAAGAGCGCAACTACTGCAGCTATTTATTAATTACCAACTGATAATGAAACGAAACACGTCAGCCGATAGCAAATCAAATTTGTTTTGCACTTGAATAATTCCAGCAAGGCGCCAGACGATTAATTTCATTTTTTTATAATGACCAGCGAAAGTCGATTGTGTAACTGAAATACGCTCGTCTCAAATTCAAGTCGATCTGCCTGCGGTCGGACGCTGGATTAGTCACGGCGACGCAGCCAGAGATGCCCGACCTTGACCTGGAGGCGCTTTGGCATGCGCTAAGGAGGCGCTTATCTGCCTCTAGACTAATGTTTGATGCATGAGCACCCGCGATTTTTATTCCACTTTGTTTGAGGAGAAAAGAGAATTAGAGGAAGCAAGAGCCGACCAGGCTTTGAGCAGAGCGTGTAGGTTCAAAAGCCGCACAAATTCTTTAACAACAAGATAACGCTATCAAAGACAAAAAAGTAACCAGGCGAGCGGATTTTTGATGAAAAAAAAAATTATAAATAAACGTGAGATCACTGCTAAAGCAATTTCTGTTTTCATTGTAGCATAACATTAGCATAAAAATGCTGAATAAAAAAATTTAAATTTATGAATTTGCTGTTAAATTTTTTATTCGTTTGTCAGATAATTTCAAGGAAAAAATCATGTTTTTAAGCGAATTAATGTCTAAATAAAAATGTTCGTTCATGAGTCATGAGCAACATTTTAAACTATTCCAAATTCAAGAAAAAATATGAACCCTTGGCGAACAAAATAAAAATCAGTATTCCTTATTCGTAAGCAAAAAAATTAATCATATTATTATATAATTTTTACTACCCCCACATTGATTAAATATTTTATGAACTAATTAATTTAAAATTGTTTTTTATTCTTTAAAAAAATCCATTTTATTTTATATTACGACAGATATAGAATAATAAGCAATTTTATTGTCAAAGAAAACGTATTCAGCGTTAATTCTAGGGCACCAGCGCTATTGCAAAAATGCCACTAATATTCAGTTGAATAAAAAAAATTAGAAATATACCTAAATAAATTTTTTGGTGCACTGCATTTTTTAATCCAGGGAAAATTTTTTCCAACTTTAATTTTCAACTTAATTCTCCTCTTCTGTTTAAACTTTTCCATCTTTAATGATTGCAAAATTTTGCTACAAGAGTATTTTCTATTTACCTTGCTAGATGATAAATCTTGTAAGTGTACTGCCCATGGCTGTATTGGCCATTGAGTAGAGGGTGGTTGTCGAAGGGTTCGTTACGCAGAACTTCAATTCCCTCGCCACCGCCTGTGTTGTTCTTGCTGGCTTCTGCGACTGAGTACAGCTGAGCCACTTGGTACTGCAAACAGAGAAGTTGCATAAAAGTTGACAGGCAGACAGACAGGTGTGCAATGAAATGCAATCAAAGAAAAAAACTCACCTCTTCCACTGTCAATGGAAGCGTCACTCGGCTGCAACAAATTAAAGGAACAAAATATTAGAGGGAAATTATAATTAATTTTTCAATTAATACTATTCATATGATTTTTGAGGCGCCATGGCTAGAGTGGTGCGAAAAACTTTCGACTCGGGTGTTGATTCTGGCCGACTGAGAACTATCGAATCGTGTGATTCACACACCTGTCTGATTACGCGTAATCTACGCGTTCGGGCACCAATGAGAGCGTCCCTTCTAAATTTTCGCCGCGTGCACAGCACCGAAATTCGTTTTCCATTCGGCCGACGGCCTCTGGGTCGAAGGCGTGGCCGATTAGGGGCTGCTTGATATGTAAACGGAGCTCTCAAAGATCGAGGGAGGAACCCGAAGGAACTTGTCAAATTTTTTAGCGCTTTGCCAAAATCCGGGCCGAAAAAATTGCGAATGTGTAAAAAATTCAGCAGATTGCCCGAGGAGGGTGTAATTCAACGATTAGTCATTGAAAAGACCGTGGTTTGCGGCCAACCCCATTAATTATGACCAATCTCCACGGTGACTGAGTTCAATCGGGTCACTCTGGAGGGACCGGCCAAACGATGCAAAAACGGCACCCGAGGCTGTTTTTGACGGCAAATGAGCCCAGCAAACGATGCCGAGATGCTCGGCTGATAACAATTATCACTTAATTATACTTACAACTCTTTAATAAGCATTTTATTGGCGTTTTATGTCACAGTCACAGACACACATCAGGCGATGTAGGAGAGATTGGCTCACTCTGACGTCACCGATCCAACGGAAGTAGGTATGCAACGGAGCCACCGACATCTTTTGCCAGGTCGAGGTACTACTCCTGTAAATTTTGGCAAAATCAGCAATTTGTCGCGTGTTTTCTTATTAAAATCACCTTGGAAAAATCAAAGAAAAAATATTGCACAATACTTCAAGGCTAAACAGCACGAGAAATGCTGCAGATGTGAAGAATTACGGAAAATTCGCACTCATCACTAAAGTACCAGAGAGTGAAATTTGCAGATGTCGCTAGTGGCGCCATCCCCAAGTGTGTATTTTTCGTCTTGACTCTTGAGTCGCCATTATGAGCATTTGTTATTGGTTCTGACATTGCTCATAAAAATGGGTATAATTCAACGTTATCAGCGGTTTGAATTGTCAGATCAGTAACTTGCACCACTGGCGGAGATCACGAACGAACCGTTTGGGCAGGAATCGCGCGGTAAGTGTCGGACGGCGCCGACGTCACTGTTCGAGAATTGCCAAGGGTCATTATCATACCATACACATATTGCAATGATTTGACGTTTCACCATCACAAACACGCACGGGGGACAGAGTCAGGCGGACGGCGAACTTGTTTTCATGCCCGACCTGGACGAGATTTTGTCCGACTTGATAGGGAGCACGCACACCCCTTATCAGCCGAAATCAATCGAGATGAAATTGAGTAGGTCGTTCGAAAAATATCTCGCAGTAGGCGTGCCGTCCCGTCTGCACAATTATGTGGTAGTTGTTTGTGTCGCTGCCTTTTTTGGAGACGGGCAACTTTCATTTTTTTCCCATTTGCAAAATCTTATTTTTCTCCCTTAAACGGAATTCTCTCAAAAGAAACTGGCTTGCAAACAATATTTTTTTCCCAAACGAGCCTGACTTCAAGAACCTTGGCGGCTCTCAAGGTCGCTGTCTTTTTTTATTTTCCATTCCATCTTCATCTTTTATTACCGTCAAATGTAATTTGATGCCCTCGAATGAATAAGAGACGTGTCGGATGATCACGCGAGTTTTTCTTTTTCAGCAGCAGCAGCGACGATGACTTCAGAGCTGGACGAGCCGATGACTGTGCCGTCGCTGCACTCGCTCTGCAACGTGAACGCGTCCGAGCTGTATCCAAAGCAAGACCTTCAAGAGGCCACTCTGGCCGAGGATGTGCAGCCGGACAGTCTCAATTCAGGGCCCTTCGGGCCGGTTTTCGGCGAGAGCATCGAGCATTTGAGTCGAGTCAGTGATGGAGGCCTTTTGGCCTTGTCCAACTACAGGTTTGACAAGTCTGATTAAAGTGACATCTATTTTCTACAATTTCTCTCTTTCTTTGCAGAGTTTTCTTGCAGAACGAGGGCTGCAGTTACAACATACCTCTGACTGTGATAGATGTAGTAGAAGTGAGAGACCTTTTCTACTTGCATATATTATGCAAAGACGCACAGTCAGTAAGGTAAGCATAACACTTCCTCTATAGCCTGGTTGACCTCTAATTATTTATGGTTATGTCATCTGTGAAATAATAAAGCAATGTAATACAGTTTCATAATTGAGAACCTGGCAAAGGTTATGCAAGGTTAATGTTTATTAAAAAAAAATCAACAACTTTGAGCAATAATTAATTATTACAAGATTTTTAACTCTGACCTAATTATTAATTTTTTTGAATTTATTTGTTTCCAGATGTTCCTTCAGTTCTGGCGAGGCGTGTACAGAATGGCAGAGGAGAATCACGAAAGCAGCCACGCAGCCAAGAGTGCTGGAGAAAGTTTTCGCGCTGGCATTTTTCGCCTGGGCAAATGACGAAGCCGACGAAGAGGCATGGAGCAAACTGGGTGGCAGGAGCGAAGGCCCAACTAACCCTGCGCTCATCGGAAGTGTTGAAGCCAGCGAACACAATTTCCACTCTGAGGTAATTATTTTACTGCAAAATCACTGTAAATATTTATTTCCCCCCTCAGATCGAAAGACTAGGGTTTGACTTAAGAGGACCCTGGAGAGTCAGCAAACTGAACTATGAATACTCGCTTTGTCCGTCGTACCCTCGACTGCTGTTATTGCCATCTTGCATCACTGACGAAGCCCTGGAAGCTGTGGCAAGATTTCGGAGCGCACGCAGAGTGCCTGCGGTTGTTTGGAGGTATGTGAGGCTTGCAGTGTCGCAATCCAAATTGTTTTTCCTCTCGCCCAACTTATTTTATTTTGGTGCACAATGACAAATTCCATGGTATTTTATGTTATCAGACCACAGTATTTTCTCATTTTTATCTGCTGCAATATTGACAGAAAAAGATTACTAAAGGACTCTTTTTGAGTCTTAAGTTGATATGCACCATATTCACTTGGCAACTATTTGCACGGGAATAATTATTTTTACTGATAGCCTTGACCACAGAGAGTAAATGAAGTATTTTAATTCTCACGCAGTCATCAATTAAAATAAAATCTTGCATTTATGCAAAAATGAAAAAGTTGTTAACTAACGTTGGAAAATTAAATATTAATGCATAATTCAATTTTTAATTTTTATCAACAGACATACAAATGGAGCTGTTTTGGCAAGATGCAGCCAGCCTGAGGTTGGTTGGCTGGGTTGGCGTTCAGCAGAAGACGAAGAATTGATCAGAGCCATCGCAGAAGCCTGTGCCTGTGAAGAAGTGACTTCCAAAGGAGAGGGAGAGTTGGCCGACGAACCTCAATCTCAGCCAGATTCAAAGGTTGGCGTTCTGTCAAATTTATTTACGGAACCTCTTAACTGATTGAAATTTATTTCCAGAATGTGCTGATTGTTGACGCGCGATCGTATACGACTGCGGTAGCCAACAGAGCCAGAGGAGGTGGCTGCGAGTGCCCGGAGTACTACCCCAAATGTGATATCTCATTTATGAATTTGGCCAACATTCACGCTGTTCGAAAGAGCTCTCAGGCGCTGAGAAGTCTCTGCGCCAGTGAAGATCAGCCAAAGTAAAATTAAGAATTTAGTTTTATTCGATAAAATTATTAAACGCTCTTAATAGTTGGTTCAGTCAACTCGAAGGGAGCAGATGGTTTCAGCTCATATCCGGACTTTTAAGAGCTGCAGTTGCAGTGAGTGCGGCGATGGAGAGAGAAGCAAGGCCAGTGCTGGTCCACTGCTCAGACGGCTGGGACAGGACACCTCAGATTGTAGCCTTAGCCCAGTTATTACTGGATCCTTATTACCGAACGATCGATGTAAGTTAAAAGTTAAAATTAAATAATTTCATAAAAATTATAAAGTTTAACAGATTTACTCATGGTAGATTAATAATTCGCTTTTATTTAGGGTTTCCAAATTCTTATTGAAAGAGAGTGGCTCGATTTTGGCCACAAGTTTGGAGATAGATGCGGACTGGGAGCAGGTGCCACTGACGACATTAATGAACGCAGTCCTGTGTTCCTGCAGTGGCTTGACTGCGTCCATCAACTGCTGACCCAGTTTCCTTGTGCATTCCAGTTCAGCCACGCCTACCTGGTAAATTCCAACTTCCTTTTTTTCAAATTTGCAACTTATGTCAATCTATTGAAGGTGCGGCTGGCACAACATGTATACTCGAACATGTTTGGCACATTCTTGTGCAACTCTCAGCAAGAGAGGGCAAAGCTAAGGGTGGCCGAAAGATCTTTGTCGGTGTGGCGGTTCCTCAAGGCAAATCCTGGTTGCCACAATTTGCTTTACTCTGGCAACCAACAGGTACAAAGAAATAATTTTTAAATTTTTGTACAATTTTACTAATATTAAATTAAATCCTCAAACAGGTTTTGTGGCCATTGTGCAGTGTGCGTGATTTAAGATTATGGACTGAGGTGTATCTGGGGGGAGTTGTGAGAACAGTGGATGCAGCTCCACCAACGTCCCCGCCGCCAAACCTTTGCAAGTCGCGTTCATGCGAAGACTTGCAACAGGCGCTTCATACGCCCTCAATTCAGACAAGAAGAAATAGTCATCCAAGTCTAACAGACAGGTATTGATTTCACTCATTTTGTGAAATTAAGTCCTTAATTTTCAACTCTTTCAGCACTATTGAGAGTCTACTGTTAAACAGTGAGCCAGTTACCAAGGACGAGGAGGTGGAGGACTCTGAAAATGGCGACGCTGTCGACGGCGTAGTTCCTAGCCCAGTTATTCCACCACCTCCGCCTATGCCCTCAGTGGAAAGTTCAACAGACACTCTTGTCCCAACAGAAATAACGAACGGAATTGCTACTAGAGAAGATTCACCCAAACTACAGCAGACTCACCAAGTGGTAAGATTTTCTATCTATTTAAATGCAAATTGTTTTTTATTTGCAAACAAAATAATTGTAGATTGATCAAAATGGGTCGGAATGCCATGTGTGTGCATCAAGTCGGAAGTTTTTGCTGGAGTCTAGCGTACTTGAACTGTGCAGCAACAACAACGGGGGCCTCCATAATGGCCATACAAGAACAAGCTCTCATTATTCAACTCCTACAAGTTACCCACCTACCCCAGGTAAACTAAAAAAATTGAAATTATTGTGGTAATTCCCCTTCCAATGCTTATTTGAAAAAAAAAAATGTTTTTACTTACAGTTGGTTAAATGCTCTTTTGTTTTTAGGTAGCGGCAGTACAGCAGGTGAAGATGAGGCTCAAAGAGCCAATCACAACCACAAATGTCAGTTGCCCGTCACACCCTTACCAATGCTAACATCCAAAGTGGACATAGACGGTCTGTCCACCCTTCAGTCAGACATTCAGACACGTTTACGTCACATTTTCTCAGACTTCCAAGTAACCATTTAATAATTATCATGTTATTTGGATATTAATTTTTTTTTTTCAGAGCCAGGTTGAAGCTCTCCAAAGAGAACTGCACACTACGCGAATGGCCCTGATCCAACAAGTGTGCCACCACTGCAGTCCAGGCATGACTAATGGAGATCACAGGACTGACGAAACTGTTAGTTGATTTTCAATGTTTTGAAACAAAGAAAATAATTTTATTAAATTTTTTAGGGATCCCTACCAGACAGTGTGGACAGCATGGCAGAGCATGCTGCAAATGGGAGTCTGAACTCTAGACCAGCGTCAGATGTGTCTTGGGAAACTGTTGAGGAGAAAGACGCGCTTCCGACCCTTTGGATGCCCGACCATGCCGTCAGGAGATGCATGGGGTGTGATACCGAGTTTTGGCTTGGCAGACGGAAGCACCACTGCAGGTTGAATGACTTAAACAACAACTAGAATATAGATTATGTTTTCCTCCTTTGTTTTAGAATCAAGTAGTACTTTTATTTTTTATAATTCGTTCAGTCAATAAATGTTTGTTTTCACACCCAAATCAAGAGATCCCACTTTCCATCAGCAATAAAAACACTGCATTTCACATCTGATATTAGCGAATGAATTTCTAGGAACTGTGGTCAAATTTTCTGCAACGACTGCTCTTGGAACACAGCCCCGCTGCCTTCCGAGCAGTTGTACGAGCCTGTGAGGGTCTGCGCAAACTGCTACCGAGAGATTGCAAATAGCGGGATGCAGCTGATTCCTAATGGATCCCCGCTGCCCATGACAAACGGCCAGCAGGCATGCAAGCAGACGACCGCGCATCATGACAAGTTGCAGAAGCCGATCGTGTCCACCGGGACCACCTAAGAATATCTAACTGCAGTTACTTGTCTTGCTTCCATTAGATTTCAAAGCATTTTGTAAAATGGTGTGATCAGGTATTTGCCCCCCTCAATCTCTTGTATTGAAAAAGAAATTAATTTATTCTTCTTATTTACTCTGTATAGATTTGTTGAACCCAAAAGATATGATGAAAAGCATGTATCGCGAGTGGTTTATTTGATCAGTTTGTTATAACAAATTGTGCGAATAAGCAAGGAAGAAGAATGTTGCCTTTGCCCAGATTTCATTTATCGGTCATAACTATGTAATTAATGTTGAAACATGCTAATTATGTGATACTGAAATGTGATGGTCAAAATTTAAATAACAGAGGAGTCTTTGTTTGTCTCGGATTTAATTTGTAAGGAGCATCTTTGTGATCACGCGAATACTGTTTACGATATAGATTTACAATTTTTCTTGCTTCACCTCCAAATATTAGCATTTTTATTTAAGTGAGATTGATTTTTGTTCTTACGCACTTGACTTGGAGGTATATTTTGATTTGTAATCCTAACCAAAGATAAACTACTTGAAAAAAATCGGTTTTCTGCACCTTTGACTTGTATTGCATGTCCCGCTACCTTTGAATAAAAAAAGACTCCCTAATCGATGTAAAGATAGATGGGCCATTATGAAATTGAAGAAAGGCAATGTTCTTGATCACGAGACTGCATTCTATGGAACTAAAGGTTATGAAAGGATATCTTTTGTGTAGCAAATTAGTGTATATTATTTAGTCCTTGTACAAAATATAAATAAAATTATATAATTGGACACATGGCTTAATAACTGGCTTATCCATCATCATACCAATGCAGATTATTTGTTGACTTGAATGGCTAATCAAACTGAAGTTCTGGTACATTTTTTTCAGAATTTATTAATTTGTACAATTACGGCCTTAAAAATTACATCTATGTAATAATGCAAAACATCAGTATTATGAGTGACATGGAATAAAAATCAAAATCCTGTTCCTCTCTACGGACAAAGTTGATGATGATAGGAGTGTGGCAAACTCAACCCTGAAGAGCTCCTGAACTTTCTCAAAAAGAACTTGGTGGACTGGTGAAAGACAAAAATAAACTTCTTTTGCAGCTCGTCTTGGACGATGGGCTCTTCTTGCTTTAGAAATTTTCTCATCGTCGGCCTCTGTCTCCGCCGCCTCCCCTTTCTCCTCCTGGACCTCCCTGACCAGGCCAACTTCCAGCTCTTCCTCTTCCACCACGTCCTCGACCTCTGGCAGCTAAAACAAGATTAAATTAATTAAATAAAGAAACATTTATCAAGCAGCAAAAGAACTTATGTACCTTGGGCTCTGAGAATTGCAGACTTTCCTCGACCGGCTGCACCGCCGCCGCCTTTTTGGCCCTGTCTTTTAAACATGGGCGCGTTTTTCAACATATCAGGCAAAATCAGAAATCTTATTTTTGAGCCTCTAATGTAAACGTTCTCCAGTTCGGCAGTGCGGCCGTCTCTGTAAGTGACCACAATGTTTGTCATTTGACAGTTCATGTTGTCCTCCGCCTCGATCAGTTTACCGCGGTACACTTCGCCGGTGTTGGTTTCGCACGTCACGATGTGCCCTTCGGCCTCGTGAAGCACTTTAATCGGCACGCCGATTGACATTGTGTGTTTTGGAGGCGAAATGCACTCGCTAAATTACTCGCTAGACGCGGATGATCGCGGATTTTGTAAAAATGTTTGCCGGCAACCGACCGAAGCCTTTTTGTTTACAAACTTTCTTTGATGGAGAATGGAGAACGTTCTGTGTGCAGTGCTGCCAACATGATAAATTTTGATGAGAAAAGCGGGATTTGTCTTTGATAACGCACACGCACGGCATGTAAAAACGTTCTCCTAAAATATTTTTTGTTAATTGTTAAATCTATCAAACTAGAAAGCCATAATTTATTATTGAAATAATCATGTTCACCAAACAAAAACAAAAAACCGCAAAAATCTGAATACAAAACAATAGAAAGAAAAAATAATTTTTCAAATTTTCACTTCCACATTCCCAATCAGAAATTTTTATGTTTTGAATATATATTCCTGAATATTCGCAAAATTCATCCAATGTTATATAGCTTATGGCAGCAATATACAGAAATAATGGAAGAATAAAAATTTTCTTTGCTGATTGGGCAGCATTAATTAAATATTGTTCAATATTAAGTGTGATTTACATAAAATATAAAGTTGTAATGTGTGTTAAGTTTTATTGATAAGCAAAAATTAGATAGTATTCTTTAAATATATAAAAAATTTCAGATATTTATTTAAATAACTTTTTGATGTTCCAACAACACTTTGATTTAAACTATGCTGATTCCTTGCAAATTGATTTTAACTAGAGAATTTTACAATTGTAATACATTTTACCTTTCAAAGCGTATAATTGTATAGATTAAAATTAAAACTAATGAATGAGCCGCAATTAAAGTGGAATATATATTGAACGGCAATAAATTTATCACTTGCGAGACTGCAATTCCCTATATTAGGCGGATTCCGGCGCCGGTCGAGTGGACGACCTCGAGGTTGCCCCCTCCCTGGCGCGGTGCACCGAGTGGCCGCGACACCAGCAGCCAAATCCAACGGCTCCTCATTCCTCTCTTGGCGGTCCACCAGCGAGAGATGTAGAGTCGGTCGAAATGCCGCCGCCGTGGCTGCTTGTGTTGGCGACGCTCGTTGTCGCCCCGTCCGACGCCGCCATCAACAAGTGCTGTCCCGCCGGTCAGCAGCTCCACCCTGAACTCAAGAGCTGCGTCTCGGCCGACGCCTCGGCCGAGTTCTTCGAGAGCCACCTTCTGCTCTTCGGCTCTCCTGGTGAGGGCCGCCAGTTCAACATCCCCTGTCCGACCGAGGAGTCGGACGCTTTGGTCCTCAACAGTGATGACATGAACTTCCGGCTGGAGAACGAGACGCTCGAACTGGTGCCTTACATTGTTAAGGGAGTGGAAAAGTTTGCGCCCGAACACTTCTGCCTTGATCAAGTGCGCGCGGTGAACAATGACAAGCTCTGGATTGCATTTACATGTCCCTGTGTGGCCGGGGTGTGCGTTCGAACGTGCTGCGGACGAGGAATGGTGATCAGGAAGAGCGGACATGACAACTCGACATTGTAAAAAAATAATTTAAAAATTTGTGGTCTTATTTTTGGCAAAAATAACCGCTAGTTTGATTAAAAATGTAAATTTTTCATTTGAAATTTCTACTTTTTAGTTTAGCAATGTAAACTTCTGTTTTTGTGAGCAATTGGTTTTTTTTATCAATAATTCTGTTTTTCTCAGATCTGTTTTATAATAAAGCAATTTTATTTCTCCATTGGAATAATGCAAACAAAATAAATAAAATTAATATTTCAATAAATATTTTTATTATAATTATTTCAGAGAATGTACAAAAGCGACTTATGAAGAGTGGAAACACTGGAGTCCATTAGACGTGGCCGAAAAAAGCGCGACTGGATATTTCCCATTGGAATTGCTGCCCCGGTGCGAAGCTGGCCAACAGTTTGTCAAATCTCAACTCCACTCCCTCTCCATTACTTCAGATGGAAATGCACTTTTGAAATAGTGAGTAGAATATTGCTTTGATTTTAATTTTAAATTTTGCATATTTAATAATGGTAACATAGCATTATTCAGAAAACCAATTGATCAAAGCAAATAAATAAATGCAACAGGATTTTCATAACTTTTCTGGACGATATTCAAATAAATAATAATTTAAAATTTTATCACGATTATCGTTCATTTTTTTCATATAAAAGTATTTTATTGCTCTTATAAGCAAGGAAATAATTCTTTTATACATCATTTAAAAAACATGATAAATGCGGTTAATGATTAATCGCACTTTAAACATCGAGAAATTTTTTTTTATAGATAGCAAAAAAAGCTGATTGAAAAGGCTCAATTTATCATTTTACCGCATGTTTAACCCCTCAAGTGTCATCACTTAATAATAAAAACAAAAAACAAAAATACGAAAAAATAATAATAAATAAATAAAAAATTCAATAAAATAAGTTCAATTAAATAGGTTGTATTGTTTTATTTTTACTATATCTAAATAAACGTTGAAAAAAATTATAACAATTTAGTTGAGTTTATTACAGTAAAGTTATTACTTTTTTCTTTAAATGTGAAACTTTGCTTACCAAAGCTGCTGCATTGAATTATTTTCTTTTCTTAAAAATTTAATATTTAGGTTTGTTTTATATTTCGAGATAGATTTGACTGATAAAGATAATGCAATTCTATTTTCAGCGAAGACGACATTGAAGATGTCCTGAATTCAGAGACGTTGGACGCGACCGCATGTTTGGGTCTGTACGAAATAGTGGACAAGGACGGCGTGAGCAACATCACGCAAATTCTGCTCGAGTGCAGCTCGGACACTCACGTGCAGCCTCTGAAGACCTCGCGGGTCGTCATTTACACAATCCTCTTCCTGATCGGGGCCGTTTTCCTGCTGGCCACGATTGTGGTCCACCTCGCCGTCCCCGTGCTGACGAAAGGGGTGCGCGGCAAAGGGTTGGTGGCGCATTGCGCCTTCATGTTCATCGCCCACATCGCTCTGATCGTCGTGCAACTCGAAGGAAGCACTTTGCCCGACTACCCGTGCCACGCTCTAGGTGAGAGGAAAACACATTTTTTTCTTTCAATTTTGCCATTTATGAAAAGTAGAACTCCTTGAAACGGAAAAAGTTTGATCTGAATCGTTGGAAAGAAATTACGCACGAGAGGAGTGCAATAAATCATAATAGGCTTCTCGTAGGTCGAAAGGAAAATGATTTTGTTTATGGTTAGCAAACGGCAGTTAGCGGAAGGTTAGCGGCAATATAAAATTAAACAACAATTTTGCACAAGTCGTGTCAGCGCGCAGATACATTATATTACTCTACATAAATGGGACTAATCCAGAGGCGTTTTTAAAATAGAAAACAAAGATTTATAAAAAAAAAATCAACAAAAACTTAAATATCGGCTTTTCCTTGATGGGTTTTGTGAGGTGTTTATTGTTTAACAAAATAAAAACTTTATCCCTTAAACAATGAACAACTTGCAAAACCTGTCGAGGAAAAGCCAATTATAAATTAAAATCACCTTGAATCAACCCTCGATCGTGAAATTCTACGACAAAATTATAAAAAAAAAAACTAAATAATTTTATGACAATTAAAGTGCTTACAATTGAATTTATTCACGTCTATACATGGTTATGTGCTTGTCAAAATAACACTTATGTTTTGAACTATAAATAAGGAAATGAGCAAGAGAAATAGTTAGTAATGTCTTGAGCTTGTCACATAACATTTAGAAGCTAATGAATGAATAAATAATGACTCGAACATTTTCAAGGACAAAAATAATCTTCTGTCGTTTTTGAAACTTTCTAATGGCAATTATAAGTCAGTAAATGAAAATAAAGGATTATGTATTCGATAATGTAAATTTAATGCTTTATAAATTAGTTTAAGAACAATAATATTCAGAATTGATCTTATGATTATCTAGGATAGAATGTTTTAGAAAAATTAATTTACGCTCAAATTTGAATACAAGATACAGGCGTAAATGAAAATAAAAATTACATAATATTATTTAGTAGAAGAATTTCATGATTGAGGTTTGAATTCGGCTTTTCCTCAATGGGATTTTTATTGAATCACAGAATAAAATTCATGTCATATCATGGATTTTTTCTGTTTGATTAAAAATCACCAAACACATATTTTTGTCTCAAAAATAACAAAAATTTCCAGATCAAATAGTGCTTTAATTTTGTAACAAATTCATCAAGCAAGTGAAGCAATTTATAGCTGTTGAAAAACCCCTTTGATATGCGTTAGAAGAGCAATTACAGTGGTCGCGGGCGCGGTGTATGGCAATCGGAGCAACATTGAATCCATCAATGAGAGCCATAAATCGTGTTTCGCAGATCTGGCAGGCCGATATTATATTCCAGCAGTCGGTCGCTGTCTGCCGTGCGTCGTTCGGACATAAATGTATAATTAACGATACGCGCACGACACTCGCTTGTACTTTTCCACACACGTGAGCTTTCATAGACCGCAGGACACAAACGCGCGGGGCATTGCATTTTTCATGCACGCTCCTCCGTACTCGACGAAATTACACGTACCCTTGACTCAATTAGGAATTATACACATGCAGTATAATCAATTCTGTGAATGCCGCGCTTGCATTGTGCTGGACATTTGACGCGAGAGAGACGATTGTCAATATTCACGGTGGAACGTGCTCAGATTTTGTAATTGCAAAAGTTGTCGCGGCTCCTGCTCGTCTCCACCGAGAACATACAAAGAAGACATGCGTGGTGCCAAAACAGAACCGCGACTTCGTATTTTGCATTGTTTTCCCACGACTTAAGTTTCCACGGCCTATCAAAAAGATTCTGCGCACTGATTATAAAAAAAGAATTCACACGGTGATTATAAATTTTATTTTTGTAGCAGAATTTCACGATCGAGGAAAAGCCGATTTTAAATTCAAATCACTAAAAATTTTACGTTGTTTTAAGTTTAGGTTTCAAACTTGTGATGATCTGAATTGAGAAAAAGCTCTGATTTAAATATAAAAATCAAATTTTTAGATTGGAATTCCACGAACAAAATTCTTTTTTTCAATTTGTTTTTCAATCATTTAAAAAAAGCAAAACGTGCTTTTTACTGAAATCGCGCGAGGAAAGCTTGCTTTACAGAAGATAAAAGCATGACAAAATTTAAATTTTTTCTAAGCAACGCTAAGCAATATTTCCTTTGTAAAGGACAAAAAAATCGAGTACATTTGAAAATAGTAAAAGCGTGACAAACAACTAAAAGTTCTGGATAGGGATTTCACATTATTTTTATTTGTCCAATTACCCCATTTATTAAAATAATCTGAGAGTTGAGAGGGAAATATAATTGTTGTTGGAGAAAAAGGCAACACTACTAATAACGATTAAACGTCACAGGTTTAAAATAAAAACTCAATGAATATTATGAAATTTTATAATATCAATGATCTCTGAACACGTAAATCTAAAACTGCAATGAAAATTATGTCGTAATCGAATCAAATGAGACAGACAGTGGCGTCAAATCGCAGACCGCTGGCGTCCAAAGGAATGCCGTCCGCTATTAAAAGAGCTTGAAGCGGCAAGAAAAGAATTCCGATGGACCAAAACGAGAGAAAAAATATATTATCTGACCTAGCGTTGCTTGCATTTGTGCGCCAATTGACCTCACCGACAATCGTAGCTTATTACGCACGCAAACCTACATTAAGAAACGTGCGTCGAGCAAAAAGGGTATTAACTAATTGTACAAGAATGAGCGTTTAACTCGACTAGATAGACCACTCATAATTTTCCAATCAATCCTCTTTATTATTGAAACGATTATGGTCACTAAAATTACTTTAAGTTGTGGGGGAGGGAAACAATTTTTAATTAATATATTTATTTCTAGAGGGACTGAAAATAGTGATGATTAATTTTAATGAAAAATAAAAAAAAATTCCAATTCGCTTTTTTCCCACAAAAATCTAAAAATGAAAAATGGAAATCATATTGGGAGAGGATTGGCAGAAGTTTGTACATATATTATAGTAAACAAATCACTAAATTTTAGAGACCAATTCAAAAGCAAAAGTGTAAAATAATATTTTAAACTGCAACACTCGCCATTGATCTATTGGAACAAATTATGTGAAAAAAGTTGGATACAAAAATTATTATTTAATTTAAATTAAAAAAAGTGAAAAAGAATATTCCAATCTGAACGATGAACAAATATATCAATTTCTGCTTTGACGATGTTTTTAGGGTATATAATTTTTACTTCCTCCGCGAGCAAAAATACAAAACGAAGCCGAGAGAGGCAAAATTCAAGACGGCGGGTAAACAGTTATTAAACATTGGCAAAACAGGTTTTCAGCTTTTAATGTTGTTGCACATCCCAGCCACACGCTGGGCTCACAGTCAAGGTCGCGATTTCACAAAAAAGATTCGTGCCTGAGATAAAAAACGTAAAAATTCCTCGTCGGGTCCCCCTGGCTGCAGCTCGCGAAATATTAAACACACTCCCGGTGAGAAAATATAATAAATAATGCGTTTGGTCGTCGAAGGATAAGCGCCACGCGGAGGAACAATTACGAGGAAAAGCCGTGCTTGGAAGTGGGCCCGGACAAATCCATTTCGCGATCACGTTTGGGGCTTTGCCAAGGCTAGGGTCCTTCGTCAGGGCACGTCAAGTGAAATTTCATAACAAGCGCCTCGAATCAGCACGCCCGATTGTGCTCGCTATTTTTCTGTTTTATTGACGCTATTACGTTTAAGTAGTGTGTAGAGAGGAACCAAAGAAAATTAGTGTCATGATTGAATATAATTTCAATGATTGCGGTTTAGAAGTGCTGGAGTATAAAAGGCCGCAAAAATTCAACTCAAAACCACCAAACTTATATATATATCCATTATCTACGCGTAAAATTTTATGCAGAAAATCCAATGAAATAATCAATTAAATTGAAAATAATATTCATTTTGGAAACAATATTTGTGCATATTTTTTTTAAGGAGCAGATTTGGAAGAAAACTAGTCCTATGTAAACGTGTGAAAATGGCAAAAAGGCAGGAAATAATCACTTTTGAAGTTTTTAACTGTAAATTAATAAATGAAATACTTCATTTTTATACTAAACTAACAATTCATAAAAAAAAAATAAAATTATTCAAGAATATTCAGCTGCTTCGGGTCAATTAAAACCTGTCTTGCTGAACTTGCCAGAGCCTAACTGGACGATATTTTTTTTTTGCGTTTATTTTATTTCATATCAAATTTCGCGCCCACTGTAACGGTCCCATATACACAAATTCAGCTGTGACAGCTCTAAAATGACACTTTTTCGTGATTCCAGCTTACTTGATCCAGTTCACGCTGCTCGCCGGCTTCTTCTGGCTCAACGTAATGTGCTTTGACATCTCAATGACTTTCAGGTGAGCTTGCTAAAAAAACTCGTTCGGCTAATCTCGCGCGTTAAAATCTCCCCGGCTCAAGAGCCTGAAATCTCCGTTGTATTTTATTACCGCCTGCGCAAATCAGCGGCAATTAAAAATTTTCACCAGGCTGACCTCACACCGCTTCAATTGGACCCTCATATATTTACTTTCGGCCCAACACTTTTACGGTCTGCAAAAAAGAACTGATAATTGCCAGAATATGTTTTACGACGCGGGCGTACTTGCATTCAACGTGTTGTTGTTGCAGATCTCTGCAGAGCATGGTACCCCGTGGGACGTTGTCCGAGCGAAGGCAATTCGTTTGGTACACGGTCTACGCCCTTGGCATCCCGTTCCTCATATTTGTCGTGACCGTCGCTCTGAATCAAGCGTACCGCAACAAGCCTGGCTACGACTCTTGGCTGCCTGACCCCACAATTGGCGTCAGATCATGCTGGTTTGACCAAGGTAATTTTTTTGCTAATTTGAATTATTCAAGTTTTATTCTTGAAATAAATATTAATTTTTAATTTGATGTTTAACTGAAATTTCAGACAAAGACGGAATTTTGATTTTCTTCTACGGCCCCATCGGAATACTACTGCTGATCAACATGTTGTTGTTTTTGTTCACCACGTACAAAATTTGGAAATTGTCGCACGCCGCCAACATGATCAACCAGAACGACAACAGCCAACGGCACAACTCGGAGCACAAGAGGTAAATGAGACGCACAGGCAAACAGATCGTGATTTTTGCTAAGTCGGCTAATAGAACTCTGTCTTCGAAACGCAGATTTGTCCTGTTCCTCAAACTGTTTGGCTTGATGGGCATACCGTGGGTGTTTGAAATCATCTCTTGGAAGGCCAAGGGCGCCGAAGAGTACTGGTACTTCACTGACGCCATCAACATCCTCCGCTCCGTGTTTATCTTTACCACTTTTTGTTGGAAAAGAAAGGTGCGCAGATTAATTTAGTTAAAAAAAATTGCATCCAAAACTCCAACGAATAATAAATAAATTAATTGATTATCTGTTTTAAAAATTAAATTCTAGGTCTGGCGACTGCTATGTGAAAAGTACCCCAAGTTGAAGGAATTATCGCTGATAACCACGGCAAGCAACAACGCAACCGACTCGAGCAGATCAAACCCAAATGAAAGTTATGCCGAAACGATGAATGGAGTCTCGATGGAGACTCTGGCGGCGATTGATTTGCAGACTGCGCCTCGTATACAGTGACGTCGAGTACTTTTCAAATTGTATCTCAATCAAAATAAATTTAAATATCCTATCTAATTAAATCTTCGGTTCAATGTAGTAATAGAAAACTCCTTTGAAATAAGGATAGGATTCATTATTATTATTGTACAGGACAATGCTTTCAAAAAACAAACTGGCAAACTCACTTTGTAAGCGGCTGCTTCAATATCATTTTAACTTATTAGCTTTTTTGCTCTGTGTTAACACGGATGGATCGAACGTTCTTGACGCAGAGGAAAATGATACCTTTCAACGAGGGTTGCACTGGAAGGTTCCGAAGCCGAGACCTATCCCTCGGTGCGTGTGGGTTGCTAGTCTGGCCACCTCGTACTGCCGCTCCATGCTGTTGAACATCTCGTCCTGCTTTTGTTGCTGCTCTGCAGCACTCAGCGGTTTCTTTGGGGCAGTTTCTTCCGGCGGCTCAACTGGAGTTCAAGCATTACTCTCTCATGTGACTTCAAAATTGAAAACATACCATCCACGCCTTTCATGCCCATCAGCCTCTTGAATTTGGCAGTCATTTTGCCATCGTTATCTTTCGGCAGATGCGTGCTCTCCCAATTATTGCCGGATTTTGCACATGTTTCTTTGGCAATGACAGACTAAATGAAAATTTAAGTAATCAAAGTCAGTTTGTAAATAAATAAGTTTACCTTATTAGACCACAGAGCCCTCCTCTTTTGAAGCTGCTGCTGGATTTTGGTCAAAGTTGGGTTGTTTGTCAGCCCAGGCACAATTCCGCTTGACAACTGGATCACGCTTGGGCTTGTTACAGTCGGGGGAGAAATACTTCTTTCTTTTTCACCTAATCATGAGACAATTAATTCAATTGAAATATAATCTAGCGGGTTCTGACCAGTGCTTGTGGTGGCACTGCTGCTTGTTGCAATTTCGACGGAAGGCAGAATAATTTTTTTGGTCTTCAAATCCCTGTTATTTCGATCTCTTTCACGGTCTCGCTGCCTTTCTCTGCTTCTTGATCGTCTCTTCGGAGATCTGCTCCTTGAGCGGCGGGAGTATTTCCTGTCCCGATCTGAAAATTCAAAAATAAAATTAGCAGTGCGCAGACATCGGAATTGGAATCCTACCAGATCTGTGTTTATCATCTCGTCTCTCCCTTCTTTCTCGGTCATCTTTCCTCGAATGCTTGCTCTTGTGGTGCCTTCTTTCTCGTCTCTCATCATCATGCCTAAAATAAAATTTTTATAAATCATGATCATTATAATTCAAAGATCTTACCTGCTGGACTTGCTTCTTTCTCTTTCTTTCGACCCTCTTTTGGAAGAATCCTTGTTGTCGTCGCTGCCCTGCACAAATAGAAAAAACATTCCCTTCCACAACTGATCTAACGAATCGTTAAGAAACTTAAAAGTTAATTTATTAATTTCAACTACACACATTTAAATTTAATATAAAATAATCCATTCCACTTAAACTACTGATTGTGAATTTTTGTAAAATTTCATCCAACTTTGAGAAACACGTATAATTTTATAATATTTTAACTTCCCAAATCATCAAACGAGAGACACTTAGATGATCAAACAGAACAAAAATGATAAACTTATGGAAAAGAAAAGGTGGAAAGTTTTGAGATTCGCTGACGGTAGACTAGATGCCCTTTAAAATGGAGAGGTTTGGGCGTTCGAGACGAAGGTGCTTTTTACCTTAGAGATCAGCGGAGGGTTTGTTTGTTAACAAATCAAGTGACATCTGGCACCATTTCAGTGGCTACTCACCAATCTTTGGTTGCGGTTGGGCCTGAGGTGGAATCTCGATAGAACAACACCACTGCGTAGTGCATTTCATAACAGAGCATATTAATATTCTAACGAAATCATTGTCCCCTGATTTCCCTCAGTAGCCCCATTAATCAGCTTGATATTTAATTACATAATATATTTTTTTTTATTCTCATAGTTGCGTTAAAATATTTTCATTTGAAGGGCAAGCATAAATTTATGTGATTTTCCAAAACTATGATTTTGGAGCAAGATTCTATGAGCAAAGGTCACATCAGGTCACATTAGCATGGGTAGGCAAGAAGTTGACCCTTAAGTTAACGAATGTTGTTGTGTGTTCAATGCAAGAAGAGATGCCCAAAATTATAATAAAGTGAACGAAGAAGAGAACACGCAGGGAAGAATTAAAGACGGCAAATTTATACCTCACTCAGGTCCATCGTCACGTTCTCGTAGTTGTCCCCTTGAGCGCCGGACTTTTTGCTTCTCGTCTTCAGCTGCTGCAAAAATATTGAAAGTGAAATTAGTCTAAAAATAGCCTCTGGGAAAACCCAGCAATGACATAAAATATAAAATTTGAAACAGTTTTTGGAACAAATTTGGAATTTCGGAGCTTCAATGGATCGAGAAACTCGCCGGCAAAGCGTTCTACAAATTGCATTATTTATTGCGCAACACAAACCTCGTCCTGTTCTTTGACATCCGAATTATCCTCGTCGCTGCTGTAATCGGCAAGGGCGTCCATGTTTATCTCTGTTTTGGCCCCTTTTCGCCCTCTTCCTCGATCTCCGCACACCAATCGATCGCTGCTGCTGGTTCACCAGTCATTTGCACCAACATTATAAAATAATTATTTATGTTTTATACATATAAAGATTAAAAATAATTGCAAAAATTTTTAAGAAAAACATTTAATATGATAAAATTATATTTAATAAATATTATTTCTTGAAAACAAACATAAAACAAAATTAATTTTTAAATAATTTTACTCTCTTATCTGTTTTGTTGGCTTTAGTCGGCCAACAACTTCGAGAGGCGGATCCTGTTCCTGTGACAGCAGCCAAATTGATAAATTTTCTTCGGCTTTTTATTAATTTTTACGGGAAAATTGTAAATACTGCCCATTTTTTAGAGTTTAAATTTACAATCAAGGTAAGCTTTCTAAAATTTAATGTTCATTGGTCACAAATTGGCGATTTTCAGCGTTTGCGGATTCATCAATCCCCAAGATGACCGATTCAAAGTATTTTACAACCACCAAAAAGGGCGAGATTTTCGAGTTGAAATCGGAACTGAACAATGACAAGAAAGAGAAAAAGAAGGAAGCCGTGAAAAAGGTCAGCTTTAAAATAATTTTTCTCCCCAGAAAGATATTTTAGCCTTGGAAAAATTCCTAACATTCTTCTCATTTTTAACAGGTTATCGCCTCGATGACTGTCGGCAAAGATGTCTCGGCTCTGTTTCCTGACGTCGTGAATTGTATGCAGACGGATAATCTCGAGCTGAAGAAACTCGTGTATTTGTATCTCATGAACTACGCCAAAAGCCAGCCAGATATGGCTATTATGGCCGTCAACACATTTGTCAAGGTACACGCATTTTCCCAAAGATTTTTTTCTTATTTTGTTTGTTTTCCCATCAGGACTGTGAAGATCCCAATCCTCTGATCAGAGCTTTGGCGGTGCGCACTATGGGGTGCATCAGGGTTGATAAAATCACTGAGTACCTCTGCGAGCCTCTGCGGAAATGTCTCAAGGATGAAGATCCTTATGTGAGAAAAACGGCAGCTGTCTGTGTCGCCAAATTGTACGATATCAACTCGTCGATGGTCGAGGACCAGGGCTTCCTGGATCAGCTCAAAGATCTGCTCTCGGACTCAAATCCCATGGTTTGTTTTTTATAATTTATATGATTTGAACTTGAATGCCAATATTTCTTTTGATTTCAAAATCCAAACTAGGTTGTGGCAAACGCTGTGGCAGCTTTGTCAGAAATCAACGAGTCAAGTCCCAGTGGTGCTCCTTTGGTCGAAATGACACCTCAAACGGTCAACAAGTTACTGACGGCCCTGAACGAGTGCACTGAATGGGGTCAGGTGTTCATTTTGGACTCGCTGGCAAATTATTCGCCCCGGGATGAGCGAGAGGCTCAAAGGTATTAATTTTTCTTTTAACTTTCATTTTATGAATTAACTAAAAAAAACTTTTCTTTTTCAGTACTTGCGAGCGAATAACTCCTCGTCTGGCGCATGCCAATGCTGCTGTCGTTTTGTCGGCTGTCAAGGTGTTGATGAAGTTCATGGAGATGCTGCCCTCCGACTCTGAGTTCGTCACCAGCCTGACTAAAAAACTGGCGCCTCCCCTGGTCACGCTGCTCTCTTCCGAGCCCGAGGTGCAGTACGTGGCTCTGCGCAACATCAACCTGATTGTGCAGAAGCGGCCTGACATCCTCAAGCACGAGATGAAAGTCTTCTTCGTCAAATACAATGACCCTATCTACGTCAAACTGGAGAAGCTGGACATCATGATTCGTCTGGCGTCGCAGGCCAACGTTGCTCAAGTCTTGTCTGAGTTGAAAGAGTGAGTTCAAAATAATTTGATTTATTTATTAAATAATTAATAACAATATACAATAACAGATACGCAACTGAGGTGGATGTTGATTTTGTGAGGAAGGCGGTGAGGGCAATTGGCAGATGCGCCATCAAGGTCGAGCAGTCTGCCGAACGCTGTGTCTCGACCCTTTTGGATCTGATCCAGACTAAAGTAAATGAAACCATTTTATTGATAACTCGATACTCAATAAAAGCTTTTTTAGGTCAACTATGTAGTCCAAGAGGCGATAGTGGTCATAAAAGATATTTTCCGTAAATATCCCAACAAATATGAAAGCATCATTTCCACTCTGTGTGAGAATCTCGACACTTTGGATGAGCCTGAAGCAAGGCAAGCATTTTCTTTTTATTTAAAGTACATAATTATAAATACATATTTTGCAACAGGGCTTCCATGATCTGGATCATTGGCGAGTACGCTGAGCGAATTGATAATGCCGACGAGTTGCTCGAGTCATTCCTGGAAGGTTTTGCCGATGAGAACTCTCAGGTGCAGCTCCAGCTTCTCACAGCTATTGTCAAGTTGTTCTTGAAGAGACCCTCAGACACCCAAGAACTTGTTCAGCAGGTAAATACAAAAATTTTTTTATTTGAATAATTTTTTAGAAAAAACGGTATTATAATTTATTTTAAACCCTTAATGGCAATAAATCTTAATTTTTTAAGGTGCTGAGTTTGGCAACTCAAGATTCCGACAACCCAGATTTGCGCGATCGTGGCTTCATCTACTGGCGTCTCCTTTCGACGGATCCTGCCGCTGCCAAGGAAGTTGTTTTGGCTGAAAAGCCTCTCATTTCTGAGGAGACGGATCTTCTGGAGCCGACCCTTTTGGACGAGCTGATTTGCCACATTTCCAGCTTGGCATCCGTTTATCACAAGCCACCATCTGCCTTTGTCGAAGGTCGCGCCGGCATCCGAAAGAGCCTTCCTGCTAGGTTTGGAAATTTTGAAATATGAAAAAAATACAATACAAATGAAACGTTGATCATTAGCGCTCGTGCTGGATCGGAAGGTGTGGATTCGTCGGAGAGTCAATCTGCCCCTGCAGTAATTCCAGCACAAGACTCACTCATTGGAGATTTGCTGAGCATGGACATCGGCGGCCCGACCATTGCAGCCACTGCTGCAGCCCCAGCAGCTCCATTTGGAAGCAATGCCATGGATCTGCTAGGAGGTGGCCTGGACACCTTGGTAGGATTTTTAATAAAGTTAAAAAGCCTAATTTTCAAATCACATGAACAAAAAAAAACAGTTTTCTGATAAAAAAAAAAAGGCTAAGAACTAGCAAAGATTTTTCCAGAATTTGTCTACAACTCTTTTGTCTGCTGCATCTAGCCAGAATTCTAGCAATTACCATTTTTTCAGCTGGGTGAAACAAGCTCGTCTCCAGCGCCTCCTGCTGCAGCTCCCGCTGGCTCGGCTGCCCTTCTTGGTGACATTTTTGGCGTGCCAGCTGCTTCTGCCGCCTACGCAGCTCCAAAAACCACCTGGCTGCCTGCGGACAAAGGCAAGGGTCTTGACATCAGTGGCACATTTGCACGCAGAAATGGCCAGCTCTTCATGGACTTCACATTCACCAACAAAGCCATGCAGCCGCTGTTGAACTTTGCCATCCAGTTCAACAAAAACAGGTTTGATCCTTAAATTTTGTCTTTGAGGAAGTTTAAAGTCCTGTTTTAGTTTCGGGATCACTCCATCGGCACCTTTGCAAGTGCAGTCGCCACTGCCGCCGGGTGTCTCGAGCGACACTTCTCTTCCCCTTTCCACCACAGGACCTGTCCAGAAAATGGAGCCGCTCACCACTCTTCAGGTAAATGTGAATATTAAGTTATTTATACACATTAATCATTTTATTTTTGTAGGTTGCTGTTAAGAATAACGTAGATGTGCTTTACTTTGCTTGTCAAATTCCGATGCACGCCCTGTTTGTCGAGGACGGTCAGATGGACAAGCGCGTCTTCCTGGCCACCTGGAAGGAAATCCCGGCCCAGAACGAAGTCCAGTACACAATAACCAACATCATGCACAATGCTGGTGAGTCTCTCAACAGTTCGTTCTTGTCGCAAACACTAATTTTGTTTCTGTCAGATTCTGTGGTGCAAAAGATGCAGCAGAATAATGTGTTCACCATCGCTAAACGCAACGTGGAAGGCCAGGACATGCTGTACCAGTCACTGAAGCTGACCAATGGCATCTGGGTGCTCAACGAACTCAAAATTCAGCCCGGCAATTCTAATATCACGGTACTTGTATGAATCTTTATGACTTTCAGCTAGTTCTAAATTAAATCAAATCAATATTTCAATGCATTTAAAGAGCCGCTTGCCAGTAGAACATATTTTTTGGTGTTCTCGATTTTCATTCTTTTCTCTTGTGTAGCTGTCGCTGAAGACGAGAACTCCAAACGTGGCCGAAGGCGTTTTCCAGGCCTACGACAATATTCTGCATGGTTAAGGGAGCACATTCCAGAAATTAGCAGGTGCAGCCGCAGGCGTGCACAGCTAGTTGAACAATGAGGATTATTCATAATTATAAATAAACAAAACACTATATTACTTAGTTGTATGATTGTCAAAATAGGTATACTGTATTGTCATATCTCATGCTGCTGTTAGTTAATGGATAAAATATACAGTTGATGAAATTTATCACTTTCGTTTAATTTTACAAATCGCCACTACTCTTTATTCCCAAGCAAAAACAAAACCTTGCAATCTATAACAACAGAAAAAATATTGAAAAGGTTTTTTAAATAACACAACAGACGTAAGGTTTTAAGTTCTTTTTATTCTTTTTTTTGTTTTCATATAAAAATTTATTACATTCTACGGGAAGGGAATTGAAGAGCTTTTCGGATAAGCAAAATGACGACATGGTATGAAAGAAACCTGTCTCAATCAAAATTGATTTTACACAAGGCTCCAAATTACTCATGGGTCGAATCGAAAGACTGATAATTTACCATACATGTTTCATAACAAAATTTATTGCTTGATTGGTCGGTCGGAGCCGAGTGTCAATGTATCATCAGTGTCAAATAAGTTTTGGATGATCGTAATTTTTGTTGATCAAGATTGGCACAGAAATCTCAACGAAACCTTCGGAACGGGTTACAGGCGTGATATTCCATTTTTTCAAAGAATTTTTTTCCACGTAAAAAACGCACAGACCAAATGCGAAATGAACAAATCAGCCGTGTTTCAGGCGTCTTATAAAAATAAACAGCGTATAAACCACCGCCTGCAACAATCAAGGCAACCAGGCTAGCGAGCCGGCATTTATGAAATGTCGACTCAAGGAAATTCCTCAAGATTTCTGCTCGAATCTTCATCGGTCGGCAGAGATTGAATTTGGGTTGGAATAATTAATAATTTTGCACTCCTACGATGATGACGGATGCTCTACAATTGCAGGAATATTTTTGCCCGGGGGTGCGTTTGCCCGGACCCGAACGGCTGCTGCAAGCGCACCCTCGGCTGACGCAGTTTTCTCACTTTTTAAAATTTTTATATAATTTTTTTCATTCATTTTTCTTCATGTGTGTGTGTGTTGTGTTTTGTTTGTTGTAAGGCTAGTAGTGTGTTTTTGTTTTTATTTTTCATCTCCGTAAACGAAAAACTTAGTAGAGGCGGAAGTGGCGAGAAATTAAATACCGAGCAAGAGTCTCTTTGTCTGGCAAGGACGACGAGGGGCGTGAACTACCCTATCACAGCACTTGGAAATCAGGGTCTCGCTGGCGCTGGCGTCGCGCCCACGGCCCGTCCAGCCCCGACTGACTGGCATCGGGACCGGACGTCCTGAATGGGGGCGCGTTCGAGCGCCTCAAACCGAGACCCGAGGCTGAGACAGAAGATAATATCACAGTCCGTTGTTTTTACGTGTCCTCGCGATTGGTTTGAATAAATAATTTCTACAACCACCTCCTCAACAAAGGCGTGTGAAAATTCATCGCCCAGCAGTTGTGAGACGAGCGTGTCTCGGCCGTGTCGGATAATTACTCTCATTGCTACTCTCGCCGCCTCTTCACTGGTTGTGCGGCGGAGGCTGCTGCATCACCATGACTGAAAAAATATATGAAAAAAGTGTGATGAGACTCAGCAAGTTGCACAAAACTTAATTTTACTTTAAATCGAGAATTAAATTTAATTTCAGTGAAGGACAATTGAAATTTGTTTATGTACAAAATTGAGAAAGACTGAAGAGAGAGCCACTTTAAGAGCAGAAAAAAATGATTTTTTTTCCGACCAGAAATAGAATGAAGAGACTGAAAAATGTTTCATATTATAACTTACTGTGACTAGCCTTTGGTTATAACTTTTGATTGGAGCAAACCGATGCTCCAAAATATTTGTAGCAATGAGAAAATAGTAAATAAATCTTTGTGACCACGTTTTCTAAATATTGTTCGCCCTTATCTAAAATTTTTAACGAATGAAATAAAATACAACTTGATACAGGCAGCAGTATTTCACGTTCAAAGCGTTTGATGGTGTTTTATTTTATTTAACAAATAAATACAAATTAATTAAAAAACACCATCTTTAAATGCCATAATGAATTCATGAAAACTTGATTTTAGATTCTGAAAAATAAATAATTCGAAACGTTTGCAGAACGGCTGTTGATCGCAATATAGCTTACATGCTTCTTGATTCAAGTTGATTTTATTCCAAATTTTTTCTCTGCTCTTATACTTGAACCTCCCTTCAATATTTCAAAATTTTTAAAAAAAGATTTCCGAATACATAAATCTTGTCGCCCCCAATAAATAATACTAGACTAGCGAAATCCCACACGTGTCCGTCAGCCCGTCCGTCCACCCACCCAATCACAACTTGACAACCGTCCCTCGGCGCGATTACGTAGGAAGCCTTTCACAAGTCCATCCTTGCTTTTCATTTTTCCCCCCGTCCGAATCGCCCGCTGACCCGTTAACAGCTTAAAACAAGACTAACTCATCCGCCACCGGAAGCGCAACTCACCGGGGCCTTGCCACATTTGCTGCTGGTGGTGTTGCTGCATGTAGGGCTGCTGCACAAGCTGGGCGGTTTGCACCCCGGGGGCCGAGCCCGGCGGAGGCATCTGTTGGTGCATGGCAGGGAACATGGAGACGAACTGCTGTTGAGGGGCTGCCTGCTGCGGCGGTGGCACCTGTGGCGGGGGTTGTTGGTAGGGGGTGGCCTGCGGGGGCGGTCCGCTGCCCCCCTGCGGAGGCTGCGACTGCTGCTGCGATGGAGACGGCGTCTGCTGGTTTGACTGTTGGCTTGGGCCCCCAGGAGGCTGCTGTTGGCCTGCGTTTGGAGGCGGGTGCGCGTGGTGGATGTGAGGGTGTGGCGCCGCCATTGGTGACGCCATGTAGATCTGTTGGTGCGGACCGTCCGTGTGGTACGGCATGTTCATTATGCCTGGGTTCGGCATTGCCATCCTCACAAGTTGCTGCAACAAAAATTGATTCTAAAATCAACCCCCATTTTCCATTATTAAAATTTTTGAATCAGACAATTATAAACATCATATTATAATATCAGTGTAGATAAAAATTCTAGTTAAAAATTACTTCTAACTACAACTAAAAAAATCGTTATCAAATTGCTTTGACGCTTTCAAATATAATTCAGAATATTTTAAAACAGTTTAAATATCAAGAGAATTTAATAAGTTTAAAAGGTAAGAAAATAAATTAGAATGAGCCCTAAAACAAGTGTAAAATAGAAAGAACTCAGAAAAGCTGTTTAATTAATATTATTTGGTTCATGTTCTCTAAATAACTGTATATCGATAATTGGGAAACTGATCTAACTGAAAATGTGTTCTATTGAATATTAACGTATGATCAAATAAAGATTCTTAACTTACAGGTGGATGGTATCCCTGCGAGGCAGGCATCAGTTGAGCATTAGCCGCCGCCTGCGGGAAGTTGTAGGCTGTGAAGTGTGCAGGAATGGGCGGCGCCATCAGCGGCTGGCCAGTGGCCGCGGCCACTTGGATTTGTGACATTTCTGGCCTGTGGTGGGTGGAAATGGGCATGGTTGGCATGGCTGCTGGAAGAAAAACGCAGGGGTTACTCAATCGCCATCTTGGTTTAAGCTACTTACTCTTACGGATACTTCTGTTCTGGTTCTGATGGTATGGGTTCGGGTTCTGCATCAGCATCACAACAGGCGCCATGCCCTGCACTCCCTGTGGAGGCACTGCATACTGAGGGGTCTGAGGTGTGTGTGGACGAGATGTGCCAGGTGTGCTGGGTGATCTCTGCAAAAAAGTAAATAATTATAATTTTTTTTTAACTTGGAACAACAAAATAAAATTAATCATGAAAAGGAAATTCAAACTAACCGGAGTGAAAGGTTTAGCCTGGGGGTTCAGTACGAATTCCTTAGCGTTGGGGTTGAGAGTCGAGGTCTTATAAGTACTGGTCACTTTGTCAGCCTCGTTCTTTGTCTCGTCAGAGGGACCAGGGGTTTGAGGTTTGGGTGCCGGCGACGCAGTTGGTGTTGGCTTATTGTCAACTGGTTCCTCGACCAGGTTGAAGTCTTTGTTGAACTTCTTGAGATCTTGCAGCTGATCCTCTCTGACGGCTAAATCATAAGAAAAGTTAATTTCACCGCTTAAAAAGAGTTCTTGGTTCATTTACCTGGCCTAGGCGGCAAAGAGACGGGCTTTCGCTGATCCAACGGTGGCCTGCCAGTGGGTTGAGCCTGAGGCTGCTGCTGCTGGTTTTGCTGCTGTTGCATAACTGCCTGTTGCTGCTGCATATGTACCTCTTGCGGTGGCTGCTGTTGATTCTGCTGCATGTGTTTTTCTCTTTCGTGGTGAGGAACCACGTGAGGCGCCATGTTTGCTTGCACCATCTGTGAACACAAGTAAATTTTCCGTCAGATTTGGAAGGGCGAACTCAAAAAATTTAATGTCGATAGTATAATAAGAAGTAGCGTTAAATCAATAGATTTTGTCACTTACTGTCAAGTGAATTGGCATTTGCTGGTTGAGGGGAGCAGGGGAAGTGCTCGGCTGGTAGGGGGGTAATCCTTGGGGTGGCTGGTGATGCTTTGGTTCGTGATACCTGGGCTGGTCGTTGAATCGGCCTCGACCTGAGTGGAAGACAAAAGCTAATCAGGAAAAGATTATCAATTGAGCCCTGATTTAAATCGTACCCTGTCGGCCGCCCTGCATGGCCATGCCCTTCTTGTTGGGGCCACCATCCATGCCGCCGTTGTTCATCGGCTTCTGCTGCATCATGCCCTGCGCGGCCGCCGGGTTGTAGCCCATTTGGGACTGCGGGGGTGGCGTCTGCGGCGAGTACTGATGCTGGAAGGGCTGTTGGTTGTACCCCTTGGGGTGGTGCATGCCGCCCATGCCGGGCGACGTCGTGTTCCGCATGCCCTGTTTTCCTCCTTGGTGAGGCGTCGACTGGGGCTGCTGCTGCTGCTGAGGCGGCGGCGGCGTCTGCTGTTGTTGATGCTGAGGGGGTGGAGGCGCTTGGTTGCTCTGGGGAGACTGCGGCGGCGGCGGGTTGTTGCCTTTCCGCTTAGCAGGAGGCACATACGCGTTGCTGTTTGGCTTTGGCTCGGCGACGGCCGGTGGGCTCGCGGCCGCCTCATCTGCCGGCACGCGAGACACAGCCGCAAATCGCTCTTCCTCATCGCCATTCTCCACTTCCACCCTGTTAGTGTGTCCAGGGGTGTTTTCTATTTCGCGCGCAATCTGAGCAGCACGTGCTTCAGCATCTCTGTTGATTCATTAATTACAGGGCATGAGATAAATGATATAAAAGGAATTTTAAGCAGTTAATTTTTTTTCTGAGAATTGAACTTCTATAATGTTTTAGATTTATAAGTGAAATTTAAAATTAAAGTTTTTTTTCCTTGATTGTTAACTTTAGAATGTTTTGATCTGAAACAAAGAAACTTACTTGTAGTCTTTGGTATCCTTTTTCTGCAAAGGAACCGTGTAGGCAGACAGTGATTGATCAAACGAGGTTGTGACACCGTATTTGTTTTCATTCAGTCGGAACATGTCGTGAGCATCCCAGCCATTCTGAAATCAAGTGAAAGAAAATTTTTAAAATCAATCTTAAAATTATATTTTAATATTTTTTTTTTTTTTAAATTGAAAGCTAAAATATTGAGGAAAAGAAACAAGCCAGGCAATATTTTAACGCGACTCATAAAAAGAAGAAAAGATCAGGAAGTAATGGAATCTCCTTGTGTGGTTTTAAATTTATTGCAAGCAGGATAATTTATCTTATTTAAAAATAGACGTTTTTCACAAGTTGTTTGCCTTGAATAATTATGCATTATAATCCTCTGGAAACAATCAATCTCTCACCTCTTTCGTGCTCATTTCGAGTTCGAGTTCGTCGCCATTGCAAGGCCCTTCCCAGGGCTCGAGTTCTCGCTCTGTCACTTGGCCATTGAACTTGCTGATGGCCGTATCGGTCTGGAAGGTATCTGCAGAGGGAAAAACAACAAAGATTGTCGCCGCGTTTTAGTGTGAGGCACTAAGCGTGAAAAAGCAGCTCACCTTTGGTTGCGTACTCAAGGTCGACGTTGAGTGCCTGGATGGTGATCACGTCGGCCGCTTTGAAGATGAGTTTCTCCATGAGGGTGTCAACAGTGACCTCGTTGGGTCGGTTGGGGTCAACCCGGTGGGCCAGCTCCAGCACTACGTCAAACTGCGGAGAGAAGGTGCGCAGCACACCTTCGAAGATCGAACCCGCCACGGTCTGGACCTGCAGCAACACGCGCGCCGTTAACTATCTTGACAGATAAAAGCAAAGAGCCGGTCGCCGGCCTTGGGGCACCTCGATTTGTGCTCTTATCTATCTTTGGGCTCGATTAGAGTTCAAAAAAGGGAACTCTGACTGAGGCAGATTTTCGTTTCGTTCGAGCGAGGGCGAACGTGTTTGTTCGGAAGGTCAGCAGTGCATTGTGGACGGTGGGTGATGTCATGCGGCGAGCGCGATTCCTCACGCATGAATCATACTCGAGAGCATATATAATATTAGTTGGCTGAACAATAAATTCAAGACGGCCAGAGAGAAGAGATAACTCGGATAACGCCGACGAGCAATGAGCTCTGACTCAAAAATAACCAGACTAGAGGGTTATCTCGTTCATTGCGTTGAGAGAGAATTTAATATTTTGAGTCAGAGATAAACAAAAAGGAAACGTCAAATCGCTCAAAATAAAGAGGATTGTTTTCAAAATGAGCACTAGGCAGTGACACAAGATGGAAAGCAGTACGCGCAAAACGTCAAAACATTTGCATGTGACATCACAATAATAATATCAAGCGGCAGAAAAATTGTGTAATTTTATCAGCATGCTCTTTATTATTCAAATAAAAGTGAGAGTTGCTAGACGATAATAGTTTTTATGATATCATTGGAATTCTTTTATAAAATGGTAGTGCATTGAAGAAATCTCACAGACCTTTCATATTATTTCTCTTTTACTTATTAAATTTTAAGGATAAACTAAAAATGAGAATTAAAAAAAAAAAAACTCCCTCATTTCATATAAATTGTATTTTTCGCTCTTGTATATTTTAATATTCATGAGCAATTGTTTATGAGGAAGCATCAACGGTCGCGTCATCTGGCGTTAATTTTGCAGCATAAAAAAGTAAGCAGTGCTCTTCGGTCGACACGTCTGTCACCGCTTGTGTGCAAAATGTGCATCGTCGTCGGCGGCGGCGACCATGCGCACTTCCCACGAGTCACATTTTAATCGGCGGCGATCACGAGCCAGCCGTGCTTCAAAAACTCCACGTCGCCTTTTCCTTATTTTGACAAACGCAACACGCTAATTGAAAACCGACATACGTGTTAAATCGGCAATGAGGGAACATTAGGAAAAATGAAACCAAAAATTTAAAATTAAACAAAACCGGACGCGACATGTTTCCAGCACAAAATGGCACGGATGGAAAAAACGAGTGACCCATTTGCAGAGCGGATACGCCGAAGTGGCAAAAATTGGGAAAAATCTCGATTGACGAGAGAAAGAGATTGACACGCGCGGAACGGCTAATTAAAAGAGCACGAGTGGCGTCGGCGGCGGCCAGACGTGACCTAGTTTGCCGCAGCATCGCGACCAAACAATGCTGCCGACCGACCGAGAGAAAACGCGCCACGCATGCATCCACCCACACAACACTCTCGGCTGCACTTTCAGCTGATTTTCCTTCTGCCGACTAACACAAATTTGAATTAAACAATATTCAACAACTCACCTGCACGATGGTGCCCACATGAGCCGTCACTGCGTGCATGAACGGGGCGTTGCTGTAAACTCCCTCGACGGTCACGCTGCGCTCAGACCGCGTCCGCGGGGACCTGAAATCAACCCCCGAAATATGAGAAAAGAAAATTTATGAATTTTTTTCTAAAGGAGAACAATCATTATCACAACACGATCAATGGTGGCAACGAAAAGTGGGGCAGCTGCACCGGCACTGCAACTTGCACCATCTCGAACTTTGACCCCTGACCCGAATCGGGGGCGAGGGAAGAGAACCTCGGCGGTTGCGGGGCGATCGACGGAAAGCGCGCTTTTTTTGGGTGCGTTTCGACTTACGGGGGGCGGGCGGGTGCGGCGGGGCCGATCATCGGTCGGGGGCGACTGCCGACGGGGGTGTGTGATGGCCGCCGTCTCCTCTGCAGCAGCCCGACCGACGGCGGCGGCAGTGCTGCTACTTGCTGGTGCGCGATCAATGCGCCGATCGAAAGCGCCCAGCTGCTCTTTGTCCTGCGCCCTTAACTGCTTGATGTGGTGTGCATTCGCGGAGAGGATGAGCGCCGACGACAGCTGATCGCCCCTGCCAAAATACACACCGACTTGGGGGCGGCCTTTTTCAAATAAAATTGCCCACGAAAAGGTCTCACGAAACTAGATTGTTTTAATTGTCCGTTTCCGGTTCGCTCGTTCGTTGCACTCTTGAAAAAAGCAGTTCGCGGCTGGGCATTTGTAATTGTCGTGATAATTTTGGTGGAGGAAGAGAGTCGCGGCAGGCGTTCTTTCAGCTTTGCTGATTTTTATGTTTGGGTGGTCGGCGGCAAGCGAGGAACGCGAATAATTTTTTAGACGGAAACCCAGCGCAATTAAAGGGAAAAAAAGATTGTGTCGTCATGATTGCTGAGAATTGCGGTTAGGCTGTTTGTTTAAAGAGAGGATTGAGGAAAATTGTTGCGGCAGGCAAGGATAATTTCAATCACCTCTTGGTTTTCAAGGAAATTGTCGAGTTCAAACGTCACTATACTCAACAGGACACAATAAAGCGCAGAGAGATATTTTAAATCTAGTGGTTTAAAAATATGAATTTATCCTCATCTTAGAATTTGGAAATGAAAATGATTGAACTGTTAATGAATTTCATTTAACAAATGAGATTTTAAAACTGTTTAAAATAACTTAATTCGCTGAAAGTGTATCAAATAAGTTTTGTACTCGACGCAGAAGAATCTATAAGAAAAAATCCTGGAGCATAAATTTCCAACTTTTTCTTTCTTTCACTATTTACAATTAAATTAAAATTTAAACCCCCAATGATTAATTAAAAAGCACGCTTTTACTTCCAGCAAGTGCATATCGGTTACCTCTCCTCCAAGCGTTGGTTAAAACAACGCGAGGGTTAATAATCTCCCCTAGCAATTCGCCTCGCGTGAACCAGCATCCCCCTTTCGCGAAACCACCTCGCGGACGGACCACGCCCCCTTGTGCTGCTGCTGTTACCAAGTTGGTGGATATAGATAGGCGATTGCACCGCTGACGAGAATGAGCGACACGGGAACAACTCTCGGCAAAGAGAGCAGCGAGCGGCCGAGCAAAATCGATAAATAAATAGCACGGCGGCTAGTTAGGCCCGAGCCGCGGCAATCGTTTGAATAAATGCACTCGCGCGCGGTCTAGACGGCAAATAAATTTGTATTTGTGGCGCTCGCCGAGAGAGAAAGAAAGATGTCTGCGAATCGATCGGGTGAAACGACCCCTGCTCTCGAGTTTAGCACCCGGAGGTGCATAATTGTTGTTATTTCGCTTGGCGAGTGCTGCTTGCGTCACGCCGACCAGCAGAGAGTCAAAGGATTGCAGCGCGTTCCAGGAATAAACCGCGGTCGAAATGGAGAACGACGGCTTTGAAGATAACACTCGAGGGTTGCGAGATCGGTCCGTTTCCATGCACGTGGAAGGAACAAAGCGCAGGATGAAAGGATGGTTATTTTTCAGTCCGCTCCGGGCGGCGCGTTTGTCCGTGACAAATCGCTGCAATGGGGTTTCATATTCTTCACGCAGATCGATTGGGATGTAAATTTTATGGTGGAAATACAAGGATTTGGCTCTATTGTTGGAAATCGTCCTACAAGAGGGATGCAATTCGGAACCTGAATTAAATGAGGAGAAATAATTTCTTATGACGCACAATATCTGATGACATTACAAATTGATGAAAAGTCATACATTTTAAAGCAACACTCACTAATAATGCAATTTTTGAAGAGTGAGTAAGCAAGTACTTTGTCATTTTCATTTGATAAAACTTGCAGTTACTCACGAAAATTCCTCTTGATCTTTCTCTGCTGACAGTTTGTTGCAGCTCACAAATAAAATATATTTGAGAATAAACACGACCTTTCCTTTTTTTAAAGTCAAAGACTCTGTCTGCTGTGCGTCTTAGTCATGCGAAGCGGTGATTCTTCTTTCCTCGAATAAACGACCGTGGGAAACGCGGCGCGGCACCTCGCGAATTACCGAGGCCGATTTGTCAATTTTCAGCAACCTTAGCGGTTTGACTTCGTAGTGTCTCTTGCAACGAGAGAAAGAGAGCCTTGGAGAGAAAAACTGCGACTAAAGCAAAATTACGCAAATCGGGCACGTGTTCCGCGTTCCGAGAGCGACTAGCAATTTTTCTGAGGCTAAATATAGATTGAAGCGCTGGTCGATTTTTTTCCCTGCCTAAGAGATAAATCGCGAATCGGCGGCGACCCCGAAGCCAATTGTAAACAAATCATGTATGCCCGTCTGGCCCAGTCAGCACAGATCAAAGCATTTGGTTTCTGCGATTAAATTTAACAGCAATTTTTTTTATCTTTCTTTATAGATGACTGGTAAAAAAAAATTGATTTATTTATTGTGATGGAACTTTTTGTATAAATTAGAAAAACTTTTTAAAGATGTAATTTATTGTTGGAACAAGATACGATATACAAAAATGAGTTCAATTAGAAAAACTGCATTTTTTATTAACTTTTTCCATTGTGAAACTTTTTCATCATTTTTTTTTATACACCATGAAGACTTAAAGTACTTTTATTAAATCTTCAGTGAAGCAATAATTTTTATTAGAGGAGAAACAATTATAATTTCTTGTTTTTCAACTGAAGATATTTTTAAAACAGAGCCCAATTTGTAAGTCATTTTAATTAATAATTAAGAAAAGGATCCCCCTTCAGAATTCACTCTAAAAATCTGTATTAATTTTCTTTTCTTTATAAGAGATTGTGACAAACGACGCTTATAAAAAGCCGCGTCGAGTGTGTGATAAAAGAAGCGCCATTCACAAAGATTGAATGTCCGGTTACGCCTCCGTGTTTGACATTTCGGAGCCTTTTCATTCATTCGCCTCAACCGGATGCAACTTTAATCGCTCACTGATCCCGCGCGCTCTCTCTTTGGCCCTAAAGGATCCATCGTCGAGCTAATCACACCCCTTGACTGATGCATTTGTGCATAAATTCAATGCACTGCAAAGTGACGGGAGGACGTGATTGATTGAGGCTTGGTTATCGAATGACGACTGGCGGCCGGTGATTGTGTTGATGTGTGGGATGCTGCGATCTATTTGAATTTTGCACCACTTGTGCAATTATAACGAGTCATAAATTTGGAGTTTGGTGTGGGTTGCAAGTTGCAAAGCAAATAAAAGTAATTGATAAGCGAAAGGGATTTCTTATGATTTGACCTAATTGCATTGAACTTGTCCCAGACTTTCACATATTATTTAAATATTTAAAAAGTTAGACTAAAGAATGATTCATTATTTATTTAGATAAATGTTATTGAAAAAAATTATTTGATGATCTCAATAATATCATTGTGTTATAATTAATATTGTCAAAATGTTAAAATTATCTCAAGATATTCTGTTTTAATTTTAAATTGACTAAAAATGTTAAAATCACCATTACATAACGATTTATATCTGTTATTTAATTTTCATTTGAAACAAATGTGTAACAGTCAGTTCAATGACTAACGATAAGTCCATGACTAATATTTTTCTGCCTCTGTCATACATTTGCGATACGATTGAAAGGAGAATAGATGGATAAATATGAACTTTGACTTTAAAATTAATGTGCGATAGCCCAGCCTTTTAGAATGGGGAAATGGGCGTGACAAAATGAGTGATCAAATGTTTTTTTTTTTTCGTTTGTTCAGGCAATTTGCTGATTTCAGTGATTAAAATGAGTAGTTTATGTAAATTGTTGAAAATTAATGACAATTTGTTAAGAGAGAAATCAATCTTGTTGCAGTTTTGCGAAATAAAAATTTCAAAAATATAATATCTGAATATTACCAAATTACCTAATGGCTCTCGAATGAGTAAGATCAGGTCGATAATTGGAAAAAGTGAGCAACACTTTCTGGAACAGTCGGCCGAGAAGAAACTCGGTCACTGTACCAAAAGGCGATTTTTCTTACGACCGCATCTGAGCGATCCCGGCTGAGAGGTTCGATCAAAAGCCAGGACGCCTCATACCCCTCGGGACCCACTTCCGAGTTCCCGATCGCGAGGGTCCCACCCCTGACACCCTCCCCCAAAGACTTTAATCGAAGTCCCAGACGCCACGGCACAACTCACAACATCACGTGGGGGCGTGGCACCGACACAAGACTATTTCCACCATTTCGGGCCTTTAAAAATACCAATTTGATAAGAAATCACGTTTAAATGGAATGAAATATTAAAGAATTAGATTAATATCTGCTTGGATGCCAAAATTTGGCGCCGAACATCTCTCCAAGCCAAGGCCGACCACTTGTCTTCGTCGTCGGGCGGTTCTGAAGTTTCGCCCGAAAGCAGGTCAATCTGATTAACCGTGATTAACGGTGTCCGGATATCACCCCATTCGGAATATTCGCGAATTAGGGTTCAAGAGGGGCCCTCAAAGGACGCAGGGGTCCCATTCGGTGTCAGGCGGCGAATGGCAACCGTGAAGGTCATTAACCCGTCACAAGAATCGAGCACCATCTTAAGCGCGGGCACCACGTGCGGTGTCAGGGCGTTCGGCAGGTCGGGTCAGTCATCCTGAATGCAAAGAAACCATTCTGACGACTCACCTGGGTTGGTTGGAGCGACGATTCCCCTTTTTCATTTTGGCCTCCTCGTTTCTGCCGGGATAGGCGCCCTCACGAAATCTTGTCGGGACCGGAATTTTGAAGGTTTTGTTTCGCACGTTTCCGATCGCAAAGAACTCTTCGCAAACCTAGGAAAGAGAGAGCACGTTAGGCACTTGTCTGCGGCGTCCGACGTGGGCGCAACAAGGGTGATTTCAGGACACTTACTCAGTTAGTTTCACGAGCTTGGAAAATATCCCTTGCGAATTGTTCTCGCCTCCAATGGCCGACGAACGCGGAGGGATCTTCCCAGCTGACGTAATCGATATCACTAAACGTTCTTCCCGGCTTTGTTGCGTAGTTTCTAAAGTGAATTTGTCTTAAAGTACATTAATTAAAAAAAATATTGAGATTTATACCTAGGATATTCTTGTAATGAAGGTGTCAATGATCGTTTTCAAAGAACTACTTGACTGCGCGCAATGTAATTTCCCTCCTTGCCTGCAGCGCCGAGCATGCTCGATGCGGCGATCACCGCAAGTAGTTATGAACAAGATCTGAACGTAAATAAAATGGCGCGAATGTCTGGAATTTTAAAGGGGGTCGGGAGGAGCGGAATGTGAGAAGCTTTCGAAGCCTTATACGTGTCAAAGCTTTCAAAAATTTAAATGGGCGCAAAAAATACTTTATTATTATAACTGTTATATAATAATAATATTATCTCGCTATAATCTCTAATGCAGTATAAGTAATATAATTTCAGATTAAATTTGTCTCCTTCAACCAATTATTTTTATTTTTTTTTCTATGGAAATTAAATTTTAAAATTGTGTGCATTTTTATAGAGGAAATTAATAATTCTCTTTTCATTTAAATTTTATTTCAGAATAGTTGAGGAATTAAAAAAAAAAACCCCCAGGTAATCCTCTCAATTTTTGATGTATTTCTTTTTGTATCTAAAAATGGTGGAAATATAATTTCTGAAAAATAAATGAGTTATAATTTTTAAGTAACCAAAATCTGTCACATCTGATTTTTGAGTTTATTGGCAAAAACATTTAAAACTCCTTTACAAACTAATCCAATTTTCACAAACAAATATATTAACAATGAGGATGTAAAAATTTAACAAAAATTGACCTCTATGGCTTACACAATAAAGACACTTTTTCATACCATGAGAACTTTGATTATTTTGGTACACAAATATACATATTATATGCAATAAAAAATCACCTTCATGCGCTCTGCTTTTTAAAGTTAAACACAAAATAATTATCAAGTTTTATTGATTTTTCTACAGGTATATAAATAACAGTAAAAAAATCACCATCTCTATCAAATGTTTTGTGTGATTTATTTACCATTTACCACGAATTATTTTTCACCACACCTTTGATTGGAACATCAAAATTTCTGCCATCTACTGTTGTTTTACATCTTTGTGGTCCCCACACATTTTTGGCTAATAATTTTTAGTTAATATACCAAAACTACTTTTGATTATTTTTGGTTTCTGTAGTTGAAATCACAATTATTTCGTGTACAATTAATTATAACACATGGGCTGACATGGGCTATTAATCTCACGGACCAATCATACATTACAATTATCGTAGAAATTAAACTCTAAAAAAATCAATGAATAAAAAAAAATGAAAGAGCTTCATCGTGCCAATAAGATGTGTGACCCGTGTGTTAAATGCTTCTTTTGTGGATTTAGTGTTGATTATTAAAATGAATAATAATTAGTAAAATGATCAGTCGACACACCAAGGAGTCTCAGCGTTTGAATCCAATTGTGATTTGCTCATGTATTCATCTTGCCATCGTTTGGCGTCACATCGATTGAGGCACAATGCTGTCATTAAAAATGGTTGCAAATGAAATAAAAATAAAAAATTCTAAATAAAAATCCTGATATGTCAAATTTCTAAATGTTTTAAGTACTTTTTTTGTTGTATAATATTGAATCTGATTAATAATAATATGCAAAAGCAGGCAAGCATTAACAATAGGTTTTAATTTTACTCACCAGCTTAAATTTTCATTTTTTTTTTTTAATTGTCATATAGTTTATAAAAAATCTTCAGCTCATAGAAAGTTCTCTGATAAATAGTCACTTTCGTTTTTGAGTCCATGACGTCTACTACATGTTTTGTTTTATAATTATTAAGTATAATATAATTGCAGTACATTTTTAAAGCTATACTCTTTAAAGTACACTTTTATCTGTAAAAGTTTATATGTCATGAAATTTTCAAAATATGTTGTATGTGTAGATACAATATATTATAATAGTTTTGTAGCTTTGGCTAGGATTTGTTGCTTCACCATTTGATTTTCTTAATTCTTTATAGTAACAATGAAGTAAAGAGCGCTAACAATGTTACATAAGGGAAATGCATAATTTGCACAGCTACAGTCAATAAAATTTAGACGAGTAAAATTTGATTAGAGAGAAGAGAGATTAGATAAGAACAAAGAGAGTTTTTCTAGGAAATGTTATCAAGAGCATATTTATAGAGACGTAATGGCAAGACAAATAGAGATTTTCTTAAGACACCAAGATTTGTGCAAAAATTTGTGGCTTGATTTGGTTGAATAGCAAAAGCCATAAAATATTAACTTTAATTTTAGCATTAAATATCCATCGCGCTAAATTTTTATTTATATAGAGTAAAAGTAGTCAAATTCTAATAAGAGACGAGTCAATTTGGCACTTGCTAAATTACGGAATAAAGTTTAAAGCCTCGTGTTTAAGTGCCAAATAGTAGTTTTACTGCCGAGCCTCATCACTGGTGCCAGCCTCAGTGACTGAGGGCAAGACTGGAGCACCGTCTTTGGACCTGGAAAATAGTATTTAAAAATAAAAACATAAAACTTTGAAAAATAAATCACCTTGCTTCGTGCCAGTCAGCACAAGCGCCAGGCGCCGAGTGTGACCGACCCGACCTGGCAAACTCCTCTTTCGTTCCAATGTGCAGCGACGTGAGCGCCCGTCTGGACGAGAACGGATGTTGGAATGAGTGCTTCTTTAGCATGCTCTTGACCAGAATCAGGGTGTTCAGTTTGGGGATGGAGCGCACGACCGCGTTGATTTCCTCCTCAGAAACTTCAACCACGTCTCTGCAGTTTTCCTGCTCGCTCGGTAATGGGAATTTGCCACTTCTCGTCACCCAAATGTGCTCCTAAAATATATGTGAATTTTGGTTCAGTTTGTTTTAATAAAATTCAATTAAAACTCCGCGAATTCAGAGGATGTGTGTGATGTGTAAATAAATAAATAAAATGTTGGCAGAGTCAAAAGAAGCGGTGTCGTAATTACCTTAATTGAAGGCAGAGTTATGCGCTTGGCAGGATCCTTTTGCAGCATCTGCGTAATGAGATCTTGCAAAGGGGCGCTTACTGTGGGCCGCAGCGGGAACGTGAGTGTCTGATTTTGTATCCGGGTGTACAGAGTGAGCACAGAGTCGGCCCGGAACGGCACATTTCCGTATACAAACGCAAACAGAGTGCAACCAAGTGACCAGACGTCAGCAGCCTGGAAAATAATTCAATTTTATGTTTTGATTTCAACACATTTTTTAAGGAAATTTTAATTTTTTTTTTAACAAAATTTTTGAGAAACTAATACTTTTTTTTTGGTATAATATATTATTAAATTTTGAATCTAATTTTGTTTTCAAAAAGAACTCACCTTCCCACTAAAGGTTGCACCTCGGTCTGGACGGAGAGCCTCGGGAGCCATGAAAGCCGGAGTTCCAGCCGTTCCCGAGAGTAGAGCGTCCGTTCCATGGAACTCGTTGCAAACACCCAAATCTGCGATCTGCACCCTACTATCTTTGTTCAGCAGAAGATTAGATGGTTTCAAGTCTCGGTGGATTATGCGTTGATAATGCACTGATATTTTTGATAAAATTAATTAATAGATCTCTCGGGAAGTAAAAAACTCTCTTACAATATTCTAGCCCTAGAACTACGTCTCTGAAATATGTCCACGCCTGCTCCTCGGAGAGAGGATTTGTTGTCGGAAGCTGCAGGACCTCTCCTCTTTCAACAAGCTCAAAAACTGAAATAAGAAATGTTCATTTTAAGATATTAAAATATCAGTCTAACATTTTTGTAGTATTCCTTTTTTTTTTTTCGAAAACGATTTGTTTAATATTTAATTTTTCTTACCTAAATAAAGATTGTCTTCGATTGGATCATCAAGCACTTCAACTAGCTTCACTAAATTTGGATGGTCCAATTTTTTCAGGATGGCTATTTCACGATAAACTTTGTCCAGGGGACTATCCCCTTTTCTGCCAGGCGCCATGCGTCCTGCAAAATTAATTTAGCTTTCATCTGAAATCTGATCTGCTTGCAAAAATATAAAGTGCTACCATAAATTCCGGCCTTTTTCATCAGCTTTTTCTTGGAAAGGATTTTCATCGCCTGCAAACAAACAATAATTAGATGGGACGAAACAGGGCGGCGTTTGATCTCTCACATAGTGAGTGTTGTCGTCGCTGTTGTACGCCAACTGGACGATGCCATACGAGCCCTGGCCCAGACTGCCTTCCAAGCGGTACTGGTTTAATTGCACTTCTCCTCGTTCCACCTGAAATTCGCAATTAATTAATGGACTGAATTGTGTTTTACGTTGCGCGTGTAATTACGCTGCAATGGAAAGAGAATTGAGAGGCGCGTGTAATGTGAGTTAAAGCCTAACTAATTAGTTAATTTAATTGCAAAAGGCTTAAATTGTACGGTGTCAGCATTTAAGTAAAAATTTATGAGAAAAACTACCACATATGAAATGAAATAAAAAAAAATATTGGGAATTTATTATTATTTTGAATAGAAAATGTTTATTGGCCAAACAATTATGTGTTTTAAGGGCAGTTCAGGATAATTAATTACTTAACTTATTTCGGTTTTGGAAATTTGTAAAGTTTAATTTGATTATATAAAAAAAATTATAGTAAAATCTATAGTCTTTCTGAAAAAAATTTGGAAAATTTCGTAACTTTATTTAATTCCATAAATTATACTTTCTCATTTGATTGAGTTAATTTTTTAAAACATTTCTCCAAGATTAAATTGATTTTCTTGGCGATTTGAATTTAAAAACCAACTTTCCTTGATGGGTTTTGTGAGTTGTTTATTGTTGAAGAAAAACAATAATATTCTGCTTGCTTTCTTTTGTTTACATTCTCACCTTTGAGCTTTGACGCAGCGGCGTCCGTCTTCTGGGGGCGCACGGCGACCCATAAGGCGAGTAGGGGATGTTGGGGTAGATGGGCCTGACGGCCTGGTCGAGGGCGGCCTTGGCCCTTGGCTCGAGGCTGCTGGCCGAGTGTGCGTGCTCGAGGTGGCCCTTGCGGACCTCGTCGCACGGCAGCTGGGTCGGCGGCTCCTGGCGGAGGCTGAGGCGCTCGGTGGCGCGCACCAGCAGCGTCCTTTCGTCCCGTTCGAGCGGCGAGCAGCACGCTTCGTCATCCTCCACTGCGCAGTGCCTGCCAACAATCATCATCAACGTTACATCTTTTTTCTATCAGTCTCTATCGCCGAAAGAAAATTGCGCTTGGCCGCGCACAAATAACAAGCGGTTGATTCGAGTGTCATTAGATTCTGTTCCGCCCAGACGGAAATAATTGGACTCTTCTATAATATTGATTATTGTTGTAAAGCAGATAAAATGAACAAATAATACATCAGTACTTTTTTTAATTTAGTAAGATTGAAGAATTGCTGATTTTCTATTTATATTTTCCTTAAAGGTTTGTTTAATTAGACAAAAATGTAAAAGAAAAACTAAAATAATTTATGAAAAATAAAAGTCAATTATTAGTTCTTAAATTAAATTTAAATACTTCAACCTCTTCAAAAGTAATTTCCATTTACACTTTTAAAAACAATTTTTCTAAAACTCAAGTCGTATTTAAAATGGAAGGATTTTCTAAAGTAATTATTATTGAATTTAATGCGAGATTTTTACTAGCCTTTATTTTCACGTTTTTCCCCAATTTATTGACAAGGTTTTCGACTTCAGAGAATTTCAATTCAAACGAAAGCGCACAAAACAAGATGAAAGCCTTTGGAAGAGTGGTCGTTACACTTTGCATGAGAAAAGTGAAGTTAAAACCGCGATTTGCATACCAGAGTAAAACATTCATTGTGTTCTTTGACGCTTGCATTGTGCTTATCTCAGCGATGCAGAAGCGATCCGCCGCGGTCTTAAGAGGAAAGATGAGCCAAATGCATATCCCACTCGCTTATTGATCACAACTTGCGCTTTTCATCTCGGCAGGAAGACGTTTAAGGATGCGGAGGCTATCGTTATCTCGTATTTTCTCATCCCTTTTCCGACCCGATTTCTCGCTCGTATTGTTGCTAACTAAGGAGGTCGGAGGAAGGTGTCAGGTTTCAAGTTGGGTCTTCGCTCTCGTCGGAATTCGAGGTGAAGAGAAGAAGGCGGGTTAGGAGAGTCAAAAGGCGGCAGAGAGGTGCTCCTTTTTTGTATTTTGTGTGCAGCTTCATTTGAATTTCAAACACGACGTTCGCTCTGTTTGCCCTACTCGGAAAAATAAAATTTATGTCGCTTGTGGAAAGAGCTTGGAAATTTGCAGTTAAAATCTAATGATTTTTTATTCTTGGAAAGATTTTGTAAGCGTTTTAAAGAACCTAATAATTAATATCAGATATTAAACAAAATAATTCAATTTGGCTTTTCCTCAATGAATTTACGAGTATTTAATACTAATAGCTTCGGCCATAATTCTGTGAATTAATTTGACGAAAATTAGAGAATGATGGGATTTTAGAACTATTCGTAAAAATAAGACTATTTTAGAGTGTTTTAAAGTAAAATTTTAAGCTGGAAATTTTTACAATTGATAATTTTTTTAATCAAAAATTTGTCCATAATTTCAAACTGATTACAATTAATGAAATAATAAATTAAACCTTGACGTGGAAATAATTATACCCAATAATTTAAACTTTAAACCCTCCATTACTGCATTTTAGTAAAAAATGAGAGATTTTGTAATTTTTAATGAAAATTTTTTTTAGCCTACAAATCCTTTGAATGTGCTTTTATGCCTGTGGAATTGGAGCTGCACGAATAAAATTATCATTCGCGACGCGTGCGACGACATGCAGTTTGTTGTCGGCACACGCGTCCATATCAAACTCAATTGCGCGAGTACGTTGTAGGCAACCCGCGCGGCCTGCGAGTAGCGCTTGCTGCATAAGCGAGCGTGTGGCAGGCGCTCGAGTTAATCAACGTGAGGCCCGGCAGGGCAAACACTGTCCTTCAGAGAAGTTTAGTTTGGTCGCCTGCAAGTTTTGTTGTGAATTAGCTCTCGGCGCATTATTGCGAATATTTGCTCGGCGGCGAGGGTTATTGCAAACAAGCCAACTTTGTGCTCTGAGCTTTTAAATCATGGGAAAAGACAGAGCTCACTTTCACCGTCACTCTTCCGGAAGGCGATTTGGCCGAACTGCTTTGCTAAGGCAACCGGATATAAAGCGGTGAAGTGAAACACAGACCGACCAAATTTGCAACTGCGCACCAAACTTTAGGCTCGTGAATGCTTTTGCATTACAAATTGACAGCAAAATAACAGATAAAATTAGACAGGTGAAAAAATTGTGTCATTCTGATTCAAAATAATTAAGATTTTGCTTTTTAAAAAATTAAAAAGAAAAATCCAAAAATTACATTTGAGTTTTTAGGCCAATCCAGAAATATTTTGAGATCATAATATTGACTTTTATAAAAAATTTCTGCAGACAAAGTTTAATTTTACTCTCAAAATTCGACAACATTTTGTACAAATCTGTAGAAATTTTTTATTTTATTCAAACATCTTTTTAATTTCATTGTCGTTCTATTTTTGATTGGTGCCATTCTTACTTAGTTAAAAAAAGAATTAAAATTAAATATATATCCTTTTACTAAAACGATAAATTAGTCTTTTGAGACATTTTTCAAGACTTTTTCAACTAGAATCTGAATCTGGGTTAAAAGTCACAATTTTCTTGTTCACTAATATTAATTTTTGAATAAAAAAATAATATAATTTAAATCAACACAACTGCTAACTAAAATAAATTTAAAACCACAAAAATGATTGCATATTTTTTTAATTATATTTACAGTAAAATTGATTTTCTTATTAAAAATTTAATTTACATTTTTGTTTTCCTTGCTTTATAATTTTCCAATTATTGTTTTGCATTCCACTCCGCTACAGAATCTCCATTCGCAGAAGACATTTTGCCAGCAGGCAGAGCGCAGCTGCTAATTGTTCACAGAAGATCGAGCATTAAAAATTCCAGCATTCTGTGCGCCCTGGCAAAAATCCCATTTTGCAAGCTCTTTCTCTGCAGAGTCTGTTTCTTCGATCCGCGCAGCAAACAAAACGATTCACAACACAAAACGGACCGCCTGCCGCTGAATAATTAAATGCGCAGGAAAATTAGCGATACCGGGAAGTGCGCTGCTCTGCCGGGAATGCGAGCAAATTTAATATAAACGCGAGAATCACCTCCTCTCTTGCCGCCGCTCACCTTTTAATCCATCAGCGCGCATGGGCGGAAAGAATTAACGCGAAGAGCAGAAGAATTAAGAAGTCAGGAGACTTTTTTAATTAAACTACCGTGTAATTTATGGGGCGGCGGGAATTTTCTCATTGTTGCAGACCGGGATTAAGGCGGGCGGGTGCGGTTTCGGGTGCATTAATTTTAATTTCGCGCATCCCGCCTGTCTGACTTTCGCCTCGGCACGTGTGAGATTAATTTCCGAGGCGCAAGAAACCTTCCGAGGACAAATAATGATCTCACCATTTATCATTTTTGCTACGATCCTCATTACCCAAAAACGTCCGAGTCATGTCGGACTACGTTAATTCATGTAATTAGCAAGCATTAATTTGAATTAACGATCAAATTGTAAAGAAGATGAACCATTGGGGCTGCAACAATTTCATTGAGAGGTTTTTTAAAACGAAAAAGTACATAAATTTTGTCTGGTCTCGACCATAACCAAGAAAGGTACGCTCAAAATAATACGTTTCTGTTTTTGACTGAAATTGTTATTAATTTCTTAAAATCTGAGATAATTTGCTTTTTATTAAATATTTATAGCAAAAAGTTTAAGTAAAAAATTATCTTCATCCAATTTTTTAAAAAAACTTTTCAGAAACAATAAACAGCTCTTAAAAAAAGACTTTGAATTGAACTCGTCATAATTAATTAACTTGCATTATATCTTGATTTGACAATTCTATCAAATTTGAATTGTTTTTCTTCCTTCCTAGTTTTGAAGAAGAATTCATTTTAATTTGAAATAGTCAACAATTCTTTTCTCAACAAACATTCAACACATGTTAAGCTTTATTTTAGCATTAAAAAAAAACACATTTTCTTTATTGTGTTAATATTTTTGTTAAGCTTGCCCAGCACATTGTGTTTATCCATCATAATAAAAGTTTATTTTTTCCTATTACCAAAAAATATTGCCCCGACGTGACCTTTGCTGGATACTTTTATGAGCAAAAAGCTCGAAACGAGGTGGAGAGCCGAGAAACACAATTTCACGTTTCGCTGGTGCGGCTGAGAGCAGGCGGCATATTATGCCAAAAATTTCCATTTCACGGCGGTGCAGCCCCGTGTGTTTATCCTTTTAGGGCGATCTCCCAGGGTGCGATAAGAGGCGGCGTGTCACGCACATTCACTTCCAGCAATATCCCGTGCACACGGAGCAGGACAAAAGGGAAGAGTGCGCGCATTACCGCGCTGGCATTTCATCTGTCGCGCTTTTCGTCCTTAAGGGTGCAAAGTGGCTCCGTAGGGCGAGCAAAGGGCTGCTGAAAATTTGCCAACAATCGCAAGTCTCGAGTGTGCTGGCAGCTCTAAAAGGGAATTTCTTTTATGGTTGAACCGTCGGAGAGATGAAATTGCCTCATTCTCGCAATCTTATTAAATGCGTGATAAAGAAAAAGTAAAATCTCCTCCAAGGATTTTCATGTTTAAAACTTCACATCGTCCAAAACTGAACGCTTAATTGCATGACGTAATTGCTTAGCTTCAAATAAGAAGTTCTCACCGATTTATTCAACCGTAAAATTAAAAAGATGGTTTAACGAGTTTTCTTTCCGTTGTAGTCCATCTGAATAAGCACAATTGCAATTCAGCCGCGAGTTGTACTTTTCAAGTTTTCTTTCCATTCTAGTCAATTAAGTGCGTCTGGCTGCTTCGGTAACTTCTTAATTTACAAAACTTATACTTAGCTTGGGGTGGAAAAAATGATCATTTGCATGAAACTCGTTCACACTTTGCCGACGACTTTCCTTTATCAACCAAGCGCGCGGCTTAATTATGGCTTCGGTGCTGACAAATGACAAATTAGAGGCGCACAGAGAGAGCTACACTAATTTTCCAGATGAGGAAAATAATCAACTGGAAATGATTGTTGTCAGGAAAAGCCGTACAGTGGCATTAAATTGCG